TATGCTTATTTTCTTGGAGGATCGGATTGCATCGATGGCCAGGATTATTCTGGCTTCTTTTGATTGCGCTGCCATTTGTTGTTGTAGAGAAATCGCATGTTGAAGTTGGGAGGTGTGATGGTGGGGAAAAGTGATCCGAGTGCTGATATGATCCGAGTGCTGATAAACCACGTTATAGTATTTAAGTCTTTTTACTTATATTATAAAGAATATTTTATCTAAAAGTATATAATATATAGTTTTTTTTTAGATATTTTACCTTTCTATATATATAAAAAAACTATTAATTTACTAGCTATAAGAATCTAATAGTAAGTAGGTTTAGTTCTTTCTTACTAACTAGTTTACTAGTAATTAGTATACCCTAGCTTTTGTTAAATATAATACTATTAAAGAAGTCTACTTTTATAGTAAAAAGAAGACTAATTTAGTCTACTACTTCTATTACTAAAGTAATAAGATAGTACTTAAGTTTAATATACTTATTATATAGTACTAGCTATACTTTAAGGAGTGTTATAATACCTAGTATTCCCTAGGCTCTTGTATTAAGACAGAGCAACTCCTAATTTTACTTAACCGTAAGGATGCTTAAACGGTGTCGCTGTTCCCTAGCACTACCTCGATCTAATTAACAATTTTATCAAAGTAACCGTATTTGTAACTTGAGCTCCTAGCCGCGAAGGCCCCTCCTACAGTTATGCCTGGTAGCGAAGGGACGACAGCAGGTACCAGTCTGTCTTTGAGTCTCTCGGCCACTAATTGCCCCATGGGAACGTTGGGCTCAACTAGAGCGGTCTTCATGCTCCTATCAATCGCGAGTATATTGGATAAACCGGGGATATCCACGATGCTATTTGTGGAGAAGCGGACATGGCGACTGGACTTTGTCGTGCCATGGTAGATACCGAACGCAGTCTCGGAAGGCGCGGACTTGTTTTGCTACCTCCTCAGCGGCGAGGATGTGTTTGTGCATAGCGGCTGTTGTCCAGTGAAGGGGAACTTATGTAAGAAAAGGTTTTGTAGGCGGTAGCTTCAAGGCGCTGGGCCGGATCCGGATCTTATCCCGTACGAGCAAGGGAGAGAGCATAGCGAATCCCAAGCATTGACTCGAAGGACAGAATTTCTGAAATACTCCATAGACGAGGAACAAACGACGTACATGAAAGAAGGGTGAGGGAATTGAGCCGGATTGGGCTGAAGTCAGTGATCTTGGCACGCTCTCGATGCATTGGCTCTACACGCTCGAAGTCAGTCTTCTTTGTTCACGAGTCAATTTGACGACATTCCCACTGACCAACCGCTTCTGGGCGTAGAGAATAAAGGCAATTGGCTGAGATCGGGTTCTGATGCATGTCCGACGCTGTTTAAGATTATTTCATCACGAGCCACGGTTGGAGGAGAGACTCAGAAACCCAGAAAATAGAGCATAGGATTGGAGATGGGTCAGAAAACGGCTTCAAGAAGGCGTGAATACGATTGAACACCTAAACTCCTCATTATCGTGCCGGAGGACCTTGTAACCTTAGGGATCCTACAATATATGTACAATTGAATGATTCTGGTAGAAAGGGACAAGCCACAGACATATCGCAATCCTTGAGGGAAGGAATACCGGACAGGATGAGATACATACCTTTATCTGTCACCCGTCACCTTCTCCTTCAACTCTTGTGTCTTCTCCGCCACCAAGTCGGTCACACCCTTCCCCGCACTATCTTCACCCTTCTCCCGATTCTTCATTCTCTTCGACATCTTCTCCTTCCATGCTTTCTCTTCCTCGTCTCGTATCTCCAGCTCCTTCAGCCACCGTTCTCGCCTCTCAAGTCTCTGCTTCTCCTCAACGGCCTTCTCGTACTCCTTCCTCTTCATGCGATCCTTCTGCCAATACAGGTTTCCTGCAACCAAACAGGCGATTGTGAAGGCCTGCGCATACAGACGTCGCCGGAAGTACAGATTCGTCATCTTATGGTCGCCCTTGCGCATCGAGCGAGTCGCGCCAACAACGGCCCATACGGTGAGACCGCAACCAAGTGGTATGAGGGGTTCCTCCCGGAGGCGGCGCCATATCTTCTGCAAGCCGTTCTCATTGTAGAAATCTCTGGAGCGGTATAAGCGACTAGGCCTGGGACAGCCAAGGAAGCAATAAGCTTACGCATTCTCGTCAAAAGACGACGGCATAGGCGCGCTGCTCGGGTTTGGATACGCCATTGTTGCAGGGTGGCGGATGATTGTGGTTGAACGGAAGCGAGCTGGGCTGGCGAGAAGCTCGAGAAGACAGCTTCACATATGAAGGGTCAAGATTGAACCCAATCGAGCCTCTCAACAAGAAGTATATCGGCTGGGATCGCAGAGGGACGTAGGACTGCGGTCGCGAATTGCGTTGCGACTGCACACTCTATCATTGAGAGCTTCATTGGAGCTGGAAACGATGCGCGATGCCGGAGCTTCAGTTTTTCCGAACCGATCTCCGCAGCACCTCCGCGTCCAGCTAACCCCCGAGTAACCTCCAACGTGAATCGTATGCTCGGAGAGCGAATCCACGCGTTTCCACTGCTGCTCTTGTCAGCTTGCCATGGATGATGGGGCCGAGCCCTCGCGGGCGAGACGGATAAGCAGTGGAGCTGCGATTCCAGCGGAACCCGTCGCGACGGAGGCTGCTATAGATGCAGAAGGAGACGTTGAAGCTGCGGCTCGGGTGCAGCGTTCCAAGGAACGACGGATGGACGCAAAGAAGAAGAGAGTTATGTTCCTGGATAATCTGTTGAGGGAACTGGACTCGCTTGTATTCGTGGAGTTGATCACCATATACTACCTTGAGTACGTCTGCCGTACTTGGTTTCTCGAAGACTCTGCTGACCGAGAGTATCACAGCTGCTCCTTCTTCTGGTTTGCCATAAGAGCGTTAGTGCATCTCAGTATGCTCACGCCCCTCCCCGACCTCCAGCTCGGTAGACAACCGGAAGAGCACAAAGCGTTTCTGCCCGTAATACTGCTGGTCTTCACCGGAAACTTCCTTCTCCATTTGCTGTTCAGTGCGCCGTCTGCTGGTGAAGAGTCAAGAGGCTATCTGCATGGGGGACTCATGATCGATTTCATTGGACAACAAGGCCCAACGAGCAAATGGAAGCTTGCCGCGTTGGATGTCTGCATTCTCATCTTGCAACTCGTCATGGCCTCGGTAACCGTGAAGAAACGGGAGCTGAAGAAGAAAATGGGGAATACGTCTGTGGGATCGGGGATGGGTAGCTCCATACGTAACGAAACGGAAAATGCGGAGGGTCAAGTCAATGAGAACCGGCCAGGAACACATCGTGAGCAAGATGCGGACGCCGAAGAACGAGGCATTCTACGTCGCACTGATACTCTCTCCGACATCGATAACGATCAACCGGAGGAAGAAGAGACGTTGCTATCGACGGCATGCACGAGCCATCCCGCCGACGCTTTAGATACCCTTTATTCCGGTCATTGCTTGATTGGAGAATTCTCCATTATCGACACAATGCTCCAGGAGCATGCCGACTACCAGGTATACCGCCAAACCCGTTCCGAGACGGCTAGCAGTGCACGTCTTTCTCCTAATGCCCTCCGCCAGTTGCATAATATCCGTGCGACCTTTGGAGTTGGTGGTGGCTGAATAGAAAAAGGCACTTCAACGGCCTCATTCACGATACTTGAACTCGACTCTTGGATGTTGACTCGACACCTGGATGCCCAGCAAGGTGCTTCCATCGCCGAATGCGAGCCATTCATGCGTCTGGTCGTGAAGAAACTTGCGCTCTGGCAGTTGTACTGGCATATCACATCTACATCCTCGCTCACATGACTGCCGTCAAGGCGGGCGGCCTCGACCTCGAGATGCTGGTCTTGTACAATCTACATACAGACGATAACAGTTTACGATCATCGCACTCTGAGATCGGGGGGCATCAGCTTCATAACGCCAGGACGGATTACGCCGTATTGCAAGCGAGCAGCTTACCATTAAACCGGTCCTCTCCCCACATCATCCGTTCTGGTCAAATACATCTCGAACCCATCTCGAATCTGTCAAACGGCGAACATTACCCTGCCCATGGAGAAGCGAGCGTTTGGCGAACCAATATATGGGTCTGGCAGTTGTTCACCACGTAAACATGTGGTTCCACAACCATATCCTGAAGCTGCTTGGTGGTTGAGGTAATACCGCAGCAAGTCCGAGGCACACACATTGGGCGCTTTCGTGAGGCGCGTTGTCTAGATCTGTATGATATGTGTCGCTTCCACAATTGTTAAGCATACCCAACAGACGGAACAAATTCGCACCCCTGCTTATGTATTTATTGACGAGTTTATCGCCAGCTCCTGAGAGAAGACATCCGATTGGGAGGCGTCCTCAACCTTTTGGCATTTGCGAAACTTTCCTTCCCAGGAGATTGTAGGAGAGTTAGGTTTTACGGCCATGGAAAGAGGGATCGCGAAGGACATGCTTCAGAAGACGACTCGAAATCACTCTAACGAGGTTGACGAACAAACTTACTTGGGCGCCTACTCCACCCCGAGTTCTCTGCTGACCTCCTCAAGCGAGCGGCGTAGAAGTAAGGCTGACAAGCTGTTCACAACCTCGGGCTGAATCGACTCCGACACCTGGTACAGAAGGTGCAGTGAGCGCCTCTCAATCCTCCCAATCCCTTCAACAATCTCCACCACGGAATCCTGCTGAAGTGCAACCCAGCGTGGTCCTTCAAAACTGCACACTCAGCCACGGCATATAAGTACCGTCTATTGGCCTAATCGCCCTCAACTTTCGCGATCCTTCACATATGACGAGCCACCCCAAAGAACTGCAGCAATCGTATGACCACTTCGTCCCGACACGGATACCGACACCATAAACCGATTCCCGTCCCGAATCTCACACCGTTCACCGCGCCCTTTCCACCCGTTCCCGAAGCCGCGCCCGCTGCGTGCCGTCTGCATGCCGCCCGTCTCCCCAGCGCTGACTGCATGCATACACAGTACATGTACATGTATTTGCTCGCTACCAACGGGTGCTCACATGATTGTTCTCAGCTGCAGCTCATCACATCCATGAAAACACCCCATCCGAACACTCGCGCTGCCAATCGACTTTGCGTTTTTCCACACAGGGGTCTCCACGAACTCCAACGCAGACGCCGAGATGAGCTGCCGCCTGCAGGCGGGTTATCCATTTTTCGTCGTGTGCGTTGTTGACATATCACTATCCTGCTCCAGCCTCCTCCTATGTTGCCCAACTGCAAATCCTCGAGTATGTCATTGCCAGGAAACCCTTGCTGTGGCGTGGTGGGTGGCTGCCGGGCCTCGGGGGATACCGCACGAGACACGGCTTGCGCGTGGTTGTCGTGGTGCAGCAGGGTTCTTGCACAGGGGATACGGAGGACGCTGGAACCCCATATGTAGTGTACCATTCTCTGGCCACATGGATAGCAAGTATAGGTGTGCTGTGGTCGCAAGTGGTTATTTGTGACTGCACCGTCCACGCGACGTCGTGCAAAACGGTGGCACTGATGTTTGCTCCACCATTTCCCTAAGTCTGCGACCCTTTGAATGGTTAAAGAATGGAGTGCCCCTGACAAGTCTCTAAATCATCGTAGGAGTGTGCAAGTTTTGGTACCCCTGGCGCCTGGCCAGTTTTATCTTCTTGTGTCGGTGTCGTGTACGCGTAGGGTAGTCTTTGGCTGCTTCGGATCGAGGACAACGCCATTTCTCATCCCAGCATCGCCTGCCGGTTGAAATCATATATGTTCCTGCTGCCGCTAAGGACTGGACTTCCAAAGCCTTGTTATTTGTGAATGAGATTGTTCGTTCGGCGTGCAGATCCTCATGCTGGAAGGCACGTAGCAGCGGCCTGGAAACGTCGAATCCAAATTGTCTGGATGACAAGTATTGTCTTCCCATTTCTCAATTCCTTACTGAGGAACCTTAAACCAATGCCAACGACTTCAAGGTAGTGCTCCTGTCGTGAGCGCTCCCAAGCACATTCCGCTCTCTAACATCAATCAAGCAGAGCGATCACTGCACGATTCCTCTTGCTAACGCATATCTGGGGAATGAAATCCATGACGCTGGACCTAGGCTAATCTTCCAAGACAATCTCTTAGTTCATGAAGAAGTGGGTCGCTGCACATGTCGGCATCAACTCTGTGGGTCCTCGATGCAGATGGGATCGATCGATCCCCTGTCCCCGTCATCCCGCCAGCTTCAGTTGGTCTCGAACCTTTAGCGGGGTTTTCCTTTTCCCAATGGGACCTGAACGTTGGCCAAGGAACTGGAACTGACATGATCGGGTCGGCTCGAGTACAAAATAGTAGTCGGCGACATCGGACCTAGCGTGGCGGTTCACGGCAGCCTTTGTGCTGTCAAGGTCAAGCATATACTGGATACGGATCCCAGTGCCGTTTTCGGGACCACGCGGGGGCGGTAATGGCCGAGAGTACAAGCTGAAGCAGCCTGGGAGGCTCAAAAGTGGGTTTCAAACTCATGTAGCCGGTCGGTATAAAGACCATACATGAGCCATCATTCTTGCCACAGGGTAGGTAAATGGAGCGCCCTGGATTCCTTTCACCACGCCGTCACACACATAAGCGCTGATAAACCGTGCTGCTCGCTTTCAACCCGTGGAGGCTTCGGACGGTCAAACTGGACTCACTCGTGTTGCCCAGCTTATCACAGGCCGTGGAGGGCGAGGTATGGGACGAGAATCTGTGCTGTGGAGCGCGAGCACACATTGTTGCCCGCTCCGCGTTTTTTGACCAGGAGGTAATTCACTGATCAGAGACCTTGATTTCCGGCCATTTCGTTGGCTTCCACGATCTTGGTGCACGTTTCCAGACGACATCCTCCTTCAGTGGCCCACTCACAGCCTAGACGGAGAAGAGCGCTTGGGTTTCCTTCAACAGATCGACGAAGGCTGCAGACTTGAGCACAGTCGTGTCCCGGCGTCCAGGTTTACGTGCGATCGGGGGCCATCCAGAATATAGGGTGGCGCCAGTTTCCGTGGGTGTGATAGGTAAGGCGTCGTGGGCCTGCGGCGAGACTGCATACACAGTACGGGTGTCGGATACTCCACAGTAGTAGGTAGGGTAAGGGCTGCCTCGCCGAGGCCAAAGAGACGTACCGGTACACGTACGCAGACGACGATAAGGAAGGGGCCTTGACATGCAGCGAGGCCTTGTCTGCGAGATATTGCGCGCATGCAGTAGGAGAGGCTGGTTGTCGAATCAAAGTGATGATGCCGGTCCGTGCTATGGGTGCGAGGCCAAGTCGGTCAACAGCAGATGGATAGCATAAGATATTATTGAATTGAGTGGACTATTGTTATTATTTGCAAGCCGTTCCGGGATGCCAATTGCTTGCAGGCAGACTGCAAGGGGACCTTGCAAGCGACTCCGTGTCATGAGGACAGCACCGAGTGGGGGGTCCTTCGACACTTCAATAAGTAGACCTGCAGCTCGATTATCGTCATGCGTGCATAGCGACTTCGGAGTCATGCAGATGTGAGAGTATCATGGCATCTGGAGGTTGATCGCGTTCCCTGTGTTCCGAGTCAAGCGCTGTCGCAGCTGAATGCAGTACTGGCCAAAAGAGGAGCTGCGCGCAGAAAGGCCTTCGCCGCTGATGTTGATCTGCAAGGCCAAATTTGTTTTTTATAGCAAACAGGAAACCTGTGTAAGTAGGCGGGCTACGGACGGTTCAAAAAAAGCTGGCTCGATGAAGCGGCTGCATGCGCCATCACTCGTCCAAGTATTGTAGGTAGGGAATTATCAATACTCCAGAACCAGGGAAGTGGGGCAGTTACCCCCCAACAGAGCTTCAATGTTGCGTCTTCTTGCAGGCTTGGGCGACCAGCTAGGTAACTCAAGAAGGATGAGCTGGGTGTGAATTGTGAGTTGCTTGGGACGGTATGGAACGGTGGTGACGTGTGCCGAAAGAAGGCTCAACTCAAGGGCGGCGGAAAGAGCAGCGGCTTCAAAGCATATGCGGGCAGCTTTTATCTCCATTCACATGAGAACTGAGAAGCCCACCCTTTATTGTAAATGTGCAAATGGACGTTTATAGGTTTCTATCATAGGTGTAATGTATTTGGTCCGCGAGGACGCCTTGTCTATGCGCATGGCGCTCTAAGTGGTGCATGGTGTATGTATGTATAGTATGTCAGAGGTGCGACTGCTACAACGGAAACTGGGACGCTCGAGTCCCCTATGCCCAGATACTGGACACTGGTATCAGCTGCAATGAGAAAACATACAAGAAAATAATCACTATAAAGACTAGGAACGGCTAGCGTAACCGGAAAGATGGGTATCAAAACAACTGCAATTGACAGCGCGGACATGACTTCTACCCGCGATTGGAGCCGTGACCCCAGTTCCCACCCTCATAGCGGCCCGCATCGTGCGCAAATGGGTCTCGAAGGACAGGTCGGTGAGCCGGAGGCAGCTGGAGGTCAGGGAGAGGCCGTTGGGTCCGCGGGTCAAAGGCCTGAGGCGGTTGCGTCGAGGCTGGCGGCGGGGGAGGCGGAGGCCCCGCATCGGGATTCGGATGCTGGGGAGGGGGATGGGCATTCTGCACAGCAAAGCCGGACGCCGGATAGGGTTGGGACACGGGTCCGGAGCCATTCGTATGTGGGGGCGGCGGACCGGATGCAGGATGATAGCTACTGGTTCGACGGCGGACGTTGCGGTCGCCGTCACCGAGCGGCTCCGCGTCATCGTAGCCAGAAAAGGACGACACTGAGCCGCCGGCAGTGGACGAGGGAGCGGCCGAGGGCCGTCGAAGGCGAGGCGACGGCGGACGGGCGTAGTGGTGATGCTCAGCTGGACCTCGCTCCAGTACAGCGGCCTTGAAGAAGTCGCGCTCGCTGCGGTAAAAGTCAGCGTCCTCTCGCGCCTCTGCCAGCTCTTGCTCCAGGCGCGATATGCGATCGGACGCCTCGCGTTCCTTCTCCTTGCGACGTGCGCGAAATCGAGCCGAGGCGCCCGCATTGCGCTTCCGCTTCTCGTCGGCCACTTTGGATGCTGCCTGCACGTCGACGGGTATCTGTACGTCATGTCCATGCTGATTCTTGATGGTCATCATCTGAATTGTATTCTGCCCTGACGGCTGCATCGAGATCAACCCGGCGCGCTCCGTCTCCATGGCAATCGGGGGATTTGGCGGGCGGCTTCCATAGACGCCTTGTTGGCTTGCAGTTTCAAACTGGCTGGGGCTAGAAGCCACCGAAGCAGCGGAATTGAAGGGCGAGTAGGAGGGTATGGGGCTCGCTGTTCCGGACTGTGGGAAGCTGAGGCTGGGTCGTCGCATCTCGTTACGCGGCACGCTTGGGGGAGGTGTCGGCGCTGTTGGCGGCATAGGGGAGAAGTAGGTCGTTCGCGGTCCAAGTGGCAGCGTTGGAGCACTGGTTTGTGATGGTAGGGGATCCAATCCATAGCCCCTGTTGCTCGGGGGAACAAAAGGCGAGTGGATGGCATCAATCGTACCCGTTGGCTGCCCCAACATGCCCACAGGCTGTGGTGGGCGCACACCTGGCGACCTGGGGCTGAGCATATGCCTTACCGGTGGCCTTCCCGGCGGTGGGAACGCTCTGGCATCATCGGGGGCTGAGCCCACGCTCGGCGGTCGGCTGATGGATGGTAGACTGTTGGAGAGGAGCGTCTCCACAGGAGAGGGTGATTCCATCTGCGACCCGCTCCTCCTGCGACTCCGCTGTTGTTCTGCCAGTTCCGCTTGCGGGTTCAGCATTGAGTGCACACCCAGCGGGTTACCCTGTCGTCTGTCAGACTGAGGCATAGGCGGAGTCTGCGACAAGTGTCGCAACGGCGGCAGCGACACGCCCTGTGGAGCGGAGGCATGGTGGGGACTGTTTCCGGGAAATGACGGCGTCCCTGGACCAGGCTGTGTTGGGGACATGCGAGGAGCTGGCTGCGTTGGCCGCGCACCAGAATCGATTGGAAAGGCGTGTGGGTTTGGGGTTGGCGGCGACATCGGATTCCTACCCTCTGAGCCCCTCTGGCCGTGCTGGCTCGACCATGAGCGGTCCAGATGGCGGTGAACTTCTGGATCCAAGTGAGGAGCGGTGGCGGGGTGGTACGGTCGAGTCAAGGAAGGCGGGAAGCAATGTCGGTATGAAGGAGAGGGAGTCGAGATAGGAGGAAGCGTCTGGGCAGCCAGCGTGGAAGATTAACGTCGGGTCGCCGCAGGAGACAACGACCCAGATTCAATCGAAAGGGGGAACAAGGCTCGCGGCGGAGTACAGAAGAAGAAAGCAACGTGGTGGCGACAGGAGGCACAGGAGGCGGCGGAGAAGGATTCTCAAGTTATAGTACGAACGGGAACTGTTGATCTCTCAAGGTGCCATGTTCGGTTGCGATGGAGTTTCTGCAGTGATGAGATGTCAACCTCGGGGTCTGGTGGACGTGGGGAGAACACAGGACAAGGGACGAGGAATCGAGGAGAGCTCAGAGGAGGAGGATGACGCGCGATGAGGCTGGACAGCTTCCAGGCGGTGAGCGGGGGGTAGGTATATCCGAAGGGTGAGAGAGCGAGAGAGCCTTGGTAAGTCCCACGGCTGACAGGCTCGAGGGGAGATGCAGAGACGTGCGTGCAGCGCACCAGCCCTTGGGCTTGCAGGGCTTGACAGGACGTTCACAGGAGTTGAGTCCGGGCATGGTGGTTGGAACTGAGTAGCGGAGCATGGCGTCCCTTGTCACCAGCGCGGCGGCCCATGTCCCCCGGCGCCGTCTTCAGCCCCCAGCAAGTTGGCCCCTGTCTCGCGTCCGGGTGGGCTCGTCAGCGTGGTTGCTGAGGGTACTTTATTATTTTACCCAGGGAATGCATCTTTGACAGCGTGATGGTGCTTGCGATTGGCAGACGGCCCTGAGAAAGCCAGCGACTTGTGACCAAGCCGAAAGAAAGGTCGAGGCAAGCAGCACAAGCACACAGGGTTGGCGCCGCAATAGGCTTCGCGACGCCTCAACGGGAGCCGCTCAGTCGTCATCAGCTCCGGAGTACTGTTGGTGAGCAGCTCCATGGCTTCGAGAAGGAGGGACGGTAGCATAGCCAGGAGGAAGCCCTTGGCGGGTTCGTGGGGTACCTAAATACACCGTACACTCCAGGAACACCATGCGACGCGCGTACTTTTGAAGGAGTAATAATAGGATCCGGCAGCAGCAGTTGGTGTTGCACAGGTTTGTTGTTTGCAGAGTACTGCTGTGTTCTTCGTAGTGTGCAGGAGAACTCAACAAAGGCTTCTGACTTGCTCATCGGTAGATGTCCATCCGGAGTCCAGGGGGAAGGCCCAGGGCGTCGGTTGGGCATCAGTGCCGCCATGACATTCTTTGGTCATCCGCCTGGACTTGACCCAGGGTATACTCGGTACTGTACACAGTACACAGTACTTCGTAATCTGAGTGGTTGAGAGTGATTTGATGGGATTCGTGGGGGTTGGGGAGAGCAAGAAGTGACGCAGGTCGCGCAGCGAGCGCCTTGGGGAAATCATTTCTAGACGGGTTAAAAATACATGACGCTGTCCTACCAGTGGCAGTACTTGTACATACGTACGCGTGCTCCAGAGCAGAGGGGACGCGCCGTGGGGGTGGGTAGGCCCGACCCTTGCCGGGCGGCGATGATGCGCATGTGTGCAGTGTGGTCGTTGCCGAAATTGCTTTTTTATGATTCGTGCATGGCCCTTTTCTTTTTCCCTTTTCCATTTTGCTATTTTCCGGCAATTATTGTTGCTGGAAAACGCTAGCCGTCGGGATGAAGAATGGGTCCGGAGGTTGGAATCAAGGCCAGCATGCGTCCCGAACATTCATCCGTGGGCCTTCCTTCCTTCACTTGCCCACGAACAAAGGACGAGGGCGACAGCGACGTGGCAGACACCCTTGCTGCATTGCAGACAAGGTCATGTGCTGGCGGCGGGTTCCAAGGTTCCTTTTTTTGGCCTCGACGGAGTTCAGCGAACAGGTTCTTGATTGGTGGGCGAGGGGTTCGAAAGTGATGGTGGGAGGCTGTTGGAGCTGCACATCATATTCACCGCCAGGACCCAGAACCGGCGGCCTGCGCGTGTGCGGGTTCGTGGTGGACATGCATCCAGACCAGTTTGCAGGAGGGTTCCTTATAGAACAACCGACACGGACAGAGTACTCCGTACAAAGACTGGTATATTCGTAGCATAGAACAAGAATGAACTGACTTATATTGGACAGAAGTTCAGAAGCTGGTGAAAGTGGGTGAAGTGTCGGACAGGAGCTCGCCTACCGAGCGAGATCTAGCAGTTCACGTGGTGCCAGCCTAAATTTCCTAATCGAAATGGCGCGCCAAGGCTGCAGGCAATGGACTTACCACAGTGCTGTGTACCTGGGTTTGGCCTCCACATCCTCACAACGCACACCGTTCCGAATCCGCACCCTCCTGCACCTCTTCCACCTCTTCCACCTCTTCCACACTCCGCGATCGGTCTCAGGCAAGAGTTTCCTTCGACACAGTAAAATGGCTTCTCTCCACGGTCGAATTAAAAGGCTGCCAGTCCTCGCCCCCGATGAAGACTGTATCACCAAAAACCACAGAGGCGCCGCCTCACAACACCACCCTACTGACCGTGACTCGCCGTCGCCTGGACCGCCAGCCTACTTGAATCGCGCCGCTCCGAGCTTCCTTCCGACGCCCGTTGTTTCCTAACTCGCACGCCTCGCCTCATGGCTCTCATCCGTCACCGTGCCGCTCCCGCGGGCGCAACATGGCGCGGAGCAGAAACCGGGGCCAATAATACAAGGTAAAGAAATACCAGGAATTGCCTGTTACGCCGCATGGGGAGAGAGTCGTTTCAAAAGCCTTCGCCGTAACCGACGTGGCCTAGCCAACGAAGCCGTCACTCTTGGCCTTCGGCTGCAATCATCTTCAGGCCATGCTCTCTTTCTCTCCGCCCTAGCGCCTTACACAGGCTTAGCCAAGCGTATATTATTCCTCGCTCTCTCCATGCTCTCCTTGTCCTATCTGTCCCAGCAGCGCGGTTTATCCTTTAGCCGATTTAGCAATTCTCTTTGTATTTCTTCTAAATTCACCCTTCGTACGGAGTGCTTTGGTACACTTGTTCCCGCCCCTCGAACAATATTTCTTTTCTAGCGCCGCACGACTGTCCGCTACATCGTGCCTACGCTTAGAACCAACACCAGCAGCGGCTTAGGCGCCTACACAGTAAAGCATCGTATCGTATCTTCATTACTGGTCCTCCGTACATGTTCAACCTCCTGCGTTGGTACACAATGCATGCAACCGAGTTAGAAACGAAGGGTTTCGGCAGTCTGATCGCTCCGGCACTTTTGCTGCCTGCAAGCTCTGTTCAGCCTGTTCTCTGGACCCGCTGGGGATCCTGCATCAACAAAAAGGGCAATATACAGTAGAATTACTGTGTATCGGCCAAACCACGCTTCTCAGTACTGCGGTGCAAATCGAAGATTTGCCGCCTTGCTCATAAACCAGTAACGGCAATGCCAATCAGGAAATCGCTGGGCCATGCCATCATTCGCAGTTTTGACAAGAACTTCTCGATGCCTTGTCCTCGCATCGTCCCAGGCTATGAATATCTTGCAAACTTGGTGCAGGTCATTCCAGGCTGCAGAGATCCTAGGATATCCAAGGTTAATATCAATCCCCCTGCTTGCATGAGAGGTACTTATGTACAGTGGTAACGGCATATCGCCCTGATAAATTCGAATTGAGCCAATCAACAAATCCATTGAGGAAGCATCACTATTACCCTTCCAACTTATTACGAGTCGCTTATCCCTACCGCTGCCAGACAACTCCGCAAACGAGCTCCAGGGCTTCATGATTATCCGCAGGATGCGGAGGGTACGCAAGTATTAGTACTCGATAATGGCACGTACCTACGGAGTACAACCCTGTACAACTGCTGTCTCCCTGCCGTGCGCGTAGCCGCCCTCGACTTCCAGAAGGCCTCTAGCTGCTTAGCAATCGCTGCATCTTGTATTGTGTATTAGCCAGATCGTTTCTTCTGTAGGCGTTCTGTTGCTGCTCCTTCACCAAACCCTAGCCGCGCCGTTGGAGAATTGTCGCCAACGCAAACCAGCCATCCGCCCCGGCCTCTACCCAAAGGCTATCCCTGCGTGCAACTGGGCATGTCTCAAGGGCCTGTTCGGTATCCATTCCTCCGTTGTGCACGTCAGCTTTCGTCTTTTGCTGCTCACGTCAAGATTCTTGCCAGTGTGGCGCGAAACGAAGGTACCGTTCATGTTATGTCGCAGTATGGAGTACCACCGGTATTCATATGACCCCGTACAGCATTCTTGAATCATTGCGTGCGTGCGCATTATGGGACGTGGGTACCCCAGCAGCAGACCCATCTGGTACGGTTTGCTTTTCAGAGGTACACAACAATAAGACATCTGACCGCGTGCAGAGCGTCATGTTCCATCGTCAGACAGCTATATTGCCACGCATTATAGGCTGAATAAGCAGAGCGACAGTCCGTAGCGACATGCAAACATTCCTACCGGGTGTTTGAGAGATTTTACTTTAGAAGGTCTTACTCTACCGTACGGCACCTATTCTTTGAGGTGGCCCCCTTCTTTAAGGGAGTTAAGCCTAATTAGTTTACCGCCCCATCTCCGCCAACCGAAGGGCGGCAGAAACTTGTTAAGACCTGTCGCGGTGCAGGAGTAAAGAGATTCTACTAGAATATCTCCCCTCCTACGCTATAATAAACTAAGATATAGAAACTGTGCAGAGACATAGTCTTTGCAGCCCCTTCTATCTAAGTTGCACAAGCTTCTTCTGTCTAGGAATCTTGCAGAAACAGTGGTGTTCGAAACTGCAAAAAAGGGGTACACCGCAAAGAATAGGTGCCGTACGGTATACGTGCCACTTCATCTTTATTATGAGCTTGCTTCCGATATCTCTGCGTACTTCTGCTTGTAGATACCTGCATCATCATGCGAAGATCCCGCACCCTAGCTTCTTGCTTGTCCGCACACTGCCTACAACCTTCTACTACCTGTCATCATTCAGCTTTGGCGTTTAGCACACATTCTGTAGTCGAGCTTCCCTGCTCACACTCATCGCTGAACGGCTGCACGCACTACCAGACGACGGGCATGCAAATCAAGCGAGGCATATCGTCACCTATATCCGGCTCCGTGCGATCTACAGGGAGTTTAATGTCTAGTCGACGGTTGGAACAGTCACCGTCATGTCTCCAGACAGCGTGGCATCATGCTAAGGAACCGCGCTACATCCGTATGCCTTGATCAACAGGATTCAACGCTTCCTGAGTTGTTATACGGAGGAGGCATGCCATCTTCGTAAGGATTAGCAACCCGATGCACGGCAGGAATGCTTGAATGCAAAGCTTCGGCTTCGGATCCTAGACCGTATAGCTTTATCATAGATATTCGGTTTCGACCTCCAAGCAATGATAACAAGTAGATCTGCAGTATTACCCTCCAAGTCTCCAATGGTATCCTCTAGAATTTCCCCTTGACAAAAGGCCCCGAGTACGTCAACAATAAGAGCTGGTTGATATGTGCCCTCCACGCATCACCGAGCGAGGGCATGGCATTGAGAACCACGGCTACTCCCCCACAACCTCACCATTCACCTTACCCCCCTCAATGGCCTCGCCGCCCTTGAACCTGAATCTCTTCAAGCCCCTCACACCGACGTTGATCCTAAACACGCTGCCTGCAAACTCGTCGACGCCCTTTCCATCCGGACCTCCGGTGCCTCCAGCACTGGTGATGATCAAGTCCTCGCCCACGAAGCAAGGACAGGTGGACTGCTGGGTGGGCACCTTGACTTCGGCCACAATCTCGCCCTGAGGGGAGATTCTGAGCACGACGCCTCCGCCGTGCACGGCCGTCCACATGTACCCTTCCTCGTCGATGCAATGCCCATCTGGCACGGAACCTTCCCCATACGTCTTTTCGGGCATGGTGAAGAAGGTGCGCCGGTTGCTGAGGGTGCCGGTAACGGGGTCAAAATCGAATTGCGATATGGAGCGCGAGGGACTGTCGGCGAAGTACATGATGTTGTCCTGCTTGTTCCAGGTGGTGCCGTTCGGGATGGTGATGTTGGATAGGGGCCTGTGGAGGGAGAGGTCCGGATCGAGGCGGAAAACGGCACCTAGCATGTCAGCAATGGAACTTTCTGCTTGCAGCATCGACTGCAGCATGCCTTTGGGCGGCATACCTTCGTCGACCACTTCTGCAACCAGGGGGTCATTCATGAACCCAACCCAGAATCGGCCCTGCGAGTCGACGGCTCCATCGTTCGCTCGCATGCGCTCCGGCTTGCCGTCCTTGACCTCCTCATCGTTCCAGACCCTTTTGATCCACCGATACTCTCCTGTTTCTCGGTTGCAAATACCGTAGCCGTACTTGCCTCCAAAGATGAACTCCTTCTCATTGCCCTCAATGTCGGCGGTGCAGCCCATGGAAATGTCCATCTTTTTCACGACCTTGTGGCTGGACGGCCCTACCGCGAGATCGACGGTGTGCAGCTCCTGGCGCTCAATGTCGATGAAGCGGAGCGTGTTGGTGCGGTCCTCCCAGAAGGGGCCCTCGCCGAGTGAACAGTTGTAGCGAATCCATGGCTTTTGAGGGGAGTTAAGAGTGTCAGCGGCCAGCCGGTGCAGCGCGTGTGAGGGGAACCATGTACCTCTGTGATTTCATACTTTTTCACGGCGCCCATTTCTTGCTGCGCACTCGACGTGTTCTGGGGATTGGTCGTAGTCGCAGCGCCGTTGGTGGGTTTGCTCTTCTCGCTGTTATTATTGTTGCGCAGCTTGCCCGGGCTGCCTCCGCCGGTCCAGGCGGTGCGGAAGGAGACCCACAACTTCGAAAGTCCGCCCATCTCGCTATGACGTCTGCGCGAACGGCGGCGGGCGTGGGTGCGACGCTAAGGTGACGTGCCGCAGGAAGAGAGACTTCAGTCAGAGCCAATGATCCTTTGTTCACCTGTTGACCTTAGCGAAGTCGTGAAGGAGACGAGAGCAGGGAGAAAACGGTCAATGGGCGTAAAGACGACGGCAGAGGGCGGACAGAGAGATAATATTATTATGTGGGCCATGGTGCTTTCTGGACGGTCGTGCGGTCAGTCGCTCGGGCGGTAGGCGAATGCATCCGGAATGAAAAGGAAGCGACCTGTCCCAGGGAAGCAGAGGTAGTATCGATGCAGTATAGTGTTGTATAGTGCTGTTGGGAGAGAGCGGTTCTGATGAGTGCTGGTGCGCCGTGAAGCTGCTGTTCTTCGGCTGCACGGTCCGAAGTCGCCCAGGGGGTTGCACTCTAAGCAGGCAAAGGACGTTAACTTCACCAACATGAACGTGTTGCCCAGCGAGATGGATGCACCGTTTCGGCAATCAGATGAGATAAAACACGTTGCGCGCATTCTGCCTTGAAACCCGACCCGTATTGGCCGTTGAAACAAGCTTTTGCTTCAACGGTCGATGCCGCTGGCGTCCAGATCGCAGAGCCGCAGCGCGTGAAGAGCGGTGGCCCGATATTGCCCTTCATCTACTCGACGCCGGCTATCGTTCGATAAAATATACCTATGCATATTTGATCATGTCCTCAGATAAGAAGGTCCTTTAATGTCTAACCGTGGCAAGGTTCCTGTCTGCCCTGAAATGGGACCCCTATTCCTGCGATGAGCGGGGCAGTATTGCTGCACTGTGTTAGGTAGGATAGCTTAACATCTACGAGACAATCAGCATCTCTAACAGGGAGTCGTTAAGATTCGACTTTAGCATACCTAAGGGCCTGTTTAGTTTAAGAATTAAGGATCTCTTGTACAGGCTAGAGGGCAGGAATAGTAGACAAAATTTAAGCGCGCTGTTTAGAATATGCTGTTTAGTTCTATTTTTTAATTATCTTTTATAAGCCTCTTAGCTAGGGCTAGTTCCTAGTAGAGTAGCTAAGAGGAAAGGTAAGATGTCCGAAAGAGAAACCATGTACCACATGCTCCTGGACAAGATATTCTCTGCAATCTAAGCGAAAGGATGCAAATACTGAGGAGCTCGTTCCCGTCTATGACTATCTGTTCCGATTTGACCGCGGCTCCCATTGGCTCGCTGCGTACAGCTGGCCGCCGAAGCTTTGGAACCGCCTTTCTCGACTACTTATGAACTCGATGTTCAAGAGTGAGTTCACGTCACGAGCGTTCCAACTTTCAGAGACAAGCCAGATGTCTATCATCCAGAATATCGAGGTACCTCCCGAAAATACAGTGGATATGCTGCAGTTTCTCGAGTCTACATTCAGGATATACCCGCTCTGGCTGTGTCCGATCAAGCACGCACTCCCAACCTATTTCATCAACATAGGAGTCTATGGTATTCCAGATCATGGCCGAAGGCCATATACCAGGAACACCCCGGCCAAGTTCACTCAAGACAACCAGGCCATTGAGCGTTGGTTTGAACAAGTCGGCGGTTTCAAGTGGCTCAGCGGCCAATGCTTCAACGACGAGCCCACATTCGAGCGCATCTATGATACGGAAAGGTATCACCAAAGCAGGGGAAAGTGGAATGCCACTACCTTATCTCATCTTTTGCACAAGATCACAGACGAGCCCACGAGCACCAGCACAAAAAGGGAACGAAGAGGTGTTAGCGCGAGCAGAGCTTTGCTGCTGGCAGCACTGAAGAGAAAGGTGTTGCTCCAGTGAAGCCAAAGCACAGGGTTTACGCAGAGGAGACTCAAAGGCGCATTACAATTCTCCATTCCAGGGATCGAGCTTTGGGAGTGCTACTCCCGGCTTTCGATGCTCTCGTAACCCCACAATAAGGGCCACACCATCTCGTTGAACGCCGATGCTATGCATAGACCATACATGTCTCGGTATCCCCATCGACCATCATGAACACCGTTACGCTCGTAATCCCCTCAAACCATCACTGCACATATTCAGACTCAACGCGCATTCTCCTGCATCTCCGCATCTTTTTCACCACTCCTCACATCTCCAGTCACCTGCTCCACGATCTTGGCCTCGGTCACCGATTTTTCTCTTCCCTCACGTGCCACGATAGCCCGTGTGGGCACTCCGACTCCGACGGCACGGCCCGAAAGCTGGTGCCAGCAGTCCGGCGCCTGGAGGATGTACTTCTCCATGGCCATACGGAAGCGATTCCGGTAGTCCTTCGGAGACGTGATGGTCGGCTTGTTCTTCCCACGGTCTTTGATCCACGATTCGAGTTTCTTGTCCCAGGTATATGTGCGGATGCAATCTGTACGGAACAGTTAGCACGTCTGTAATGGGCCTAGCTCGGGAAAACAGTGAAGCACATACCGATAATGCCGACGATGATCTCCCGGCTCTCATCGTGGAAGCCGGCCATAAGACTATAGTCCATAACATTGTTCTGCTGCAAGAAAAGTGTATCATTCCACACGCTCGCCTTGAGCAACTTCTTCGTATGCTCCCGCACGAAGATGGGCGTTTCGCTGTAAATGATATCAACGAGGTTCTCATCAAGGAGCACCTCGTCCCGCTCGCCAGTCTGCTGCACTTTGCGATTGCGCATGCTGCCTTTGAGGTCGTACCGCCGGTTGGGTTCACGCTCATAAAACAGATTCTCCATGACGAGTAGGAACCAATCAAAGTCACGGCCTGACGGCGACTTGATTTGCACCTGGAACAGACCAAACATCTTTGCTATGACCGAAGGCAGGCCTTTGAAGAGATTTTGATGGGTGAAAGCAAAGTAATTGGGCGCAAAGCGAAAGAAGGCGTTAACTTCAATTGCTGACAGCGACTTGACCACGAAACGCTCGTCCATTGTCTTCAGGAAGATGCTTTTGCTTTTACCGCCTTTGGAGTCCCATTTGGAGCAGCGCGAAAGAGACTCAACAAAGCGGTCTGCAACGCCGCATTTCCGTCGAAGCGCATCGAACGACTCGGCATAGAAGATTTTACAGTGGGCTTTGACCCCACGGTTGGTGAAACTGTATCGGATGTTCGTATTGGCTTCATGCAATAAGTTCCTCTCGATTGAAGCTTCCGAGCCCTCCAACCCTCCGATGCCATTGGGAGCAACTGTGGCATCCTCGCGAAAGTGCTTTAGCTTGGTGAGGTAGTCTGGGCTAGAGAGGGCGAGCGCAATGATGGAGGACGGCTCGTCTTCCCGAACGATGATATCCGAATCCTCCCACACATGCTCATTGTGACCTAGTGGGTATTCGAGAGGAGCCCACGCACTAGCAGAGCGTTCTGACCAGAAACTTGTCAGCATTTTCATAAGGGTAGTTTTTTCATGCTTAGGCAGCTCCATTGAACCTTCCAACAGCTGGGAGCTGCCTACGCTTTCCGGAAGGGGGATATCTTCCGCGCCCATCTCGACGTCGCTCGCTTCGTTCTCCACGTCAGATGTTGGATGGCTTAGGCTTGTCGATTGCTCCTCTTTCTCAACGATGTGAGGGTTTTCGCCACCTGTATACGCTTCTTCAGGTGGGGCTCCAGTGGTGGTCGCCGCAGTTGTCTCCGTGTGCCCGCTACCGCCAAGCGTGCTGTTATCGGTACTAACTCGGGGTGGGGGGGAATGTTGTGTCTCCTCGTCCGAAGGGCTATGCTCTTGGACCGCCTCATAGGCATCGCTATATACCTCGACCACGGGTTTGGAGGACGCTAGTGGATATGCACGCCGGCGGTTTTGCCTCTGTTGATGGAGCCTTTCGCGCTTCCTCTCCTTTTCAAACTCGCGCTGGAGTTGTTCGAAATGTTTAGCTAAAGCGGAGACTCTCGTTGCCTCTTTTTGTCCTTTGCCGGGTATAGATCTTGGAATCGGAATCATTGAAGCTGATCTCGCCTGCTTGAACGCGCCGAGCTTCAAACGCTCAGACATGCGCCGCTCGAGAGCCCTGGCGGACTCGTTCAGAGAGCTCCTTAGGGAAGTGCCACTCCCTGAGCCGCTAGACCCCGAGCCGTTGTTCAAGGATCCCAAGGGGGTGTTTTGGAGTTTTGGCACTCCATCGGGCTGTGATTGTGTTCGTGCAATGCCAGCCGGCCTGATCGCAGTTTCCCGACGTATAGTGTCGACTAATCGAGGAATCCTAGACTCCAGTGTTCCCGGCGACTGCACAGAGGTCGGTGAAACAGGCATCTTGTCGATGGCATCAGCGACGTCTGGATCCATTGGCTCTACCGAGGATGGCTCCGCATTGGAGGTTGGAGGAGGTGTAGGAACCACTGCTTCCCCCTGCGTTGCTACCTTGTCCGCAAGGTTTGAGGACACTGCAAGGTCCAGATGGCGAACATCCTCTCTTTCTAGTGCCTCTATGTGCTTTTGCAAATGCGGAACCGGGATGACCGGGCCAGTAGGGCTTCGAGACTCGCCTGACTCTTCAGGATGGACGTTGGCCTCCTCGCCTTTCTGCGATTGATGCTCTTCAACAACAGAAGTGAGCACGTCGCGAGCTTGTTCCGGCGACATGGCCGATGGCATTGGCGCAATAGGTGCGGTGTCATCTTTTTCGGGCAGGCCCATCTCCTCGATTTCCGTTTCGTTTCCCTCATCAACCGAAGCGAGCGAATTGGCTGATTCATCACGCTCAAGGAATATTCGTTTGAGCTGCAGCGAGGCGAGGCGCCTTATGTCCCTCTCGGATGGGAAAAACGTTTCCTCAAGCTCGGTGAACGTAATGTCCCATGCTATAGCCTTTTCCTGTATCGCCCGGATGGCGCGGTTGAAAGGTATGATCTCGTAATACTTGGAGCTCATGTATTTCTCTTGCAGCTTTCGCTTCAGCCATTCATGCTCTTCGTTTGCTCGTTTCATCAGTCGGTCTACCTCTGCACTGCACGCGTCAGCTTTTTCAGGCAGCACGCTGTCTGTGCGAATGCTGCCGAGACGTGCGCGCACCGACGCCATGAATCTCTCCAGCCTCTCCTCAATATTTGTGAACAGCTCATTCTTCAGCTTCAAGTCGCTATCAACCTTCCAAGTGATAACCGGCTTTGGTGCAATAACCTCATACAATGGTACTCGGTCATATTGCATCCGAAGTGCAAGGTTGTTCAGGCCAAAGAAACGTACGTGATCCCTGTGGATATCATGAGAACATGACTGGGACTGTGGACGGAGCTCCTTGCTCCAAAAAGTCAATTCCAAGTACTTGGCAAACGAGTATTTCCACGTGTTGGCAGACATAGGGATAACCTGTGTCTCTTCCCCACACTTCCGGCATACGCTCCACATGAGGATGATGTTTTGTGAGTTCTTCAGCTTCGGCGGGCATCCGATGACATGGACGCTGAGTTGCCCGTCTCCATGGACGTATTGACGATGATGGTCGATGAGGCGCAAGTTGCAACCATCAAGCTCGCAGGGAAGTCGGGCACTTGTGATAAGATCTTCCACGTACTGACCTAAAGTACAGTCAGGAGTGAAGCCATCGTCGTAGTCATGCTCCTGGTAGAAACCAAGGGCAATGATCTCCGGGCCGATGCAAGGTGTCGAAGTCTTGGAATTGACAACACTATACAGTGCAGCAATTTTCTGGTGATTGAAGGGATTGTATATGTCCATATTGCCTGACAGAAAGGCTTCCCAATGGCGTTTCTGGGTCTGGTAGCTGTGCAAGGCCCTGTCGTATTCCGATGCATGCACTGCGTGTAAGAATTCACGTACTTGCTTTGACGCGCGGTTGACCATGGTGTGTATCATCTCGGGTTGGATCAGCTCAAAGGCTTGAGGGACATCTCCATCCTCACCAACGGCGTCTGTCGTATACTGGTCTCGCAGGCGCCTTAGATAACCGAGTTTTCTTTCATATTCGCGAGCTTGGTTGAGCAAATAGGGCTGAGAGAAGTTGACAAACGGAGATGCGGAAAGCACCGTTGTTTGATGTTTTTGAACCATGTCACTATAAAAGGACGGCGTTGTGCCGTTATCTTCCGCTTGCATGTCTGGCTTGGTTGGACTATCGCCTGCGATCGTAGGTGCATGCGAAGACTCTGTTGGTGGCGCTGTAGGCGTGGTTTCCATACTATCCGCTGTGCCCTTCTGCGCAGATTTTTCGAAAGCCGTCTCATCCTGCGATTTGGCTGCCAACGTCCCATTCGCGACTGCGGAGGGAATCGTGATCGACTCGTCACGCATCAGACAAGTCTCCAGCCTCAAGTTGTATACAACATAGCACATGAACTCTGTGATACGCTTGAGTTTTCGTAGAGTCTTCGTCTCGGCGCCCCGTAGAACGATTGTGCAACCTAGCTGGGGTTGACAACCAGATAAAAATATGTAGGTTTTCTTCGAGTTTTTGTGAACGTAGGTTTTGACTTCAAAGCTCTCGCATTGGCCCAAGTATCCTCGATCGATGGCAAGTTTGTCTATTGATGATATCATAGGCGCACCTGTGCATCGGGAAACAGCATTAAGAACAGTCTCTTTGACATTGGAGGCCACGACGATTCCAGCCTCTTGAAGGAATTCCAGTGCAAGTCCAGACACGTTCTTTTGTACAAGTAGCAGGTGCGGCTCGAGATGCGCAATACGGCCAACGAGATTACGGAGATATTCTCGTTCTTGTGCCATGAGGCGATCCAATTGGATGAAGTGAGCCTGATGTCGTGCATACTCGATCGCAAACGTTACGATGATGATCCTTGGATTAGCAATCCTGCGGGGCATGTCCTTTCTCTCCAGCTGTTTAGTAAAGACCACCCCAGACACGTAAGACGTATCTTTGGGTCTGCCCCCTGGAATTTTCTTAAGCTTGATATAGTGCCTTATGTCCATATCGTCACTTCTTCGCACATCAGGATTCACATCATCGGTGCACTGCAAAAGAATGGGTAAGAGCGCCTTCTCCCAGTTCGAAGAATGGGCTATTGCGGCATCATCAAGCAACTGTCTCAGGAGCAAACGCACATGTTGAAGGCTAGCCCGACTGAGCTCGATGGTAGGTATGACAGGTCCATGCATGGAAGCGCTACGGATGATCCCTGAAGTAGGGCGGGGAGTCGCCAAAAGGGTCTGGGGAGAAGATGAGGTTCCCGGGTGCTCGTAGGGTAATGGGACGCCGAGCGTAGCGCCAAATGATCGTAAAATACTGTTGCTCTTGGAGCGCCTAGGCGAAGGTTTGCCATGGGTCACGCTACTGACACTCAGGTTTCGCCGTCGTGAATGCCGATTAGCATGCCTGCTACTGACGCTGAATGTATCAGGGTCGCGTCCACTCATACCAGCGAACATCCCCCTGTCGGTGGGTCTAGGTTTTCCCTTACGCATTGCAGAGAGGAGGCCGCCGAGGCCACTCTTCTCAGTGTCGGCCGCGTGGGCAGCCGAGTCTCCTCTCAGAGTGGCAAAGATGCTTGGTTGTTCGTCTTCGGAAGACTCTTCATCAGACATGAAGGGGGCAAGCTCAGGATCGATGATGTTGTCATGATGAAAAGCAGGTAGAGAGGACCGTTTGCGACTGCCCTCCATGTCATGTTGGTGGAAGGGCGCACGATCATCGTACTTTACATTGCGCATGTGCTGATGGCGAGAGGCGTGGCGCTTATGGCTCGAGGACCGCGGCCGTCCGCTTAGAGAACGGAGAGATCTTGAGGAACTGGGTCGAGTTAATGTTGGTGGTGCCACTTCAATGACTGTAGAACGGCGCTTCTTTTCACTGCCGGCTTTTCGAGACATCGGGATGCTGATCGTAGGAGTGCCAAATTTGGTGTGGTCACTCTCTGATGGATCCATGTCTACATCCAAAGATGCATCGTCTTGACCGTAAACGGAAGCCTGGTCCGCATCGTCTGTGTAGATCGAAGAGTCATCATCGTTGCCGTAGATGATGGCCTCACATGGTTTGCATACGCGGAGGTTACCGGATTGCCCGAACACCTCGCCCGACACCAAAGATGTACACTTGGAGTCGAATATCTGTCCACATGTCCGACAATGATGCTTCCGTCTAAACGTAGAGAACGAATCGCCGCAATTGAAGCAATCTTTAGCATTCTCGTCTCGCATCCAAAACTCTCGATCGAGAATCTTCCTCCGCATTTGAGATAGATAGCTGCTGGGGAGAGCACTGGCGGGTGCATTCCCGGACGTATGCTGTTTGAGTTCGTCAATCGGAGCGATTGCGGGGGCTCGCAAGGTTCCTGTTGTGACAACGGAGCTGAGGCCATCGGATGAAGAGGCCCTTGAATTGAGAAAACCTGGCAGATGGGAAGGGCCAAACTTTGGTAAAGTCGGACGCTGAGGGGCTGACGCAATCGCGGTGCCCTGAGCGCTGGCAGTCACACGAGATGGCTCGGGGGCTTCGGGCCCGTTGTCCGGAAGCTCCCTGGGATTTTTGAGAGCGGAGTGAGCGTCCTGGTGGTAATCTCCAGGCCTAGCTGCAGATCCGGTCATGGATGGGGAGGGGGCACTCGAAGGCAGAGGAGTTTTGGCGTTGTCATGGGCCGTTTCCGCGTCACGAATCATGACCATATCGTCTTCGGTCGTGTCACTTTCGTCCCCCATATCCACGTCGCCCTGAGGCTGTGGGAAGGGCATTTCGCTCTTGTTGATCTCTGCTGTGCCGCTAACCGTGGTCAAATTGCCGCGCGGGCTTTCACCATAAGAAGCATCCTCTTTCGATGATTCCAAGGTCAGAGGCTGTGACGGGCGGGATTTTGTGGTCATCGAAGACGGCTTGGAGCCATGCGGCGACGGTTTTGCCGAGACAGCAAGGCTTGAGGCGGAAGACTCCCTGGGAAGGGGGAGCTGGCTGTCACGGAAGTGAGTCGCCAGGGGCGAGTGCAATCTGGAAGAGGTGGCCGAGACGAGCACGGGGGACGACAGCGAGGTTCCAGTTGGACTCTGGGAGCGCTTCCCATGCCTTTCGTGGCCTTTTGACGCAGACGCCTGCTGCTCGGGACCGTCATTGGAGCCTTCATTCCCCGCGTCTTTGGCGCCGCCTACGGATGCCCTGAGGCGACTGTACAAGCCACTTAGGCCGCCTTGCACAAGTTCGATCGCCTTGGTCTCGGTAGTGGACGAAGAGCTGGGTGGAGCAGTGAGCTCTCCAAACGTGGTCAGCGAACCGGACCGGGAAGCAGCAGCGTGGATCTGCTGGAGGGTCTCAGGCGGCGGCGGAGGCCCGCTGGAGCGTCTGGCATGCATGTTACCAGTCCTGGGACAGCGCAAAGAATCTCGCCATCAAGCAGCAACTCCAACTCAAAGCCAGACGAGGGGATGAGTGCTCCGTATTGTACCAGGGCCGAGCGGGGCGTGGCATTACGTGTAGGGGGTTCGCGGCTGCACGGTGAAGCGGGAGCTGTGGACTTGAGATCGGGGAGGTTTGGGTTGTCGGCGAGGCCAGCGCATTAATCAAGCGTTCGGGGTTACTGTTGCTATATACAACTTTGCTGGAGGAGTGCGAGTCCACACGCAACGGTTTGGCGGGTATTGTTTCGTTTGTACCGATAGACGGCGAGAGGAAGGCCGACATGGACAGGGCGGTGGTTTCATGACGCCATGCACGTGATCACGCCTAACGTCGTTGCGCCAAGCCTGCGGAGAACGCGAAACCCTGCCACATGGACGCGCTGGAGCTCATCAACCCACCAGAGAGACACAGATACTCACGACAACACACTTAAGTCTGTTTGCGCGTCCGCTATCCGTAACCCTCATCACAAGGAGTTTGCCTCTCACGCAGGGGGAAGCATCTTCTCATTGCTACTCGCCGAACGTGTAGACCTTGGCCAGCGTCGTTTCACCGTCGACGTCCTCGCTGCACCTGGGCACCTGGGCAGCTGCGCCAGACATAGTCGATACCAACCTATCCCGCCTTCGTACCACTGCTCTTTCTCTTTCCCCGCTCCGGCGGGCTATGGAAAAGGCTCGCAAAGGCTGGCTTGAGGACTCCATTTGTGGAGATTTGCTTCTAGGCGTGCACTGGTTACAGGAGCGCATCCAGAGTCGCATAGACGGCGTCAAGCAGGAACCAGACCAAACCTGGTCTGCTGTCTACCAGGACGACGGGAGTTGCTTAACCATCGATCCAGCCCCTACCAGCCAGGAACGTCGGGTCCGCATCATTGAGGTACCTGCTGGCTCGTAACCAGCCCGTTGCCTGTACCTCCAGCTGATGGTACGACACAGGCCTCGCCTTTGACTCTCTCGGACGGACACACATCCATTCGAGCCATCTTCGCCCCTGCCTGCATCCCCAAGCTTCCGGCGTGGTCCAACGACCTCCAACTCACTGACAGACGCGTGGGAAGCACCCTGTCACTGCGCAATTACGCTGTTAGGTGTACGTCGTACGGCCCTCCTGCCGATAAATTGCATCTTGTTCTACACGCTGTTGACTGGCATCGTGGTCGTCATGTCAGGACCGTTGGAACACCCGATCCCGTTACATCGCTTGCACCATTCAAAGCTCTTCTGGCTAGGCTAACTGATGTAAGAGTGCAGGGACATAGAAAGTACGTGTATGAAGATCGGGATTCGAGCGTCATGTCAAGCAGCTCGCTGGAGGATTCGCAAAGCTCGCAGAAGTTCGCCACTCAGATGCCTCCAGTCTCGGTGAGAGGCCGACAAGGGAACGCAGGCGTACAACAACGTGCTCAATCCATCACCGATACTGGCCGTCAGCAATCTGAGCCTGCGCTTCGTCGGAGTGGACAGCCCGCAAGGCCTGGAAGGCCTGACCCTGGTCTGCTGAGTCTGCTCGACAATCACGCACGCCATGGTAACCCCCAGAGAGCGCAGAGTTTGGCCCAAACACCCCTCCAGCCGCAAAATCACTCCTTGGACGAGGTAAGAGTTGAAATATATTCCCGTTTTACCCTCTGTCCATGCTGAGCTTGTTTTGGCAGACCTCATCGCCGCCTATGCAACAGGTGGATGTAAGAACATCAGAGGGCAGGCGCGTCGAGAGTGCCAGCAACCCAGATGTGACAAGGAATCCGACATCTTCCCAGGCCAAACCAGAGTGGTTAGCTGGATGGGTGTTTGATGTTACCGCCGCAACAGTAGCAGACGAACAAAAGGACTGTCTTCTCAGACCCGAGGCGTGGCACAAACCTCCACCGGGCGTACAGAGCTCGGTCATCAACATCCCAATCGAGATCCAGAAGCAGATCGAAGATCATTTCAATAGGCGCCAACCACCCGCCGAACACGATTGCGACTCCAGTTATGACCCGGGCATCTCAGTCGCTGAAGACGGCCAAATCCATGGACAGCCAAGCGTATCCGTTGATCGAGAGGACCAAATCCAGAGTCAACTAAGTCACATCAGTCTGGATGAGAGAGAAACTACCTGGTCACCATCTCCTCCCCGGTCTCCAAAGCAAACCCATCGACCTAGCGAAGCACTGCCTCCAGATTCGACACTTGGTAGCACTGTTGATGCAACCCCGAAGAAAGACGTGCGACCCGACCTACCACTCAATCCTCCTTCGGCCAGCATTGCAGGTAAGACTCCTTCAGGTAGCACCGGGCCGTCCCTATCTAATGGAAGCGCCAACGGCGCTGGGTCATCTCCTCTCGGGAACAACGTTGCAAGCCCACAATCTCCTTTCTCATTGGTCAGGCCCAGGAACAATGTGTCAAGGCCAAACGCCGTGCCGCCTGGATCTTCTTTGCTTGGTCGTCCCCTTCGTTCCGATCCCGATGACGAGGAAGACATGGAAGTAAGTGTCCCTCTTGCTCTGGGAGAGGACCTTGCAGAAGAAAATGCGGGATTTCCGATAGTGCTACCCAACCGTGCCGTTCAGAGTAAACCGTACCATCGGCCACAGCCTATCGCCCATGTCCAAGAAACGCTAGAAGCGCGACAGCCAGGTTCCGCACCAGCATTGGGAGCGGAACTACATCCATCTCTCCCACAGGGTTTTAATGGCGCGTCGGAACATACTAGTAATGTTCGCTCGATAGCGAGAACGGTGCGGTCCCGAAAGGGAGCTTCTCAGTACCTTGAGAGCTACTTGCTTCGAAGTGACCTGGAAGAGCTACTCGAGCAGTATGGTCTCCCAATAACATACCATGACGGAAAACCGATGATAATGAAGGACATGGTCCGTAGCTTGGCAGGCAAAATACCCCTACAACCAGGAAGAGGACCATCTGTTGTGCGCAGGGGTGCCATGTCTGCCATTCTCTTGTCCGATTCGGATGAGGAAATGGAAGACGTTCAAGTACAGGTGGAACGATCGTCACCAGCTGCATCATTGCCTGAAGGGACAAATCTGGCAACCGGCGCAACGGGTGGTGGCCAACAGCGGCACGACGGCGCTCGTCAGCCTAGTGGTGGTGTTCAAGATCCACCGAGGCCTGAACTCACAGCGCCACGCCCCGATGACTTCCCCGTCAAGAGAAAATCAGACAGTTCGCCGTCAAGACTGGACGCCCGTCGACCAAAAAGGCGAGAGATCAGTGTGAAGAACTTTGGCAGCAGCCCCTCTCGCCCCCGACCGCGTGCAGAGCCGGGGCATAGCGAGTTAGGACGAATAGTCCAAGTTCCAGCAACACAGGTCCTGTCCCCAAACCCCGCTCCAAAAGCCGCAAATACGGGTCTAAAAGCAACCGAAAATGCGGCTTCCAATCTGGCTCCAGAGGTTGTTTCAAGCGCCCCTCCAAGCATTACAGGGCACACTGGCACTCATCAAGTGCAAGCAATCAGCAAGGCACCCCTCCCGCTACCCGAAGATCGTCTTGGCTTCGATTCCAGCCGCGATACTAGAGCGTCATTTGCTCTCCGTTGCCGCTTGGAAGATGATTTACCTGGCTCTACGACAACCGTCTTTGCCAAGTTCAAGCTCGCTTATCCAGACTATACCGGCAATAAGAAACATTTCATCAACCAGTGCAATGACATCTACCAGTTAGATCTCGAGGATAAGATGGTTGGAACATACCTATGGGATGACTACCTGATCCGAAATCGGACAGACTACAAAGACTACGTTAACAAGGCGATGGACGAAGGGGAGCGATACGAACCTTATCTCAGGTTCTTTAAACAGTCCGTTCGGGTCCCTCGCTACACAAAGGAGATTCTTTCCAGCCCCAACATGGTGTACCAGGCATTACTTGAGCTTGGGGAGGATCCCGAGCAACGATTCACGGGCCCCAGATCTTCCTTGTCTCGGAACATCAGCGTTGCCCGGGGTGCTTTTCAACCACGTCCGTCTTACCCAAGCCTTCCCCAGTTTGATGGAGCTACTGATGAAGTTTCTGAGCCTTCGGTCAAGCGTAGGAGGCTTGGGGAACAGGGAGCCTTTGGCCGATCAAGCTCTGATCCCCCCGAGGAACACATGCCGCCAATGGTACGTTTGAGCAGCGTGCCCGGCAAAAGTGGCAGTGGCGACAGCGAAAGGATTAGCACTGGAAACGCTTTTGGGGACTGTATCCTTGGGGAGCAGAAGATGACGTCGATCACTGGTTCCGTCCAGGTGAGTTTGCCATCCCTCTTGATTGAGACTCCCATTCTGACCTGTCGGCTGACCCGACCTTCCTTAAGGAAGACATAACCCTGAAATGGCCCGCCAGTGTTGCAAATCGGCCTTCTCTACCAAAACGCCCCGAGCTGGATGTATTGGCTTGGAAGGATTACCTGTGAGAAGGACTTTGTTGTGCGTTTTGCACTACGAAAGTATTTGTCCTCATGTCGAGTCTGGTTCCTGATCTGTTTCTGCTTCTTGCTCCCGGTTCTTCTTCTGTTTATCGCTCGCTGGACATCGGTACTGCGAAGCGTTTGCATGTGAAGGGGTTTCGAGGTCACTCTAACGAATCTGTGGCTTGCTTAATATGTTCTGCTGGACTTCTCCTATGACTGATACCCCATGAGACTTTGCTGAATCTTTCCTTCTTTTTCCACCGATCGCGTGGTCAGTCGTGGAAATGTTTCGAGTGTAGGAGGACTCTGCATGACTAGAGCACAATAAAATGACCACAAATGTCCCAAGCCCGAAGCTGGTTTGTTCAACGTAGCCAATGTCTATAATACCGTATCGTACAAAAACAGCGTCGATGGAAGGGCAGAAAGCCAAACTTCCATCCTTTCCTTCCTGTCAACCTGATCCAATCGCCTCTGCTTAGGGTCGTGGCTCCGCCGCAATGCCACAAGGGTAGGTGGAAGGATCGCAGAGCAGAGCCCCAACAATTGGGTAGCTACCATCTCGTATACTCTTCCTACTTCGGCATCTCAGTGGCGGCGTCTCTAACAGACCAATCCCCCCAGGATTAACATTGTTACCTCGCACTCCTGGCCGTCTGCCTCCTCACCCTCCTCTCGCCCTCATCACCCGTCCTCTCCCCTTCCAACTTCAAAAATTTGGCCTTTATCTTCTCCACCCGCTCCTCCTGCCCACCTGCGCGCCCTCCCCTCAACCCGTCCAGCTTCGCAGCCGCCACCTCGACCTTTTCCGTCTGCAGTCTAATCTGCCTCGCTATATTCCTCCACACGCCGACGCCAGCGGGGGTCTTCGCTTCGAACTGCCTCCCTTCCTTGACGTGGAACTTGAACCGCGGCTCATTCACCACCTCCAAGAACCTGCGCCAGCGACTCATCTTCTGGCGCCGCGTCACCAGACGCTCCGTTATCTTGCGCTCCAGGTTCGCAAACCGCCACCACTGGTGCGGCAGGGCGCGCATTTCAAACAGGAAACAGGTCGTTTTTCTCTGGATGGGGAAGATGCGCAGGGTGGTGAATTCGAGCAGGGTTTCGGGAGGCGTGTTTGAGGTGAATTGGTGGAGGGCGGCGTGGGAGCGGCGGGCGTGCGGGGGCAGGCGGATGGCGACGGTTTTCACGAAGGGGGCGGTGAGGTAGCCCAGTATGAGGGGCGGGATGGAGCCGAGTATGAAGACTGAGGCGGCATGTCAGTACCCGAGGCGGAAAGGGGGGGTGGGAGGGAGACTGGAAATCTAGACTAGATGGATGTCCTGTGGACAGGGGCGGAAGAGGCAATGGATGGATGCAGGATGTAGGATGCAGGATGCTCTGAGAGGTATTTGGGAAACGTTGGGAGAGCCAGTGGATATCAGGTTGTATGATTCCAAGTGGCATGAAAGTTTGAATGATCTTCATGCATGTGGAGGTTAAAACTCTTGGAGTGTGAGACATGGGAGTGGCCGAAATGACATTGGTAGAGAAAGCCAGGGAGAGAAACAGAAACGAAGAAAAAGCACTTGATGCTAAGAGGAACTGAAGAGGCAATTTCGAAGAAAAGAAGAGTAATCGAACATGTAAATCAAATCCAAACTCACCCCCAACAGCCTGCATCTTCCTGAAGGTCTCATCGGGTTGGTTCTCGTTCCACCACAGATTCGGCGCCAGAATCAGGGATGTCACGCCAAACTGGAAGATGGCAACGGCTTTCCAGAAGGCGACCATGGTCAACCGGAATTCTCCTGCATTGTACACGACGAGATGCTCGGGGTAACCTAGGCTCCATGTGAGTCGGTCTCGTCTGATTGATTGCCATTTCTCATTGGCAAACCATACTCTTGTGTTCGGGTAGCTTGGATGGCGCATTGCTCTTGGGCACCGCGCCAACGACTGGTTTCGACGCAATATTCTCAGCAGCTTTACTCGCCGTCTCCCTGATCTGACGAAGCAGGGAAGATGCGGAAAATTTCCTGGCGCAGGTACTGGAGACGAAGGGAGCCATCCGGGGCCGGACTCCAGGACCAGCCGGACGGCACCATGCTCTCGAGCTCCGCAAAGCCTGGCCCAAGGCGCGGAACTGGGCGTTCATGGTCTTTGAATGCGGGTGATGTCGATGCACATGGTATGGTATGGCATTGGACGTTCACTGAATGTTGTGGTCGGCTGCAGTTGTACGTCTCAATCTCATTGCTCGGGAAGAGTTGCCGCGGGTGAGGCTTGGCACGTGCTTGTAATGTACAATGGAGACCACCTCGGAGAGCCTTCATGAAAGTTGGACGTCGATTTTTTTATCCTCATGTTGGGATTCTCCGTAAGTACCGAGGCGAGTCGCGTTAACAAACGTACAGCACGTTTCCTTTAAATTTCACATGTGCGTCGGAGCTCGGGTTAGAATGCTGGTGAATGAATGCTAAGGGGGAAAGATTTGAGACCACGATTACCTCTTCGCTCGTCTCCTTGCTGCTTGCGTACCACAACAGCCGCCATACGAACATCCCCATAGCCATACGAACATGAGCGCCTCTCAGCTGTGATCTGGACATCTTCCTCGCACCCTCGCGGGGCTCATATGATCCCTCACGACTCTCTCGCTTCATCATGTTTCTCTCCCGCCTGTTCCTCGTGCTTAGTCCGCTGCTGAGCCGCGCGGCTGCATACCATAAGCTCAGCGACGAGACCCTGAAGCAACTTCCACGCCCGGGAGCGGAGTTCGATATCAAAAATGGGGCTTTGCTGGCTCCCATCCTCCGCCCGAGAGTGTCTGGGACCGAAGGCAACGTCGCCGTTCGCCAGCACTTTGTCGACTTCTTCCGGAACAACCTCCCCGAGTGGACACTCGAGTTCCACAACTCGACTTCCCCGACGCCGACGAGCAATGGGAAAGAAGTCCCCTTTGTGAACCTCATACTGACGCGGGATCCGCCCGGTACCCATGTCGGCGACGTGGGCAGATTGACCATGGTGGCACACTACGACAGCAAGTTGACTCCAAAGGGCTTCATTGGCGCGACCGACAGCGCGGCGCCGTGTGCGATGCTGATGCACATGGCCAAAACAATAGATGCCGCTTTGACCAAGAGGTGGAAGGCCAGTGGGAGCGGGTTGGATGACCTAGACGGCCCCAAAGGTGTCCAGATTCTCTTGCTAGACGGAGAGGAGGCATTCAAGAGTTGGACCGACACAGACAGCTTGTATGGCTCAAGGTAGGAACTGTCCTTCTTTCACACAGATGCTGTAACTAATCAGTTGCCTGCAGAGCCCTCGCAGAAGATTGGGAGTACTCATTCCACCCCGCCATGTCCACCTACCGCAACCCCCTCGATGCCATCTCGCTATTCGTACTGTTGGACCTACTCGGCTCCAAGAACCCAACCGTCCCCTCATACTTCAAAACAACGCACTGGGCATACAAAAACATGGCAGACATCGAAGCCCGCCTCCGGAAGCTGGGTTTATTCAAATCATCCCCCAATCACCCGGCCAACATGGCCAAGCGGAAGAACAAGAAGCCACGCAGAGAACCGAACTTTTTGACTGAGGCGGACAAAAAGGACGGTTCTTTCCTAGGCGGTGGCATTGAAGACGACCACGTCCCTTTCATGGCTCGTGGCGTGGACATTCTTCACATCATTCCCTCGCCATTCCCCAAAGTATGGCACGAGCTTATCGATGACGGAGAGCACTTAGACATGAACACGGTCGAAGACTGGACTGTCCTAGTCGCGGCATTCGTTGCGGAATGGATGGAGTTGGACGAGTTCTTCGATTTCAAGGCGGGGAAGCGGGAGGAGAAGGTCAAGGCAGAGACGGTACATGAGCAGGGGAAAACGGAATTGTAAGTTCGATTCTTGTGTTCCACTGCATCATTGCTACTGTGCTCTTGTATGTTGACCTGCGTCACAGCGAGATACCCTAGTTTCTTCTTGCTTCTTGGAAGCATACATGCTTAACTGAATCCAATTTTGTCTATTGTTAGCTTTTTGGGCCGCTCGACTCGTGTTTTATCTGCTTGATGGCTATCTTTGTACATCATCACCCGCAGACTAACCGAAAGTGGCCGGGCCGCACAGCAGGACAAAGGATTATCTGCTAGCATGAGGTCAATGAATGACTGATTAGGTAAGCCTCCATGTCTGGGATCATGAAAGAATATCATCAGAAGTTGCGGCATGTAGACCAACAATGAAGGCAAAGAACCCGGGGCGGAGCAGCTCTAGCTGTTCCCTCTTATACTTCTTCCGCGCCTTGTACCCGGTCATCAGTCAATCACAGCGTCGACATGCCGAGAAGAAAATCCAACAATCCTGCAGTTTCCCATCGGCGAGGCGCTACCCACGGCGTCAAGGACGAACACCGAACGCACACAAAATGGGATCATTTCGGCAGAACCGCGTTAGAGGAGGAGCTGAGGAGCCGACCCGGCTTGTACAGGAAAGACTTGAGGAAGCATGAGATCGCACGGCTCCTGGCGGACGACGATAAAGCGAAGAGGAAGGCGGCAATGCAGCGCATGAAGGAAAAAAAGAAACAGTTTGTTGCGCGGCAAAAGCAGGAGAAGGAAGAGCAGAAGAAAAAGAAGCGTGAGACGAAAGTACGGGCGGGGAAGGGAGTGCAGCGGGAGACACAGAAAGAAGCTGGAGTGGAAATCAGTCATAACAGCAGCGAGGAGGAACAGGTTGGGGGTGCTGAGAAATTCGGGGATGTCCTGGAGGACGAGACGACAGAGAGCGAAACTCACACTCCGGTGTCGGTAGCGTCGCCCGTTTTCACAAACTCCCGGTTGAGACTTTTTGAATGGCCAGACCAAGACCTACCGCCGTCGGACGCGCCGCAATCGCTCTACGGCGTCCAAGGCGAACAGGAAATTCAGCCTTATTCGATACCGTACGCCGTCATGGCTCTGGTCACTACGCTTACCGAGGAGACCATCCAACTGCCTGGGAGCACATATCCCGATGGAATAGGGGCTGAGTTTGTTCCTAAGCTAACGCAATACGTCATGAACGCTGCACGGAATGGCGTCCTGGTAGGCACTCTTCGCAAGGCCGTGATAGAGTCCGGCGAATCCTGGACTGAGCGTACACAGGTGCAGTGGTGGAATGGCAGGATGTACTTTCGGCTGCCGCCGCGGACCTCTACCGCTCCATTGCCAAGTATCAGAGGGAGAAAATTAAAGTCAACCAAAGTCAAAACAGGGCGAACTCCGCAAACTCAAAGAGACAAACGGTTGGAGATGCTCCAGAACTACGCAAGCTCGGAGTATCGACCTCCAATCGGCTTCTCCCCAGTCTTCCTCGAATATCCCGATCCTCACGATGACGATGTGAACGGGCCCCGTACACTAGGAAACCTCTTCTACATTCGCTTCCCGGGCATGGACCTCCCACACTACTACTTCTGGACGCGTCCGAACGAGTGGCGCGATCCCACGACTCCTAATCCGGCCTGGTTGCCTGCCAAAACCCTGGACGATGCGATGGAACATGGTGACTCGCTTGAGCGGGATAGAGTGTTGCATGAGGACGACACCAAACAGCTGTGCGATCGCCGAGCTAGTCACGCAGACAGACTTCGACCGTACGGACTCGAATTGAACCAAATCCGCGTCAAAAAGGAAGGCATGCAGAGGAAGTTTCATTGCTCTCCAAGGAGGCTATCGCCCATGTCTTCAAAATTCGATGCTGCTGTGCGGGATATGGAGCGCCAGCTCTACGAGGACGGGCTCGCGGCCGTGCTTCAGCGGTGTCGGGAGCAAGCGCTAGAGGATGGCAAGCATCAGCATTGGTATGTACTCATCGACAACATGGTACGGCTGTACCCAAGCGGGGAGTTGCCCAAAACTCCGCCGGTGCACCTCGATCAGGTTCCACGCAGTTTGGCCGAGAAGATTGCGTCTATCTACGTGCCTAATCCGTCGAGACCGGCTTCTCCTATACAAGGCGACGAACCGTGGACCAGGAACGACGACGAATACTGGGACGTTGTCGAAGTACCGAAGGGATCGCCATCTGGGTCAGGGCTCTTTGAGACAGATATCCAGCAGGAGCTATTGCGGGCTGCAGATTCTGACACCGAGCTCCGAGGAGACTCCACCAACAGACGAAGGTTTTCCCATCGCTCGTCAACTACGTCGATCCTCGGCGCAAAAAGACTCACCGAACTGGATGCGTGGGTACAGAGCTTGCAACCTGCCTCTGAGGAGCCAAAGAGGGAGTCAACGGCAATGAATAGCACCCCTCTCGATAAAGCTGTGCGTGCCGCAGAGCGGGAGTGGTGGGAAGGGGTGTTCGAGCAGGCACAAGCAGACGCTGCGGGAGCCTCCAGATCTCAACATCGTAGTCTGCGCTCCCACTCCATCGTCACGGGCGACAACTTCCTCACCAAATACGCGATCCCAGGCCAGGACGCGCAGGCGCACTCGCTGTCGGTAGCGGGGCTGAAATGGCAATTGCATACTCTCATGAACCAGCACCTGAAGCATGAGACGCAGTGTAGAGTGTGTTTTGAACCGCTTGAGCAGGGCGATGTTGAGGCTGTGAGGAGACATTATCAGAGGCATTACGATGAGGCGGACGCGAAGTGTCCATTCTGTGACATGGAGTGGGGGATGCTGGACTCAGAGGTATCTTCTTAGTCTCTATTGCTGGAGTGCTATGGTTTGCTATAAGGGGCTTAGTTGCTAACAGGTTCTTAGTGGAAAGCCTCCCACATTTTCACGCACGACTTCGACGATTCCGTCCATCAGCGCCGACGCTCGTCCATTCCAGTGGCACTCTACAGCATTCCCCGTCGCCGCAGTCTCAAGGGTAAAGTGCACGAGGTCCGAATACCGGCTTCCTCATCGTCACCACAACGAAAGCAAACTGAAAGCATACCTCCAGAGCGGCGCCGGTCCAAAGTGCACTTCTCTCCAAGAGTCGTGGAGAAGCGTATTCCCTATAATGATAACAAGCTGGAAGAGGGTGAGGATGCAGATGTGAGCGGGGTGGTTGCCCCAAATCCGCGAAAGAGCAGCCTGAAGAGGGCAGGCATGGGGAGAAGATCATCGGTGTTGGATAGCGGTAAGGGAACAGAAAGAGTTACGAAGACAAAGAAGAAAAAGGCTGTGAGAACGAACAAGGCCGTACGGACGAGGACTTCAGCCCAACGTCGCACCTCCCTAGAACTCGACCCAACCGTTATATCTCCCACTTCAGCCTCAGACCACATATCCAGTCCTGAGCTACACCTCATGCGTCGCAGGCCCAAAAATCATCCCGAGGCGGCATGGGACCCTCGCCGCCACTCAGACAGCGGATCTAGCCATGTGCCGAGTCCGTATCTCCCTCCTAGTATGAAGAGGTACGATAAGGACCATCCTGATGCGGCGTTTGACCCTAGGAGGTGGAGCACGAGTGGGACGGAGGGTTTGGAGCCAATTGTAAGGAAGAAGGGAAAGAAGAAGAAGGCCTCAGAGGGTAATAAGGCGCAAGGAAAGGGAATGACGAAACCAAAAGCCGCGACTCGGGCAAAGCAATCGTCTGCTACCGCAACCAAAGGAAAAGGGAAAGCAAAGGTCGACAAGAAAGCCGCTACAGAACGAGGACCTGATCCTTTCGCCATAGATACCTACCTGCACCGCAAAGTCTCGGACTCGGAAGAACCATACCTTCCATCTCCCTCCGCGTCTTCGACTACTACGATATCATCTCTGGCTCCTTCTCTCTCCTCCGTAACCGCGCGCAAAGGCAAGGGGAAAGCTAGACCCAAGTCCAAAGCTATCGATCCCACATACAGAGACGCCCCACCGTCGCCTACCACATCTTCAGAGAGATCGCCAATTCTGCGTGCTAGGAGGAGGAACCCCGATCCGGCATGGCAGTATGCGTCTGCCTCAGAGACGCCGTCTCCTGTGGTCAGAAAACAACGGAAGAACAAGAGTGGTGTTTCCGAGAAGAGGAAAAAGCGCGTCACTGCACCTGATCTCAGCTCTTCCATCAAGGACGATTTCGAGCCACAGCCCGTTGACCCTCAGCAAGAAGCCTCAGTGGAAGGCAAGCGTAGCATCCTGCCACTCAAGATCCCGTTCCTCTCCAGACTGACTCGCCGGCTATTTGGAGCTAGCGGGGAGATGGACTCCTCCTCGACAGCGTCGAACACTAGTCCCAACAGAGTGGAGCATATTGAAGACGCGCTGCAAACTCCGGATGTGGATGTCATTGACCCGCCTCCCGGTGTTGCAAGGCTGGCTCCATCGTTGTCAACAAAAGAAGATCAACGACGGGGACGGAAGAGCGCGCCAGGAACTCCTACATCTTCGGCGTCCAAATCATCCAAGAAGAGGAAAGCGTCCACCGCACTGTTGGACGACGCTCCTCCGACTCCCATCTCGGAAGCGAAGAAGCGGAAAAAGCCAATGCCCAAGAATGCGCTCCATAGGCGGTCCTCTATTCTACCATTGGATGTAGAGAGCAACTCAGGCGATGACGATGCAGCTGAGGACGGCGTGAACGGAGGAAAGGCATTAGATTCGCAAAACAATTACCTCGCTTTCTCGGACGGCTATCTAGCACACGACTCCGACGATCAGCTTACCGGAAACCCTTTCGCTTCTACACCGAAGAGGGAAGTAAAATCGAGTGTGAAGAAGAAAAATACGCCGTCCAAAACCCGCAATACTATTCATGCGCCGGATCCCGATACGCCCACTCAAAGACAGGTTATGAAAAGCACGCTCTCCGGTCGCCCGTTCGTCGAACCGTTGATCATCGCGCCAGCTCAACGTCTAGGTCTAGGGGCAAGAAGAGCCAGACGTGGAGTGCACCCTCCGGCCGCTGAATTACAGACACCTACGCCGACTCCGACGCCTACTTCAGGAGCCTCTGCGACCACCCGCGTTCCGGTCACTTCAACAGATAGGGCCCTGTCTTCTGCGTCACAACAATCTCCTTCGTCGCCGCGAACGGGACGACGCATTCCACGCACCATACGCTCAAATGGGGCTGCGGTGGCCTTACCCAAAGACGACGAAGAACAACAAGCATTGCCACGATGGCGTCGGTCAGCCGCGCCATCTCCTTCGTCTTCCTTATATCTCCACACGTCAAAGTCTCGAGGGCGACAGAGTCAGATTCAACGTCACCCTCAGCTTCAGCCTCCACTGCAGAATCCGCTGCCGTCTCCCTCGCCCACAATCGCTGCTTCATCTACTCAACCGACTCGAAGAATCACACGCATCCAAACAAAGGCGCAGACAGGTCCCGGTACTCATGCCACACCCGTCAAGCGTCCCTCATTCGACGTACCCTACTCGGATCCGGCGCCCATCGCCCCGCCCAACACTCCCGCCTTGGGTATGGGGGCTTTGGGCCAGCTATGGAGAAAGAACAACAGTACGATTGTAAGGGCGAGCGTTGGGTTGAGCAGAGGTGCTGGTGCCCTGGTGGGGGGAAGCAATGCAGGAACAATGGGTAGAGTTAGGAAGTCGTCAAAGGAGCCCAATCGACCTGAAGCCCTGCCCTTGACACCTCTACCCGACCAAGGCGGTGTGCTTGAGGCCGTCATATCCAGCATGCTGAAGGCCCCGGTCGAGGCACCTGTTGGTCTGGGCATCACGCTCGTGCCTTCTCCTCTTGACGCCGGAGCTCTGACGGAGAAGATTGGAAGGGTGAAGAAGACCACGAGGGGGGGAGCTGTCGTGAGCAGTCTGCCTGCTGCGGTTGGTGCTCGTGGTGCTGCCGTTGATGTGTCGTCTAGGAAGCAAGAAAACAGAAGACCGGATGGGAGAGGGAAGGGAAGGGGAAGTAATGAGAAGATTGACAAGGTGATCACTGGGAGGGTGGAGAAGAAGACGGGAAACCTGACCCAGTCGAAGGCGAGAGGGAATACAGGTGGGAATACAGGTACCAGGGCAGTGGCGAAGGCAAATTGTGATGAAGCCGTATCCCAGCTGAAGAGAGGAGGAGCAGAGACCAAGGTGAAAGGTGTGGCGAGGACGGCCAAGTTCACGGAATGTGATGGCAACAACCGCAGGAAGGTAATATCTTCTGTTGTCACGAGAAGTATGGCGAAGCGCAGGTAGTGGTTGCTTTCAGAGTAAGTTAACGTAAGTATCGTCGGATGTAGAGTTATAGAGTTACCTAGGCGGATTACAAGATATCTGTTTATCAAATGATACGTTCCCCCGGTCTTCATGCACCCTCTTTAGTCTTTTGTGTGCTACTCTTGTTTTGAGAAGCTGTAGCTGTCCGCATTTCGTACAAAGCGGAACGCACAGAACGGTCAAGAGCATATTCGAGTTGTTGCAATGGTCGAGGGCCCCTCAATGAGATGAGGTGTGATCCACCTGCAAGTTAGTTTCCACGTTCCATGTCTCTCATCAATCTGGTTCAATACTCGTTTAGAAATGCGGTATCAACAGCGACCAGCGAGGCGTCTCGTACACAGCAACTGGCACCTTGCGAATGCTGACACAGGCTTCAACGACCAAGAGCCCCTTCTGCAGAGATAAAACAGTATATACACGCAGAGTCCAGAATGGCTACAGCAAGCCCGAATATCCATCCGTGCCTGCCGGCATTTCTCTGGATCATACTCGCCAGAGTGGGCCTCAGACCGCCGCCCAAGACCTAGCGAACGGATTCAGGACGTCCCACCAGTTGAACTGGGGTGCAAACAGCTGCGTCAGGAGCAGCAATACCGAACCACAAGCAGTGCAAACTGCGTTGAGCCGCCAGAGGCGCAGCTCGATATCTGTTTGAAAAAGAAGCTATGCCATGCTGCAAGATGGATCAACCACAAGACGGCCTTGAGTTTTTCAAGTGAGTCCTGTCTGATGGATGCCGTTACGTATGCCAGCTGGCACTGATTGACTCGGCGTTTCCCCCAGGCTCTTGCACGGCATCTGCTGAATTTAAGCGTCTCGAGTCATGCCCGTGGTTTGCTTGAATCGTCTGGTAGGCTATACGGCTTATCATATTTCGCTGATCTTAGAGTCTGCTCATTAACAAGCTTCACTTTCTGCCAGTTATCTCGATTCCGCGCAAAACGATCGACGAAATGCCTTTAGACATGCTGGGGAAGGGGAGGGATGCTCCAAAACGGGCCATTTCTATGTCTAACAGACGTTTTGCTCATGCTGTCCCAATAGAACAGCGAGAAAAGAAGAACGATGATCAGACGACAGACAAAGAGAGAGAGTAAAGATGTAACAGAGGCGGGATGATATTTGAGCCGGAAAGGATAATGACTAGGAACTGACCTAACCCCAATAACTGGGGTAGTCACGTATGCAATCCAGCCGCCGGGCGTACCTGTTCTCCCTCTGACCTATTTCAAGGATTGGGCCAAGCGACAGTCGGATTGCTGGTGTTGATAATACCTACCAATTAGAAAATACACCAATATGCACCGCTCCATGCATATGCTATATACACGGCATGATTAGTAAGAGACGGATTCGTCCTGATAAGAGTCGGGGGTATTCCATTAAGATGTATCTAAACATATTCAGCGACGGAACGGTCATGCCTGAGACGCCTTGTCCTTGTCCTTCCTGTGCTTCTCCTTCTTGTCGTGCTTGTGCTCCTTCTTGGCCGCAGCTTCGGCCATGAGTTGCTCGAAAGCCATGAAGTCGCCCTCTTCGTCGGGGTCGCGCTCCGCCTGGTAATAGTCAGCATCCGTAATGGTCCATTGGACGCGTGATAGAGTAAAAGGGCACACATACCGCCCGGAAGAGCTCGCCTATAATAAGCAACGCATTGGCTCGCTCGATTCGCTTGCTAAGCTTGACTTTCTTATCTTCAAGAATTGCGTCACAGACGTCTCGCAGCACGCTCTGGATCTCGAACTTGCTTCCTCTCCACGCGGCCGCAAGGATTTTGCCAGTGACCTTCTTCTCGTACTCGGCCTTCTTCTCGTCGGTCCAGTCCTCGCCGCCCTTCTCTTCCAGCTTTGCCATTTCCTCCATGGTGAGCTGGGCATCGATGGCTGCGGACATGGTGTTCCATGTCTCTTTGACGAGGGTACCCTTATCCTTGAGCCGGGAGAAGAAACCAGGAATGCCAAATGCCTTCTGCGACTTGAGGAATGACGACGCTTTCTGGAGATATGTTTGCCCAATGGCGTGCAGGATTTCCAGGCCAAAGCTTTCCATCTTCAGGTTCTCAATTTCCAGGCGTGTCTTCTCCTTGAAAGCAGCAGTGACGTCTTGGCCTTTGTCAGTCTCCGTCCACACCGATATGCGATCGGTGAGCTTCTTAGCTAGGTCCTCAACCCGCTTCTGCCGGATCCTTTTACGTTCGAGCTCGTAAGCGGCCAGCTCCTCTCGTTGCTCCTTAGTCAGTCCGCCCTTCTTCTTCTGCTTCTCTCGCAGCTCTCGCTCGGCATCCGTCACACCTGCAGCCTCCAGTCGGGCGTCCTCTTCCGACTTATCCATGATCGCAGCTCGGATGGGGATTTGCCGGCTTCGGGGGGTGCTTGTTCCGGAGGCGGATTGGGTATACTGAGGAGGGGCAGCTGCAGATGCTTCTGCTGCAGCCGCAGCTGGTTCAGCATAAGGCGGTGGAGGGGGTACGTCCGAGGTGCTTGCAGCCTTTGCCTCAGCAGCCGCTTCGGCCTGTTTAGCTTGTGCGGCAGCGGACGGCTCCATGTGTACGCCAGTCTCATGTGTTTGTGCTGCAGGCTTCGAGGTAGACGCGGCAGCAGCAGCGGCGGCGGCGGCGGCTTCTGCTTGAGCAGCCTCTTCTTCCTCCATTTCACGCATGGATATCTCCATTGTCTTGGTGAGATCTTTCATGAGGGATATCTCTCCGATCCAATCTACGAAAGCATCGCCTCCAAAGATCATCGTAAAGAACTCAGCGGGGTCCTCTGCATAACGGTCAGCCTCCAGCGATATCTCCGAGTTGCTGCAATGTCCATACCAAACCCGCTGCTAGGAACAGCACTCTCCTTCCCGAATTTATCATACTGTTTCCTTAATTGCTCATCACTGAGCACCTGGTATGCCTCGCCAATCTATCCGCAATGTGAGCCCCTCGTCCGCCTAACGTCACTGTGTCTCGGAGCGCGCGGAAATCGGAAACAAACGTACAGCCTGGAATTTCTCATGTGCCGTCTCATCCCCAGGGTTTTTATCTGAACGACTCGTGAGCCCAAGGTTGAAACAAGCTGCGATTGTGTCTACCGCAACTTACCAGGGTGTAGCTTGATAGCGAGTTTACGGTAGGCCTTCTTGATTTCCAGCTCTGTCGCTGTGGGCGGCACCTGTAGTGCATCATAGTAGGTGGTGTCAACGACCATCTTGGGGCCAAGAGTAAGAGGGCGGTCGTGGCAATAGGCGGTAGAAATATGAGAGAAGGGTGGGGTGGTTTCTGCCCGCTGCGTGGAAAGTTGGGTCCGCAGATGTTATGTCTGGTACGACGAGGCTCGGCCTTTTTTTGCGGCGGTGCAACTCCACCAGCCACAATCCATAGACGTCACCCCAACCCGTAGAATCGGTCTGGAATCACCGAATGCTACACAGGACTCAGTATCTGTGGCTAGCTCATGTGTCTGAGGTGGCAGTGGAAATCATACACCGTCGTCACAGCGTATTCAAAAGAACGGGACTGTCATCTTCTTCCACGTTAATCTACTATTCATAACCCTGATCGGATAGAAAAGAGCTGTCTATGACAATCACAGTAGCCTCCTTGGGGAGCATCCACCAAGCCAGAGTGCACCTCTGGAGGCCCTGTATTCATGTAACGAAACCCATCGCCGCCCCACGCAGACGCCACCCTATAAGCCGAACCCATTGTGATTGCACCCAGAAAGACCATTCTTTTTAGACCTTGTGAGGCCGAGCCGCTGACACGAAATGAGATCGGGGTATGTCAAGTAAGGAAATACGTCGTAACCAGGAGGACACTTTGTCTGTCCCAGTCAAGGGTGCCGTGTGTGCACTGCCCGCAAGCAGGCGTCTGCTCATCTGCCTCGCCGCGATATCCTTCTAGACCACGAACTTGGCCTTGGCGCGAGTGCTGCCAGAGTGGGCAGAGTCCGTATGGCCGCTGAACTCCAAGGCTTCGTTGTCCTTCAACTGCAGTGCCTGCTTGAACCGTCTGCCAATCTTCAGGAGCGTCTCCTTGCCCTGCTCCGCCGTCCTGGAGCCCTGAGCCTTGCCCGTGGTCCGAGTCCAGAGACCAATGCGGTAGAAGCCCTTCCTGACGTTGACAACGACACCCATGACCTCGTTGTCATCCTCATCTTCCAAGTTTTCTCCAATAGCGGCGAGCATGACGTGAAGCCAGAGCGCATCGATGTTGACGGCCTTCTTGTCCTTGAACTGAAAGGCCCACTTTCCGCCGTGCTTGTTCTGCATATCTTCCCACTCCGGTCGCACACCCTTCTTGAAGAGATGGTAGTCTGCCTTCAACGCGAGCTCCGAGGTGGGTGTGATGTTGTTCTGCGCACACTTGTTAGGCCTGACCACTCTGGATGCCTGGGAAGCCTGGGAAGCCACTGACATAGATACCCCAAAACTCCTCCACTGAGTCGAACGAGATGACCTCCTTGAGCAGCTCGTTCCAATTGTCGCCCTATTGGTTTTAGCGAACTCAGCCAAATTCGCGGCCCGGAAAACATACCCTGCCGCTCGGCGGCTTGGTGAACCAGAGCGTCCAGGTGTTCATGAGCGGATGCTTCACGTTGAAGTTCTCCGGGTCGTCAAAGACTGTCCTGATGCCGCTGCTCTCCGTAGAGGCGGGGGCATTTGACTCTTCGGAGCCATTGCTTGGCTTGTCCGCGGGTGAGATGGGAATGGTGTCGAGCGGCACTTGCTGCTGACCGTTGGGTACGGAAGCTACTTCGGCCATCTTGATAGGACTGAAAAGCGATCGATGGAATGTAAGGTGTGTAGAAGAGCGAGCGCTGTCACGCGAGACAGGAGGGGGACGGGTGGGCTGGTGAGATGGTGTATATTGTTTGGGGAATTGGGAGGAGGTGGCGGCGGGAGGAGTTCCTGAAGTCGCACCAGGCGGGAATTCAGGAAACGACGATCGCGAGTGGGCGGTAAATAGATTGAAGTATCTCGGAAGCTGTGACCTTGCGGTTTTGGAGGGTGGTTGCGGTTGAGGTTGCGGTCTGGGAATGTCGAGTCTCCCAAGCCGAAGAAAAAGCCAGGCGCTTTGGAGGGGGAGTGGAAGACGAAGAACCCTTAGTCAGCAACGCTAACCTCTTTTCGGGGGTGAACTCTTGCTTTCACCACCACACCAAGCTGGGGATCCAGATGGCATTGCGTGGCTCGAAGGGCTGCGGCAATGATAGGAAAGCCGTTGGCAGCTATGAATTGTTGAATCCTTGATGGTTGTCACGGGCGTGGACCTATCAAATTGTACCCAGTCCACTCATCACTACAAGCACGTTGCAGTCTAACAGATCAACACGAGACTGAACGGTAGATATATTGTGAAACGTTTGACAACGTTCGTTCTCAAGGAGATGTCCACACCGCCACCTCCGGCCGAACCCACCATTTTGAGCAGGCCGGAGGCAGCCTCGTCGCCGAGCAAGGCGCGTTTCAATCTAAGCACATCTTCGGCACAACTACAGTCATTGATTCTTGACCGAATTGCAATTTGACATCCGTGCTAGTACATCACCGCAGATAGGGCGAATCCGCGAGAGAGTTAGAGAACCCCTAAAGGCTGCAGGGGCGAGGCATTATTAATATTAACCGGGGGCATACATACAGTTGGAGATAAAACGCCAGGCATTACAGGGACATATAGACATGAACATACGTAGCGGCCGAGGCTACAGCTCGCCGTGGCCAATGTGTCCGCTTGGCTGTGGAGAGCTCGAGCCGGCACCGATGAAGTCTCCTAATTGCTGTTTGAGTTGGGCGAAAGCGATATCGAAGCGCGCGCCTGCCATCCATGCCACGAATACCTGCATCTTGTAAGCAAGAATGACGGTAGAATGGAATGCTCGCCTACCATTGAAGCGCTGATGACACCCAGAGTGAAGATCACGGCGAGACCCATGTAGAACATGTCCCACCTTGCGGCGTCCGCTTCGCGCTTTGCTTGCGCCGCAGCTTCCGCAGTGGCAGGCGTCTCCTTGACGGGCTTCTTCTGCGACGGGAAGATGGACTCAATGAACTGCTCGATCTGCACCATGGTTACCGAAGGAAAACTTTGTATCTCAGCGAGGACGAACCTTTCCGCACTGAATGCTGATTTTCAAGAAGTTGGGGTCGTGCGGGTTGTTCTTCTGATGTATCCTACGAGTGTACCTCTTGAACACATCACACACTAATTGAAGGTTCTGTGATGACTCAATCATCAGCTGGCAAGCATCTCCCTTTGTGATCTTGACGTTCTTCTTGAAAATATCGTGATTCTGAAAGCATGCATCCAGAGTGGCAATGGCCATGGACTGCGGGATGGCGCAGAAGTTGAAGACGCTCTGTTCCCGAATACCAGCGAGGTAGTAGAGGCAGTCGTTGGCACGTGTCAATGCGAGCAGGATCATCTCGGAGCTGCAATTGAGAGCAGCCTGTTTGTTCTCCGGTTTGAAGAGGTCCTCGAACTTGTCGACGTGCTTGGACCACACCTCTTTCGGCCAAAACCGTCGGTTGTCGTCCAGATCTTCCTTGATATCTCTGATGATGTTGACTTGCTGGAGGAACTGACCCATCGACTCCATGAGCTCCGGTCTCTTGAGGAGCGCTTCATTCGCCAGACCTCCCTCAACGAATAGGCGGGTCAAACCTTCGCCGACAAGACCTGCAACATAGTGGCAATACAGCTCGTAGTCCGCAATAGTATTGACGCCGACGAGATTGTGCTCGGCGTTGTTGGCATAGTCGGCCATGCCATTTCCCATGCGCTTGGTGATGTCCTTGATGATCGTCCGATACGCGGGTTTGATTTTCTTGAACTCCTCGATGACAACGTTGAACTCCACTAGGAGTTGCCTGTCCTTCTCGTTCGGGCCGTTCTCTGTGAAAGTCCATCCATCTTGCTCTAAGATGTCCTGGAAATTCCTCAATATGGGCTCCTTCTTCTCCAAAGGCAACGTCATGTCGTCCTCTACCGTGTCGAGACCACGCAAAATCAGATAGAACAGGGCGACGGGTACGAGGAGCTCGGGATGGAGTTCCTTGATGACGGCGGCAAAACTCCGGCTGGTCATATCCAGAAAGTAGAAGCATCGCTTCAGGGTTTCGCATTCCTTGGACTCATCCCGCTCGTGGACCGGATTGTGCCAGACTTTCCTAAGTGAAGCATGTCAGCGCATTTGTGAGAATTTGGGTCTGAGAAGCTCACCATTGGATGATTGACCGCAATTGCTGCGGGTGGACCAAGTAGTACAGTACACTTGATGCACTTGGCATGGTGGTGGAATTTTAAGGAGGTGAATTGCGTGGGCAATGGCGCGGCCTTGCAGGGCCGAATGCAGAAAGCGAGAGAGCCAATTACCGAGAGTTGTATGCTGGATTGATGAAGAAGCCGAGTAAGGTGTTTGGAATGAGCGAATCAATCTCGGAACGGGGACAGCAAGGGAGAGGTTGGTTGTGGAGTGTGGAAGGTGGTTGCGCCCAAATATCTCTCCGCCTGGGCACGCTTCGGTGCCTGGTCTGTGCATCCGACCTGTCTCCGAACACTGCCCGCCAGTGTTGACACAGGGCTACAGTCTGGTGACGTGTAACGCCCGCCTGAACGGCAAGGGAGTTCGCAGGACCGAGAAAAGCAATAGCAGTCGCATGGAAGTGCCTCTTCCCAGGTAGAAATGCCTTCAAACGAGGGTTTCACATGGCGTGGGTAGAATCTGTCCTATTGAACCACCCTGAACCAGTTGTCTACCCTAGGGTAACCTGGAGCCGACATGCAGCGGACTGTTCAGTCGGACGTGAAAAGAGGCAGTGCTCCCAAACAAATTGATCGCGTTCGTCTTCCCCACTGTTGAGATGATGTTCCATCGCGCCAGGGAACATGGCTTTACTTCTCGGCCTCGAGCACCATCACCTCTGATGTTTCGAGGAGCATATCGTCTAACAGCAAAATGCCGAGAATAACCATCGCGTCGGCATGCGTACATCCTGCAGGTTTATCTCAAATCGTCCCGTCTTTCAAATCTGGAATTATGCGCAGTCTAAAGAATAGTTTACAAGCGACCTGTACCAAAGCAGTGCACTCAAACGCCATCAGTGTCAATGACCCAGCCCAATACTTAAGAGAAAGTCTTCAAGGGTCACTTCGGCGCTCCCGACCAACATGTCGATACTCAAAGAATGTCAATTCCACCCAATAATCCCCACCGCAACAGACGTCGGTTTAGCGCCCGAGTCCGTCATCACGGAGACTCTCCGCCCGATGATGCCCGAGTCGCCAACTCCAAGGTCCAATTTCTGAGGTAGCAGCGTTGAATTATAGTGATCTGGGTGCAGGGAGAATGAGAAGAGTGGTCTTGACTTGCATTCATCTAATGTTGGGCTTGCGGCGCTAGTGAGGTCACCGTCACGGCTGGCGGTGTGTTAGTAACGGTAATATTCATGAAAGTATATAAGTCTGAAGTAGAGGGATCTCACTGAATAATGATCTTATATCTTTCTCGTTGTTGAGATCTCGTTCCTTGAAGCGTCACCTCGGTCCCACAACTTGATGTTGTCCCCGCACGATTGAAGAAGTGGAGACGCCATTCTTCGTCTGCTCCGAGGTACGATGATGATGATGCTGATGACAGAAGGTGGCATTGAGGTGCTCGTAAAACAGCAATGGAGCCTCCTTGGCTTGCGCGAGTTGAGTTGCCGTGACACATTGTGCTTGCTGAGAGAGGAGGATATGTTGTTAAGTTTGACAGTTCTTGAATAAATCTGAGCCGTATGCAATCGACCATATATTGTTGGCGGATGAGGGAATAAATATAACTAACGAGGAGTCATGAGCGCCTTTGAGGTATACGAGCTGGTTGAGCAAGTTTGAGAGAGTACCTGATTGGCCAAATGCCAAGACCCGCTGCTCAACTACAACGGGTCGACTGCTTGAACCAGAAAGGCACGGAAGATGCGCAGTATGACGATTAGGTTTTGATTTGACTTGCGACCTAAATGGAAGCCTTGAAAATTCTGAAAGCATCGGCACGTGTGCCTTTGAACCGCTCCTCTGCTGTCTTCCAGTTGATTACATTCCAAATGTTCTCAACGTATGAGGCCTTACCGTTCAGATACTAGATGTCTGTCAGCATCTTGATGGGGATATAAGCAGTATGTCTCACCTGAAGGTAGTAGGCATGCTCCCACATGTCAACACCAAAGATGGGAGTTTCCCCCTTCCCAACGATAGGATCCTGATCCTTGGTCGTCACGATGGCGAGCCTCTGCTCCTTACCCGTCTCAACCTTGACGAGCCATCCCCATCCACTGCCCTGAATACCCAACAGAGCAGCCTTGAAAGCTTCGCGGAAACTCTCTTCATCTCCCCAAGTAGCCTTGATCTGCTTAATCAGTTCCGGCGCAGAAGACGATTTCGCATCCACGGAGCTGGCCGGCGCGAGATTCTGCCAGAAGAGGGAGTGGTTGATGTGACCTCCGGCGTTGAACTTGATGGCTTGCTGCAGAGAGACCTGAGTGGTGATATCCGAAGCATGCACAGCCTCGGCTTGGGATCTGAGAGCGGAATTCAGATTTGTAATGTACGTCTGGTGATGCTTGTTGTGATGCAGCTCCATTATCTGGGCGGAGATGTGGGGTTCCAGAGCCTGGAAGTGGAACGATCAGATCCGGGACAGGTTAAGCATTCAGTGGCAGACCTACATCATAAGCGTACGGGAGCGGTGGCAGGGTATAGGTCGGAGCAGACATGTCGCTGAATTCGAAGGGTTGTTGCGGGTGTTCAGACGCCAGAACAGCACGGAGGAGGACTGTGGAGATGAGGTATGAGCTGGTACGCATGTTGGATGGGTATATAAAGACCAAGAATCGTCAAGGTACTACTGTTCTGCACTGCACCAGCACTGATTAGTCAATTCTCTCAATTGGACGCAATGTCATGTCTTGTGGACAACACGGTGCTGGAAAAGCCCTTCCTTCCAAGATGGGCAATCTGATTGGGCTAAGGGACGTTCACTGACGTACAGACAGGTGCAAGTCTTTGAAGCACCCTGTGGCCGTATATTCCCGGCCGAGTATGCTTTTCTTGTTGATGGTGAAGAGTTCGAGATGAAAGCGTCAACCCTGGGAAGAGATGACGCTTCTCCTATGCCAAGCTCCAACCGCATATCTCAATCACGTGCATGCCTACAATTTTGAACAGGATGACCGTCTAAGACATACACACTTCCGCTCTCCGCCAATAATAATGCCCAACTGAATACTCATGCTCTCGATATTACAAGCTGAATCTCCCACTGCTCGGATATGACATTCAGATGGGAGACAGCGTTCCTTAACGCTGAAGAGACGGAACTGCATCTGCAGTCATATGGAAACCCCAACACTAACTTTTCATTGGCGGAGGACTTCTTGTACGACCAACAATTGACTGTCAACCTTGAGACGACACAGATGACAGGCGACCATGCTTCATCCCGCATCGCTCTCGTCTCCGGAATCCACACAGGGTACGTTTACAACTCGATATTCCTTAGCGCGGATGTGCTTTTGCCAGATACCATGAAATATTCCCATGCGTCACCCGGCCATCCGACCACTTCTCGGAGGAGACGGAGGAGAGCCTTCAAGTCGGAGCCTTCAAAACGAAAGGTCCGATGGACCGGAGGCGAACTTTACTGGAGTGTCCTCGGCTGTGCCACAACATGGCGTGCAGAGAAAAATCGCCGGCGACAGTAGTGGGAACAGTTACCCCATCGGACACGATTGGGCCCGTCCAGCCAAGTCGACAAACTCTGATGGAAGAAATGTGCTGAGCTAGCAGACTATGATGAGGGTCTGGGTGTGACTCGGAGCAACCGAGGCAGTTGAAATGTTGACTTTCTTGGGCGAAACATGGCACAAGAAAGCTACCGGGACTAGCTTCAAAAATACTCTCAGTCGAAGGTTCTGGTACGGCATTCAACCTCTCATCAGCACTGCACCGATGCTTCCGCATCAGGCGTTCTTCTTGATGCCTCTCCGACACGCCGTCACGTTGGTTGGACGGCCCAGGAGCTTGTGTGTTGTTCCTCTGTTCTGGAAAGTCTGAAAGCTGCTGGGTGGCGGCATTCCATCCCATCAACCTGGTGATCCATGGCCTTTCTCCACATTACCCGCGTCGCAGTACCGTTCCCCAGTCCCCGCGATGCAGGAAGCACTACTGCTTACTTTCCTTGTCCACTCTGACTTCGCATTTAGGCAAAATATATTGATCTACCACTAGTTCCCGTCTCCCCAGCCGTCACGACTCAGCGGGGCCCCGTATTGTTTCTCCCAACAGCACGACGTCAATTTCCTTTCATCCCATCAGTGTGCGACAAACTCCGGCGACGTCTCATAGGGTACAGGTATCTGGGTAATGGCCCAGCCGCAACCCCCCGATATAGTGCAAACGCCCTGGAAACCCCCCCTTCTTCCTCTCCTGCGTTGTGTACTACTGGGCCTCGAACTGTCAAACGCAACTGTGACTTTAAGAAATCCACGGCGTGGTTCGGCCGGCATCCAACAAAGTGGGCCCGCACCAACAACAGCTCCGATGCCCAGCGCCCACCAACACCAAAGCCGACTACTACCTCCGTACTGCGGCAAAGGCTTCGAACAAGCAACTGACCGTTACCATGGCTTGCGTTAGGCCTGGTCTCCCATCTCTGCCAATTGCCAATGAGCTTAACCGTCAATTTATCCGTCGCTTCGAAAGCTTCGGTGCAGGACACGCATGGATGAGAGAAACACGGCGCTGGCCATGATGGGGATGGGGCCGCGTGCCCGGTCCCATATTGTGGGCGTATCTTTGCTCTGCAGCTTGGATGCACTCTCGGTAGCAGGGTATAAACATTTGGCTGCTCCTCCCTCCGCGTTTACTGTCCTTCTGCTGTCAATCCGTTTCCATTCCATCCTCCTCCTCACGGGCATAAGGACATCAACACCATGGCCCCAGTTGGTGGTTCCGCTGCTGATTTCGAGCAGGCGGCCTTGGCCCGCCGTAAGGCTCTCTCTGGCGCCTCCGGGCCGCTGGCTTTGCTGAAGAACCTGAGGGTGTTTGGCATTGCCTGCTTTGCCTGCTTGGGAGGTCTGCTCTATGGCTACAACCAGGGTGTTTTCAGCGGTGTCCTGACCATGACTGCCTTCAAGCAGCGTACGTCTGCAATTCAAACCACCTGCCTTTCGGAGCTAACTCACCCCTTTCAGATATGGGAGACTACATCGAACCCAATGCCGACCCCTCCAAGTTGGAATGGAATGCCTCGAAACAGGGCTGGCTCGTCGCCATTCTCGAACTCGGTGCCTGGTTTGGCTGCATGTACTCGGGATTCCTCGCTGAGATTCTGTCCCGAAAGTTCGCCATCTTGGTCAACGTTGCCATCTTCATCATTGGTGTCATTGTCCAGTGCACCGCCGGCGTCGGCAATGGGCACAACGCCATCCTCGGCGGCCGATTCGTCACTGGTGAGTTACACGACAACCTCACGCTGCGATCCCATACTAATAGGATTTAAGGTATGGGTGTCGGTTCGCTTTCCATGATCGTGCCCATGTACAATGCCGAAATCGCCCCTCCTGAAGTTCGTGGTGCCCTGGTGGGTCTGCAGCAGCTCTCCATCACTCTGGGTATCATGATCAGTTTCTGGATTGACTATGGCACTGTAAGTAGCGGCGTCTCTTCTTACTCCCCCCGACCTCAGCTAACCACCCTCAGAACTTCATCGGCGGCACCGGCCTTGGCCAAAGTGACACCGCCTGGCTCCTCCCCCTCGCCCTGCAACTTGCTCCCGCTGTCCTCCTGGGCGTCGGCATGCTCTTCATGCCCTTCTCGCCCCGTTGGCTCGTCCACCACAACCGCGAACCCGAAGCCCGCCGCGTGCTCGCCCGGCTGCGCGGCCTGTCCCAGGACCACGAACTCATCGAGCTGGAATTCGCCGAGATCAAGGCCCAGTCGCTCTTCGAGAAGAAGACGCTCGCCGAGAACTTCCCCCACCTCCAGGACCTGAGCGTCGGAAGCGTCGCGAAGCTCCAGTTTGTCGCCATTGGCAGCTTGTTCAAGACAAAGGCCATGTTCAAGCGCGTCATCATCGCCACCGTCACCATGTTCTTCCAGCAGTGGACCGGTATCAACGCCGTGCTGTACTATGCCCCGACCATCTTCAAGAACCTGGGTCTGGATTCGAATGCCGTCAGCTTGCTGGCCACCGGTGTCGTCGGCATCGTCATGTTCATCGCTACCTTCCCGGCCGTCATGTGGGTCGATAAATGGGGTCGCAAGCCTACCCTCGTCATCGGCGCCATTGGCATGGCCCTCTGCCATTTCATCATCGTAAGTTGCTCACCCTCTTTTCGAATTTTGCTTCCACGAGCGACCGGCTGACTGGAACTGTCCGCAGGCCGTCATCACCGCCAAGAACCAGGACGACTGGACGCACCACCGCGCCGCGGGCTGGGCCGCCGTCGTCATGGTCTGGCTCTTCGTCATCCACTTTGGCTACTCGTGGGGCCCCTGTGCCTGGATCGTCATCGCCGAGGTGTGGCCCCTGTCCAACCGCCCGTACGGCATCGCGCTGGGCGCCTCGTCCAACTGGATGAACAACTTCATCGTCGGCCAGGTCACGCCCGATATGCTGGAGCATATGACGTACGGCACGTACATCTTCTTCGGCTTGCTGACGTTCCTGGGTGCGCTGTTCATCTTCTTCGTGTTCCCTGAGACGAAGGGTTTGTCGCTGGAGGAGATGGACATCCTGTTCGGATCGGTGGGTGTTGCGGAGAGGGAGAAGGAGAGGTGGGCTGAGGTGCATGCCGAGGTGGGATTGGATGATATCCTTGCCAGGGCCGGTCTCAGTCCCCAGGGAAGCGATGCTCACGTTGGTGCAGCGCAGGGGGAGAAGGAGGCTGAGAAGACGGTGGTGGCGGAGGAGCAGAAGGAGAGTGTGTCTGCTGCCTGATTGTAAGAGAGCATGTCCCTACGCAGGTGAATGATCCTGGACGCTGCAGGGTCGAAGGGGGAAATAGGTGACTAGGGGAGGAGGTGGAGGAGTCTTGTATATTGCTGGCGGTGGAGTTGGGAAACCTTCTTTTGAGACTGATACCATTTAAGCGCTTGACTTTCGAGAGGATAGCGGTTCTAATACATATATACAATATGCCGTCTACCTGAACGCCAGTCTCCCATCCCGGGATCGTACCTCGATGGATTAGATTGTCCCTCTGGTAGATTTATTGCCCACTCTCGGTTGCGTTCATGACCCCCTCTCTAAGGTTTACCCCTCTTCTAGAAGCGGTCACGTAACGATTGCGACGATCTGTATCCCCCTTTCTGGATCTGAATCATCATCCCTCATAACCCTGAGCGACTTCACATTCTGATACACTCACTCCCACCCCCTCACCACCCCTACTACTCCCCTCGCAATCCAACAACATCCCAACAGAACCCCCCTCTTCACCCTCGCCCACCCCCCACCTCTCCCCCAAACCCACATCGCGCCCAGAACCCCAACCCCCAGCCCACCCACCGCGCAATTCAACACCCTCGCCTGCCACGCCGCCCTGCGCTGCACCTCCGAGTACGGCATATTGCTAAACGTGACCCTCGAGTACTGCGTCGCGAAGCCCAAGCCGGGGAAATAGACATCGAGCGTCTCCTCGATCTTCTTGCGCAGCAGGTAGAGCGGCGACTTGACGTCCGAGGCCATTTCGCGGTAGTTGCGGAGGGCGAGGTCGTTGATGGTGTGGGCGTCTGGGGTGCGGACCTTGGAGTATTGGTCCAGCGCTTTGGCTCTGTCGGTGGGGTATTGGTCCAGGAAGTCGAAGAGCACGCGCACGTCCTCGAGGCCTGCGTTCATGCCTTGGCCGTAGAAGGGGACCATGGCGTGGGCGGCGTCGCCGACGATGACGCCCGACGAGGAGAAGTGGTAGGGGGTGCATTTGATGGTGATGAGGGGGAGGTGGGGGTTTTCGTTGTACTGCTTGACGAGTTCGTCGGCGGGGATGAGGTCCGGGACGACTGCCGGGAATTTGTCCTGGAAGTAAGCGACTAGGCGGTCTGGGTGGGCGTCGAGGTCCGAGAAGCCCTGGCGGGTGAGGAAGAGGGTCGAGGTGAAGGTTTGGTCCTGGTTCGGCAGCGCGATGAACATGGCCTCGTCTTGGGGCCAGATGTGGAGATAGTTGGGGGGAAGGCGGTACTTGCCGTCCTTGGGCGAAGGAGCGACGTGGAATTGGCACCAGAGCTTGTCGATGTACTCTTGTTGGTAGGCCACCGGTGTGAACTTCATCAGATGGTACCGCACGGCTGAGTGGGCGCCATCGGCGCCAATCATGAAGTCGAAGGATATCTCGATCTCGGTGCCACGGCTACTGGGGTCGGACGGGGTGCGGCGCTCGAACCAGGCAAGTTTCTTGTTGAAGTCGACGCCGACGACCTTGTGGTGGAAGAAGAGCTTCACGTTGGGCATGGACTCCAAGGCGTCCAGGAGAGTCTTGTTGAGACTGGTGCGGTCCAATGCGAGGAGGTTCTTGCCTCTGGCATCGTACAGCTGGGCCTCTCGCACATACTTGCCCTGCTTGCGGAGGTGCAACATGCGGCCCTTCATGGGGGTGGTGGAGGAGACAACATCCTTGACCAGAGTGGTCAGGCCTGTCTGGCGGAGCGAATTGACGCCTCTCTCGGATATGGCCAGGTTGATGGACTTGGTGAAGTTGAGGGGAGTGGTGGCTGGGTCGCGGAGGTCTGATTGTGGTCAGATTCATCAGTTGATCTTAGGTGCCCAGATAGGTAGGACCGTCATACCAGGGCGTAGTTCGTACAGTTCGACGTGATACCCTCTCACCGCAGCATAGAGAGCGGCCAGGGAACCGACGGGACCGGCACCCACGACGACAAACTTTTCAGGCATTTTGAATGACTTTTAGAAGAATAGAGAAAGAAATGACAATCAAAGTTAGACGACAAAGCAGAAGAAAGCAAGTGATCTTTTTGGTGGGCAACTTGTATAGTGAAGTCTGAATGGGTATCTTAGTATGACCTTGTGGTGAGAGAGTCTAAAAGTATCATCATTGGAGGTATTCCGAGCCAAAGGAGAAATGACTCTGGCGGGAAGGTTAATAATAAATGTACATGAAAAGTAGAGAATTCACTGGGATAAGTTGAATCATCGTCCTGGTCCGGGTTCGGAGGAGAACTGCAAGCATGTATGACTAAGCGGTATAAATCAGATGCCCCGCCACCAGCGCCACTGGTCGCTTCTCAAGCACTGGGCAGTTGCCGACATTCACCCAATGTCTGCAGCCCAGGGCTCGCGCTAGCTTTGTGTCACGACGCACGACACGCAGTCAGTGAATTACCCACTCTCCATTCTGCTCTGCCTCGCTATATTCGCGGCTGTACGTCTGGAACGAACCCTCGATTTCTCTTGTAACAAAGAAGAAACATGGCGGTGGAAACCCCTACTCCGCGCAAATGCTTAGGCCAGGATTGTGAGAACGACGCGACTACACTGCAGTGTCCAAACTGCCAGAAACTCGGAAAGGAGAGCTTCTTCTGCTCACAGGACTGCTTCAAGCGCAACTGGGTATGGGTGCCACTTTGACTTCTGCTTGCTTCATTGCTAACCATGGCCCCCAGAGCGAGCACAAGAAGCTGCACAAATCCAAAAGTAATCTCCTCGACCACCTCTTCCCTCCCAAGGTTGTTTCTTACCCCGACCCAGCAACAGGCCACTTCAACCCCTTCCCCACCTTTCCTTTCACAGGAACCCTCCGACCCGTATACCCCTTGTCGCCCAGGCGCGAGGTCCCCGCATCGATACGACTCCCAGACTATGCGAAGGACGGCATACCGCATTCGGAGCAGGTGTTTGTTGGGAGGAACAAGATTGCGATCCTGAACGAGAAGGAGATCGAGGGCATGCGCAAGGTGTGCAGGCTGGCAAGGGAAGTGCTCGACATAGCGGCGAGAGCGGCCAAGCCCGGTGTGACTACAGACTATATCGACGAGGTTGTCCATAAGGCGTGTATAGAGAGAGACGTGAGTTCCTCAAAAATGATGTCTGATGTCGAATCCGGGAGCTAATCAGAGCCTAGTCTTATCCCTCTCCCCTGAACTACTGTCACTTCCCCAAGTCGGTATGCACGTCGCCCAATGAGGTGATTTGCCACGGCATCCCCGACCAGCGAGTACTTGAGGATGGAGATATCCTGAATATCGACGTGACGTTGTACCATGGCGGCTTCCACGGCGATCTCAACGAGACGTACTACATTGGTGACAAGGCGCTGGCGGACCCGGATTCGGTCCGTGTGACGGAGACGGCAAGAGAATGTCTTGACAAGGCCATCGAAATGGTCAAGCCCGGCGTGCTCTTCCGGGAGTTTGGCAACACGATCGAGAAGCACGCAAAGTCGAGGGACTGTAGCGTGATCAAGACGTACTGTGGCCACGGCATCAACCAGCTCTTCCACTGCGCGCCCAACATTCCGCACTACGCGAAGAACAAGGCTGTCGGCCAGGCCAAGCCAGGGATGTGCTTCACGATAGAGCCCATGATCAGCCTGGGTACGTACCGTGATAAGACATGGCCGGATAACTGGACCAGCGTGACACAGGATGGCACCAGAACGGCACAATTTGGTATGTTTTTTCTGACCTCCTGGCTGGGAGCAAAGTCACTAACAGGATGCACAGAGCACACGCTTCTCGTCACCGAGGATGGTGTCGAGGTCTTGACGGCAAGGCTGCCAGACTCGCCGGGTGGGCCTGTTCCCATGCCAGCAGCCTCGACTGGCGCCGCAACAGAGGCTCCTGCTTCGTAGTGCAGCCATGTAAAACTTCTGGGCTGGAGGGACATTGGTTGGTTGACTTGCAGGCGTTGCCGGTTCATGATATCCCATAGTTGCGAAACGGAGGGTCGTCCTTGGTTATGTCATGCTTGGGAGATGCATTCTGAACACCTATACAAGGATAGAGTACGATTCATCACTTCCCCATGGCCTATATGCCTGTGTCTGGCTTTGATGGTGTTGCTTGTACTTGTAAATATCATGTGAATCGGCCTCGGAGCTCATTGATCCGCACAGCTCGTCGAGTCTAGCGAAAAGTGCACGGACCCCCGATAGATGTTGTGCGGAGCAGGTCTCAGCAAGTCTCTCCCTCACCCAACGTCATCCCAACCTCAAGCTCTCGCAGCCTTCTCTCCCACTCTTTCCCTCTTCAAACCCAGCCTCGCGCCGTCTTCACAGTGCCATCCCATCGCCCCGTCCATCCCATCACGCTCGTACAGTTGCAACGTCGAGAGCTACGCCACGCCTCTTTCCGGTCTACAACACTACGCCCCCGCCCCATTGACCTAGCTTCTTGCGCCTAGCCCGAGTCCTCCCCACCCCGCGCTCCCTTCCGATAACCTCACCTACGGCCTTGTTCGCGTGAAAAGGAGCGCCGCATCTACCCTCCTCATTTCTTCCCGCATAGAGCACCGCTTGGTCCGGAGCGCTACACCGCACAGCAGCCCCCACAATGTCCGGAGAAGCCTGGTTATATCTGTTGGCGGTGTTGATAAACGCCGTCAACCTGTTCCTGCAGGTCTTCTTCACCATCATGTACAGTGATTTGGAATGGTGCGTGTATCCGTCCGAGGTCGCCTTGAGAAGCAGAGAGCTAGGCTCCGCTCCAGTCTGGGTCCTGGGGCACCATCTCCTGAGCACGCGATGCTAATACTGCACCAGCGACTACATCAACCCCATTGACCTGTGCAACCGTCTTAACACCTACATTGTCCCCGAAGCCGCCGTTCACGCCTTCTTGACCTTCCTCTTCCTCATCAACGGATACTGGATTGCGCTCATCCTCAATCTGCCGCTCCTCGCCTGGAATGGAAAGAAGTATGTGGAACTCTGGAGACGATCCCAGATACGGGATGATGACTGATGTGGTGCAGGATCTTTGAGAACCAACATCTTCTGGATGCCACCGAGATCTTCAGGAAGCTGAATGTGCACAAGAAGGTATGCCAGGCACGCGCATAGATCCTTCTTTTCTCCCTCAATTGAGCCATGCGTCATGGTCCTGCTCAGGGAATATTGCCACGTTGCTTGAGACGGAATGCTAACCGTCGCATAGGAATCCTTCATCAAGCTCGGCTTCCACCTGATCATGTTCTTCTTCTACCTCTACAGCATGATTGTCGCCCTCATCCGCGACGAGTCGCACTAGAGGAGCGGCCTGTAGCGTGCAGTGGGACATGTAGCTTGGCATCTATCACAATACAACCAGGGGGCTTCGATTCGCTTGGGTGCACGGCGTAGAAGATACCGTTAGAGCCGCAGGGAGCGGTTCTTGCGGAGGCGAGGGGATGGTGGACCAGGGAGGTGTGGCTTGTAAGAAGAGACAAGAAGGGAAAAGAAGGGGATGAATTGAGTGGTGGACGGATCCGACGGAGATGGGTGGCATTTCGAGAAACGTAGGGCCTTCAGGTCTTATGGGCAATGAACCAATGTTAATTGTATATGAGTTGGGGAACGGGATAATGCTGGTCTGGACTATCTGGCTCCCTTGGAGAGGCATATGCTTGTCACTAGACCTTAATCTTGTATCTCTTCGACCTAGATCCATAACAGTCCAAGTTACGCATATGGCGGTGTGATTGTATAGGCTCTTGGCATTCATTGCTTATGTCATTCACCCAACTTCACCTCACAGCTCCGACAGAGAAACAAGCCCCGCTTTGGCCATTATCGAACAAGGTCCTTTTCGAGGTCCCTCCTACATCCACCTGCCCTCGAACCTACAGCATGTCGGCGTCACGCGGTTCTGGCCGGCTACCCACTGGATTTGCGGCCGAGACCTTCATCAGCGATTCTACGTTTCGCCAGGCGCACCGCGCTGTCGACGGAGGCTCCGGCACCAACTCCAAGAAGCGAAAGAGAGAGAGCAAGGGTGATAGCAGTATCGTATCCGGCGCGGGGGCATACAAGGGGCCGTGGGCAAAGTATGAGCAGGTACGGCCGGATGCTGCTTCAGACGAGGAGTATGGCGAGGACGTAGAGGTGGAGATAGTGTACGAGGAGGACGAGATAGCACCGATACCCGAGGCGCCGAAGAAGCTGGCGGGGACGGATTATCGCGATACGGATGCCGAGGGGGAGACGAGTGAGTTTGTGGGGAGTCAAGAGTTTGACTATCAGGGGAGGACGTATATGCATGTTCCGAATGGTATGTTGTTGGTTATTTGGGCGCTCTGGCGTGAGACTTGATGCTGACATGTATAGACCTTGATATCAAACTGACGGGCGAGCGCGGCGACATCAAGAACTACCATCCGAAGAAGCTGATACACACATTCAAGTACCACCAAAAGGCCATAACGCAAGTACGATTCTTCCCCAACAGTGGCCATCTACTCCTGTCGGCCTCTGCAGACTCTAAGATTGCCATCTGGGACGTTTATCACCAGCGGGAGCTGCTAAGGACATACTCGGGTCACACTAAGTCGGTCAACGACATCGACTTCAACCCGGGCGGGACGCAGTTCATCTCTGCAAGTTATGACCGGTACATGAAGCTGTGGGACACGGAGACTGGGAAGTGCCTGAACAAGTTCACAACGGGGAAGACGCCGCACGTTGTGCGCATCAACCCGAGCATACCGCATGAGTTCCTGGCGGGGATGAGTGACAAGAAGATTCTTCAGTACGACACAAGGAGCGGAGAGATGGTGCAGGAATACGATCACCACTTGGGACCTGTCAACACCATCACCTTCTGCGATGAGGTTCGTATCAAGCCATAAGTCAATCTTTGTTCATGACGCTAACAGATATAGAACCGCCGTTTTGTCACGACGTCGGACGACAAGTCGCTGCGGGCGTGGGAGTATGGCATCCCCGTACCGATCAAGTTCATTGCCGAGCCGTACATGTTCTCCATGGTGCGATCGTCGCCACACCCGTCGGGCAAGTACATTGCATTCCAGTCGTCGGACAACCAGATAGTGGTGTACTCGTCGACGGACCGGTTCCGGCAGAACCGCAAGAAGAGCTACCGGGGCCACAACGTGGCGGGGTACGCGCCGGACGTGGCCATCAGTCCCGACGGGCAGATTGTTAGTTCTGGGGACAGCGGGGGCTATGTGTGCTTCTGGGACTGGAAGACGTGCAAGATGTGGCACAAGATCAAGGCTGGGGATTCGCCGGTGCTGGCGGTGCAGTGGCACCCGAGGGAGACGTCCAAGGTGATTACAGGCGATGGGGAGGGGCGGTTGCAGTATTGGGATTGAGGGGGGGGACAATGACGATGGTAGAATGATACCCATTTGGCACAGGATTCGGGGTGCCATGGCCGAGGAAAGGGCCAGTCTGTTCGACTGCGGCGAGCATTGCCATGTCGAGCAAGCACAATTGAGTCAATCGATAGAAATGCACGGCCCGACCCGACCATCTCGGTGTAGGGATGCTCACCGGTGCACGGTTGGACACGTTGAAGGGGACCATCTTGTGCGCGGTTGCGCAAGTGAGGTTTGAGGAGTCAGCGCCATCTCGTCGAGCAAGCAGAGACAGGAAGAGTCGCAAAACTCGTCAGGCGCAGGAGACATTCTATGAATAGGAAGAGATATTCTATCAATAGAGCATCTATCAACATTGAATGTTCCCCTATCGGCACGTGAGTTTGTCGGTCGCTGTCAGCATTTTGGGGGTTGTTTACCCCGCAGCAGCTGGGCCTTCACCATCTCCCACCACCTCGACATCTCCCCTTCCTCCTCTCTCCACATGTCCCATTTCAGTCGCCTTTTCTTGGATTTGGTTCGTCTCCTGTGCTCGCCGTCATGAAGGACTCGCCATCTCTCACGATGAGTCGCCTGCTCCGTTGTCACCATCTGGCCTTCCAGGCATCCATCCATTTCGCCCAGCCCCCCCAACACCTTTCACGGTTCCGCTTCTGGGAAAGCCGGTGAGGGATGGATTGCGCCCTTTCTTCACCTGGAACACACAGTCCTCGCAAGCATCCATCGAGAAGGGAAACATTGACGTGACAGGACGAAGCGGCTCCTCCCCGATCCCGATCTACCTACTGTGGTGTGGGTGGACCCTTCCCGGCGCCGTTCCAGCCCTACGCCCTGCCGCCATTCACCCATTCACCACACGCTTCAGCCTGGGGCTCGGCGCCAGTCACGCTTCCGCCTGATGTCCACTCCAGATGACCTCAATCGTGTGCCTTTTTGATGACTCTTTTCGGGGTCCCTGGAGAACAACTACTCGCAGGCGCAAAAATGTGCAGCCTATGGCTCCCTGGCCATTCATTGCAGCCTCAGCATCTGCCCAGCCTAGGTCAGAAGGGCTTCGCCTCCCCCCAAATGATTCACCGCTGTCTGGCCTTCTCTACTGGCCGTCCATGTTCAGGCATCTACGTATTCTAGGGAAAGTCGTCGGAGGTTCGCGAAGGTAGGAGAACAAGTCAATTGACTCTGAAAGAGTAGTTGGCGGCCTCAGGCAGGTGACCCTGCCTGGCGTATAAATCGATGCCTTGTGCATTGCCTTTTCACTCCTTCTTCTTCTTTTCCTCATTGCCATCGACTCTACTTCTATATCTTGTCTGCCTTCTGATTCATATCCCTTCACGCGTCCAGTCATTGCTCACTGTCCTCGTGGTCTCCTTCCGTCAAAACATTCGTCTCAGCTCGAGTCACTTCTGCCTCATCATCGACTCCATCCAAGCTTGCCGTCACTGAACTCTATACGCCAAACACCATTGCCGCCTACCTTCGCCATCCACTCCGTCGAAACACTGCCAATCATTCTGCCACATCGACGTGTCCGGATCTCTGAATCCCAGCCACACACCATGTCGTCCCGCTCCTCGTCGACATACGGCTCGTCTTCCACCCAGGACAAGGGCGCATATGTCCGCCCTTCATCGTCACGGTCTTCGGCTTCCACTGCATGTACGTTGCCCGTCAACCTCCCTGCCTCCCCTAGGCTTCCACTTCACCATGGAAAACCCGGGACTAACATGACTCCCCTAGCATACTCATCCTCTGGCTCGGCTGCCTACTCATCCTCGTCGTCACGGGGCTACCGCTCCAAGAACTACAAGCCGCCCGTCATCCACAACGGCGGCGGCCAGACCAACGACCCCAATACGTCGACTTCGGCGCCCAACGCGGGGTACTACAATTAGGGCGTCAGCAGCATTCCTTTTGTCAAGGGGACCTTTTATTTCTGTTTTAGCAACGCTTTTTTGGATTTCGGGGGTTATTGGTTGGAGGGGATGGTGGGGATCATGAATCTTGGGTTGGGTACTTTTTGGCGTTTTGGTTTCGTTTTTGTTGGGTTGCACGCATAGATGTCGCATTGGGCTCCACTGGCCCATATTCCTCCTCACTTCTTTCAAGGTATGGATATGGATATGGATATGGATACGACAGAAGGAGGAGGATAATAGGGTCGAGGTTCCTCGCCCTGTTCCCTTCCCTCATTCGCAGCTCACCTCACCTCGTCTCTGGGACTGGGACTGGGCGTGGCGTGGCGTCTGCGATGGGATGGGATCGGGCGAGGTGAATGCTCCCCTTGGGTATTATTACGATATGGTTGGGGCATTGAAATGAATTCAGGGCACATCTGGGTACCGCGTAGTGTTTTACTTTTTATTTATTTTCCGTGTCCTTCCCAAGGGGCAATACATGGGATCGAGGAATGATGCAGGAATGATGCATGAATAGAATCGCAACTCGAATCTATCAATCAAACATTCTCTCCCATACCTTTTTCGATCAAATGGAGTTGGACTATCTGTCCTGCCGTCGTGACAAACTCGTCGTTGGTGATGCACGCCGTCATGTCTCATTCGGATGCTTCTGATTGGTGCTTTCGTATCCATACATCTACTACCCCAAAAGAGTGCCTATCCCCAGCCAGCCTCAGCCCTAAGTATTGTGTACATGTGTATCTGCTGCAGGTATGCATTGGATGGTCACCATACCTGGGAAGGGATGTGGCCGCTACATACAGTAGTACGTACACTGCTGACGGCACGGAAATAGGATGCCAATCCTACCTAGATATATAGATAGATACATACAGGACAGATAAATTTGCATGTCTCAAAGCCTTTGCCATGTTTGAAGCATACTCGCTTCTCGTTGGTCCTCTAAGCAGAAGAATAGACTGGATAGTACTCTACAGCCGGTCTACAGTCCAATCTCTTGTCTAATCTTGCCTTCTCGTTCCATCAACCATCCATCATCCACTATCCAAAATCTTCATATCTGCTAACAACCCTACTCGTACAACAACAACCCCCCAACCCATCCATCTAATTAGCCATCCCATCCCCCCACACCCCCCTCACCAAGCCCTTCTTATTCACCTTCCCCATGGCATTCCTCGGCAGATGCTCCACGACCCTCATCTCCTGCGGAATCTTGTAATTGGCCAACCGCTCCTTCAACGCCCGCCGCATATCCAGCGGTCCCCAGGCTTTGCCCCCTTTCCCCGCCGTCTTGCCCATCTCACTCAACACCACCACGGCAGCGACCTTCTGCCCCCACGCCTCGCTCGGCAGACCCACGACGGCGCACTCGCTCACCTCGGCCAGGCTCAACAACTCGCGCTCAATCTCCAGCGCAGACACCTTTTCCCCGCCCGTCTTGAAGATATCCGCCGACGCCCGCCCCTGGATGAACCACATGGGCCCCTTTGCCCACGCCTGCGTCGGCCTCGTCGATTTCCCCGCTCCGACCCCATCCATCCGCCTCCGCACCGCCACATCCCCCGTCTTGAACCACTTCCCCTTTCCGTCCTCCCCCTCCACAAATTCCTTCGCCGTCGCTTCGGGATTCCGCCAATACTCGCGAAACACCGTCGGACCACGTAGCTGGATCTCGCCCTGCCTCTCCCTTCCCGTTGCGGGATCCACATCCCCTTCCCCTTCAACCATCACTTCTCCTGTCTCGGAATCGACGAGCCGCGCCTCCACCGACGGGAGAGGCCATCCTACGCTGCCGTCGACGCGGTCGGCAAAGTCCAATCCGCACGAGAGCGCCATGCCGACTTCGGTCATGCCGTAGCGTTCCAGCAGGACGTTGCCGCCGCTGAGGTCGAACCAGGCCTGCTTGACGGGCGTGGGCAGCGCCGCGGAGCCCGAGATGTTGAGGCGCATGTTGGAAGGGTGGAGGGCGGTTTTGGCGGCCGCTTGGACGTCGGGGGGAAGTTGGGGGTGCGAGGCAAGCAGGCGGGTGTAGATGGTCGGCACGACGGTGAGGAAGGTGACTGGTTTTTTGGTAGGGTCGGGATTCGGCAGAAAGGGCGCGGCGAGGCGTTCCCATACCGCGGTCGCGTTGAACGGGAATTGGAACTCTATTGTACTGCCGGCGAACAGGGGTGTCAAGAGTGCATTCACGGTGCCGTGGATGTGGTGCAGCGGAAGCACGTGCAGCAGGACGTCGTTGCTGCTGTATTCCCACGCCTGCAGCAGTGACTTGGACTGCGCCGTGAGTACGTCCTGGGGGAGGAGGACGCCCTTGGGCCGATTGGTTGTTCCCGAGGTATACAGCATCATGCCGCCTTTGTCGCTCTGGGGTTCTTCCAAAGTGACGTAATCGTCCGTCTTGCCAAGCATGATTTTCTCCTGCTTGTAGTTGATGGGTTTGGTTTCGAGCCCTTCCTTCAACACTTCATCGGCCTTGTCCTGGAATTTCTCCGAAGAGAGCAGCATGAGCGATTCGCTCTGATCGATGATGTAGCGGAGCTCGCTGGCCGGGAAGGTCGGGCAGAGAGGGACAGCAATGGCATGTGCGGCCAGGATGGAAAGCAGTGTCACTACAATCCGCGCCGTCAGCCTTTGATTATGAATGAGCGTTCCAGGAATATGAGGTATAGAGAAAAGTAAACCGAGCATGCGCACCTACATAATCGTAGCCATTCTCCACCAAGAACGCTATCCGCGCCCCTTCGGCGCTCTGCCCATTCGTGTTCCGCTGCAGCTTGTCCTTTGCGGCGGCGACATCGTTGACGAGCTCGCCGTACGTGAAGGAGCGGCCGGACAGCGAGTGGATGACTGCGGTGGAGGTGGGTTCGTGCTTCTTGAGGGCTTCGAAGACGGGCAGCCGAGGGAGGGTGGAGGCCATTCTGAGGGTCGGAGAGGTGAAGTGGCGGGGTACGCAGCGGGTCGGACGAAGACGAGGCGACGAGAAGGAAGGAATTGGATTTAGTGAGTGGTGGAGAGGAGAGGAGGAGGAGGTCCGGGGGAGAGAGCGACAGAGTTGGGCCCACATTACGGGAGGAGGAGGAGGTAGCGACGGGGCCGGGGTTATATTGATATGCACGAGGGGATCCGAGGGAGGGTGCGAGTAATACCGGGAGGGTAGGGTAGGTACTACGGGTCGAGCTCTCTATCTTATAAGGCTGGCCGGGGAACCGAGGCTGGAGGGGAACATTCTGAGGGATTGGAGGGGGCAAGGGGAGAAAGTAGATGCGATTGATGGGAATAGGAGAGGCGTTAAACGGTGAATGGCGTCGTCAATTGACCTTGACAGACACTCAAGCTCATGGATTCGGAATTCGTGCCTCGGGTCTTGGCATCCGAGCAATACACAGTACGCAGCATCGGACTCCAGATGTAGCCCCGAATACGATTTCCTCTCTCTCTTCGCCCACACCGATTGAGGTGTGATATCGACATTCACCTGACTCGGGTTGGATTGTCTAGCCGCTGTTTGATGTTTCTCAGGGCAGGCCTCGCGGGAAAGCGCCTGCTGTCTTCCATGGCGCAGTCCACGACTCCGATTGAGGATGCCATGCGGGCGAAGGTAGACGCTGTTCCATTCCGTTTCCCCTTCTCTATGCTCTCTTTTTCATCTCTTGCTACCCGTTAGCTCTCTCCAAGATTGGGAGGGTTGAGATTCTCTTCCGAAAAATGGATTTTGAGGCTGACACGTGCCATGACAGATCACAGAGGCGCTGAAGCCCACGACCCTCGAGATCCACAATGATTCGCACCTCCATTCGCACCACAAGGCCATGCAGGGCGTGACGAGCAAAGAGGTACCTATATGCTTCGTCCTTTACTTTGGTCACATGACACCTTCTTATCCACGATCCATAGACACACTTCCGCCTGACCATTGTCTCGCCCGCCTTCGCGGGCAAGCTGCAACCGGCAAGGCACCGCATGGTGTATTCGCTCCTCAAGGACGAGATGGCCCAGGAAGGCGGCATCCACGCGCTGCAGCTCAAGACGCGGACGCCCGAGGAGGAGCCGCGGGCCCAGGCGAAGGAGTAGACATTGGAGGGGTTGAGAGTGCATGTCTAGTGAGCAAAGCCACGAAGAAACTGTAGAAGGGGTGTTGTATGAGGTATCTATAGACGAACTGCCATCTACCATAGAAGGAGTGCTTGAACGCCATACCTTGGGCTCCTACGCACAACCACCTAACAATAGACTCAACTTGTATACCATAGAAGCCCACCCGCGTTTCATGCACACACAAAACCCATGTACGCATTCCTCACGTCTCCAAACCGCCAGGAGCGTGAAGTGCCCTGAACGGAACGCGAGGACCATGTACCACGTGATAATCTTCTCTGCAACCTACCTAGGTAGGTACTTCGAAATGGATGAAGAGCTAGTTGAATCGCAAAGACAGTTCCATCTTAGCATGTCACCATTGCATTCAACGGTTGCCAAGGTCATCACGGGTCGATGATGTAGTTGATAAATTTCCCCATCCGTCCAATAATGAACTAACCACCAAAAGACGCCCACATTCTGTAGGAGGTGAGTGGCTGGCCCTGCGTACCGGCGGGCAATTGCAAGTCGCCATCCATCTAACCTATCTACCGTGTATGCGCCGTTTGAATCATCCTTACTGTGGGGAGACTCCATGTGTCACAATAAACTGGAGATACTCCCGAGTTCCACCCACAGCAACCTCGTGGGTCTCCGGCTAGCAATGCGACCAGCCTTGCTTGCTGTGTTACCAACTTCCACGTGTATCTGTGTCTGTGTCGGCGGCCCGGGCGATCAGAACGGTACTTGTGTCATAGCGTAACTTGTGTACTTGTACATAGTAATAGCGTACTGTGCACAGTACATAGAGTAGAGTAGGAATACCAATCGTTCTGCAGCACGGGAATTCCTTCTGCCGTCTCGGCAATCTAATCATCGTCGACGTAGATTAGGAAAACGAACGCAGGCGGGGAAACCAACTCAATCAGAGGCGAAGAGGCGAAAGAGGCGAAGAGCGACTCGGCGCGTCGATAGAGGACGTCAGCCCAGCCATTTACTGTCAGAACTGCGCTTGTACCGCCAGGTCAGGGACGCTGACTGAGCTTTGAACCTGGACGTGAGAGTCCTACTGTACTTGTATTGCACCGAAGGTGATGAAGCTGCGGGGAGAACTTTTGATATATTAATAAAGTAGCAATTGACATTAAAGATACCATCGCCCATGAATCCATACTTTCCTTTCCTTTCCTCGTCGGCACGTCAGCGGCGCTCAACACGGCCACTCATTGGTATCGTCCAAGAGCTCCCAAGAACAAGCATCCGCCTCGGCATTCCTGTCCGGGGGAAGAGCGCCGCGACGGGAATAAATCAGCAAAACTCCATTCATTGCCCGTCATTCAACACATATCCCAACGTCATTCGACATATGCCATGCGTTCCGAACCACAAGGATGCGCGCTGCGTGACTGCCAAAACCCAATTGCAATTAGACCAAACCCAAAGACAAAACAATTCGCGTCGTGCCGTTTCGCTTCTTGGTATCATCGAGGAAGCAAGCAACTGCTCTCTGTGTGCGTACGTGATGATGACGTCGACGTCTATACCGCCTCGGCCGCCGCCTTCTTCCTCTCGCGGCCCTTCTCGCTCCAGGGGAAGTGTGCGACGGGGATGACGAAGAAGCTGCAGGCTGGTCAGTGTCTCTCCTGAAGAAAAATGTGATGAACATGAAGATGCCGCACCTGTTGGAGTTGTCGGCAATACCGGCGAGGGCGTTGTACCACGCCAGGAAGGCCGCGAACAGGCCAAAGTAGCCGCCGGCCTTGATGCACGCAGAGTTCGGCGCCGTGCCGTCGTGCCTCAGGTACCCGATGCCGAGCAGCAGGAAGGCGAGATCCAGCGTGAAGAAGAGCCCGAAGAAGGCAATCGTCGACCGGAGCGTGCAGACGAGGAGAAGCGTCGTGAAGATCCACCAACCCATGAGGAACAGGCCGAACGAGTTCAGGAACGCCGGCGCCCCCCCCTCGTTCTCGAGAGCCCCCACAATGTTGAACCCTCCGGGCGTGAGGATGATGGCGAAGGCGAGCCAGAAGCCACCGTACGAAGACAAGGCGGTAGCACCAAACGTGTTGCCGACGGCCATCTCCCTATTACACCTTGTTAGTCCTCCTTGTCCGGCAGTAGACAAGGGTCAGAATCGGTACGTACCACATGCCGGCGAGCAACTGAACGAGACCACCATAGCCAAAGGCAAGAGCGACCACCAGGTTGGGGTGATGGATGCCGCGGGCGCCCACGTTGATGAGCGAGAGGACAAACGTCGTCAGGGCGAAGGCAGACAGACCAAGCGGCGCGGGATTGGCGAATTTGCGGTGCGAAGGACTGAGCGTATCGTTCAGCGGCTGATCATCGCAGCGACCGTTTAAGCTGGTTTGACGACTTACGCATAGAGACCGGGTTGGAAGTCACCACCGAAAGGTGGAAGGCGATTCTCCTCGTTGGTCTTCCAGTGAGCCAGCGGGTTGCCACCTGCATGCCATTAGTTACCATGTTCCCATTACGAGACCAAACAATCCGGGCCATGAACTGACCATAGTCATAGGGCTTCCTTTCTCTGGGAGCAGCAGTGGTAGCGTGATCCACACTGCTCGTACCGTTGGTCTGATTCACGGAGCCATCAGGCTGAACGAGGTTAGTACTTGAGGGACGCGTCGATTTCCAACGCCTTTGGGACACTGCGACATACGTGGACTTGTTCCTGAGCGGAAGCCATTGTTGATTTGTGGGTGGGGGGGTATTAGATACGAATCAACAGTAGTTGGAGTTGTACAGTAAACGGCGAAACTCCAAAGCAAGCTTCTATGCCAGCAAACGGGGCGCGGTGGGAATGCGAGGGCAATCTGAGACGGTTGAAGGTCTGGGGAGGGACCAGCAGATATATTCGCGGGGAGAAGCTGCCCTGGGAACTTTTCCCTACGAGCGACGTCTGCCACGGACCTGGGGAGCTGCGGGGACCCCAATCCCAGCGCCGCCCTTGTTTAATAATTGATCTAAACCGACTCTTTCCCTGAGTAGTGGACCACTCATGGCCCGTTCCCCATGGGTACGATGTCAGAACATCCAGACCGGGTAAAGCTGCTGGACGAGTCTGCGGTTGGTCAGTCGACGGTAGGACTTGTCCATGGCTGCCAAGTCTTCGGACGAGCGCTGCAGTAGCGGGCCCACGACAAAGACGAGGGCTGTTCGGCATCCCAAGCCGTGATCATCGGAGTTTGCTCAGTCACGAGATGCCCGCCCAGCCGCTGGTGCGGACGAGGAATCGTCGGCCGACTTCACCACCACTTGTGCCCTTTGTGCCCTTGATGTGCAGCTGTGAAATGGATTGCATCATCAGCGACTTGGGCCGACAACCTCTCGATGCGTCGACTTGCCGCTTTACACAGGGTCAGTCTGGAATTTTTCCAGAAATCATCCAGGGTCGGTAAACACAACAAGGATGGGAAATGATTGCCCTGCAGCGGTTGTCGGGATGTTGTGCGCGTCCCTCCAGCTGTTCCCTTCTTGGGCCAGAAAATCCGAGTAAAACGCTACTGTGGGAGGTAGATGGCGGTTGGTAAATAATACCAGTAAAACAGCGGGCCCTCCCCTTCATCCCGTCTTCTCGTACCGCGGTCCCTTCTTGGTGGAGCCCTGGTCCGAGGTGTCATCCATATCAATAGCGTGCTCCACCTGAAATCTCGTGGGTGTGAGCGAACGAGGTGAGCTGGAATTGGACGGGCGGCAGCCGGCGCACCGGACGCTTCGAAAACTCACACTGGAGGGACGAACCGCAGAAGACCAGGGCTGGCATGGAGGATGGCCTTGAGTGGGTGATTCACCAGAAGGTTGGCGCTGATGGATGATGTAAGAGGCGATGGGGACCAGGGAGTCGAAGGATCCGAAGTCGTCGTGGCTAAGCTTTTGGCGCAGTTGGCGTAACCTTGGAAGAAACCTTGTGTGGGTCCATTGCACCATTCCCTTTCCGGCAAAGGCTTACTAAAACTCACCCCAACTGTTCTGAGAATCTTCAAAACTCCAGAACCCACCCACCCACCTCCACTCCCTCCACGGCCTCCACCACCTCCACGGCCTCCACAGATCTGGAGAATCCACCCTTCCGCATCACACATCGCTTTTTGATGGTTTCCGGCGGAGAACCACCACACTCCTTCGTCGACATGACACAGCTGGTCCAGGCCGCGAGAAATCAGCGCGGCATGCTCGCGGAGACATCGGACAGCCGGGCCCTCAATGGTGCAATATCAATTCCGCCCTCGGCCATGCTGTATCCGTCTCCGAGTCATCAATAAATCACCCGTCGCGGCTGACACGGGCTAGGGAATTGCTGCATACAGCATCGTGCTCTTCAAACTTCAACTCTCACCAAAACAACTGTTCCTGACTCTCTCCCGTTTTTCCTATTATTTTACCGAGCCGCCGTCGTTTTTCTGCTTTCCATCGTACAGGCCCAAGTTTCGCGCTTATACTTGTACAAGTACACAGTAGTTGTGCAAACGGTGCGTGTTTCGCACGTTTTCCGTGATTGGTGGCCCGCTGCAACGGAATGCGTGTTCCACAAGATATATTCCATGCATACAGTTGTGCTGCTGCATCCACCACCATCAGCCGTCTTGCATTGTCCGCATATTTAGCCTAATCATTCCACTGGTTGTCAACATCAAGACTTATTAAACAACCCTACACAGTAAATATCGTTTCCCTCTCGAGCTGGGAAAGACATCTGCCGATCTACTGTCGTTTCCAGACGCGACAGCTATTGTTCCGCGCTGCCTTGTTCTCTGGGAGCAGGGTGTAACTACTGACCGACAGCATCTGTACTGTGGAAAGTACGGAGTATGATGAAGCCATCCATCATTCTAGATGCCACTTTGATGAGTCTTCGCTGCACCAAGACGTCGCAGAGTCTGGCCATTTCCAACGGCTGCACCGTCCAGTCAGGCAAAGAGGTTTGGATTCTTCTCCATGGTTTACACAATACAGCGGGAGATCATCGTCCTCGACTAGGGTGAATGGTACCGTGTATGGTGTACGGAGTACAGACGAGCTATAGACGTACGATGCAACCTTGGAACTAGGGATAATAAAAGCCAAACCTGCTCCTATAGCGACATAAACACCAGTCTCTAGTCTCGGAGCGCATGGGAAGCTTGAAGCTTTGTGGTAGAAATGGTATTGAATTCGCTAAAAGATGATAACAACGTAACCATACTGTACTCTACAATGTTGCACCATCGATCTCTCCTTCGTGCTAGCCAACAGCATGCTTACAGGTCAGAAACCGCCCGCGTCTCGTTCGTACCATGTATGGTATCCTGTGATAGCCGTTGTGCCTCAAAGCTCTTCGAAACACGCAGGCCTATTGTCAAGATGATGCAACAGCTTAACTCTTCCTCAGTCAGTCTGCCTTTGTAAACACTCTCCCCTGACTCAAAATCCGCCACACTCCTAGCACGTGGTCAAGCCTTCCCGCATACCTACAACAATCGACCATAGTCGTAGTGATGCTGCTAGCCTCCGGACATTCATGGGTGACGGAACAACTTTTCGCAAACCCACACCGAGATTCCTCTCGTCCGAGCAACACTCGCCACAAGCTGGCTGGTGGTTCGACGTTGGACATGTCGTTGACACACGGTTTTCGGGTGGCGTTTCCTTGGTCTGCTTGTCCTGTGATCCTGTGATCCTTCCGCCTTGGAAGCCCTTGGCGCACTCGCTTCTTGAAGAGACTCTTGTCGTCAAGGATGAAACCTCCTAGTCAGCGGAGGGTCATGTTGATATACACAGTATACTTTTAAGTTATACTAGTACAACAGTACTGTGTAGGATGCCCGAAGGCGATGTCAAAGTCAAAGTCGCGATAGGATCTTGGTGTTGAGGTTGCATCGGTTTCCCTTCCCCCCATGGGCAGCTTGCTAATGTGAGTAATCTTGGAGAACCCCACGGGGGCAAGGGTGGATCGACTGCAACCGAATAACAAAATGACATGCAGATTCAACGAGAATCCTGTCTCTCACGCATCGACTACTGTGAAAAGTATACTACTTACTGTATAGCGTGCCTAATCATTACTTGTAAATACATAGTACTTGCCCTCCCCTCTACCCTCGTTTGCTTCTTCCCCTTTTCTTCCCAACTAATGATGAAGCAGAGAGATAGATGCAGCTTAAAGATTATGGATAATTAGTGAGTAGCACCCTGTTGGGCTGCTCCCTTCCTTCTTCACTCTCTTCTCTCTGGTCGCCACATGAATTGCAGTTGAGATATCATTATTAAGGATGTCTATCCGTTGTTTGCAAAGTTGTAACCGTCTATATCCTCTCCGACAGTCCTCCAGCACTCACAGCACCGCAAATGCACTGCAATAACTCACACTACTATCCCGCACCCTCTCCACCAACGAACTCCGCTCATACCGTACGAACCGGAACCTCCCGCGGCCAGACTCTGCGTCGCCCTTCCCCTCGCGATCCACGACCTCGGCCCGCTCGACTGCCGCCATGAAGACGCCAATCGGATGCCGGCCGCACACCGTGTTCCCCGTGCGCTCCAGCTGCGCGAGGAAGACGTCGTGCTTGCCCGATTCGACGGCGTCCATGCTCTCCTGGTCGACGAGGGCGATGGACTCGTGTATGGGGCGCGAGCGTGACACTTGAGTGTCGGATCGGAGGTGGATGGGTCTATGGTCTTCTCCTTCTTCCTCCTCCTCCTCTTCTTCTTCGGCGACACCGTCCTCTTTTGGCGAGAGGTAGTAGGTGTATCGGAAGCGGGAGCCCCAGTGGCAGAAGTCGGAGCTGATGACGAAGACGTTGCCCGGGTCGCGGAGGTAGGGGGCGAGGCGGGCGCCGAGGAAGCGTTCGGTGGAGGGCGACGTGCTGCCGACCATGATGGGGACGAGGGGTGGCATGGAGGAGGGGGAGAAGTGTCTACGTATTGACGATGGGTAAGTCGGGTGTACTTGCGGAATGCATTTGCGAAATCGAGTAGACATACAATGACAGCATCTTGTAGATGTAGGGCAGATGCATCTCCAGGCTGTGCTCTGCCTCGTCGACCAGAGTGGACATGTGCATCAGGTCTAGGTCTTTTGCTAGCTTCTCTACCAACTCTGTGTCTATGCGCAGAGGGCCCAGAGGTGTCGAATATGCGTCGAAGCTCGTCGTGGCAGCGCCGTGGAGGTAGTAATGGTGCGAAGGGCCGAGCAGGAAGACTCGTTCTCTGTCCATACATTGTCGGTTAGTCCATGCTCTGGATTCCTCTGGCCATGCCTGGTGGATTTCCCAGAAAATGTAAAAGGACTCACGCCTTGCTCCAATCTATGCTCTTGTAGGCCCATGCAGCGGCAGGCCCGGAATATGAGTATCCAGCATGCCTGCAGTGACCATGAGCCTCTCCTTCTTTACAACTTGTACTCGTGCTCTTCAGAGGATGGTGGTAGCATACGGTGCAATGATGGCTCTAGCGCCGGGCGTAGGTATCGCTACGGGACCATTCTGCGACGAGACTGTGCCGATGGGAGTAGTGGAGCTGGGGACGGCAGCCAGCCATGTGTCGAGTTGCTGGGAGAGTTCGGCCTTGTCGGCGGTGTACCAGGAGCCGGCGTGGGACGCTGTGCGGGAGTGCATAATGCAAAGAGGAGGCGAAAGAGAGGGATTTCTGAAGAAGGAGTTCGGAGAGTGCGGAGTGAGAAAGGCCAAGAGGAGTGATGGTAGCTGAGGGCTGGAGGGAGAGAGAAGATGTAGTCGATGTAGTTAGGCCGGGCAGTGGCGGGGTAAGAGTTACATGTGCACCGCAATGGCAGTGTTCACAACAGTGGGGCTCCGGCGCCACCTGGATCATAGATTCATAGTATGGAGGCGGTTTTACTAGAGCGGGATGGTATAATGATTGTTCTAGCTGGTGATAGTATCTACGGTACAGAGTACTGCGCCGCCAACGTCGCGTATACATATGTACATACATGAATACTACACTGGTCTCTCCTTATCGATAAGCTCCTACCCCAAAACTGTATCTGGAGGGGTTGCTCCAACGGTGAATAAGTCCTTAGCCTGTAGTAGTAGTAGTTGATGAAGTCGTCCCTCCCCAAGTATATGGGAGTATTCTAAAAAGAAACATGGACCAGTTCGATTAGAACGATGAACAAACAAATGGGCCGTCTATCCAGCAAGTAGCAGTATTCCGTCCCATGTCCCAGAACGCGTCCGCGTCGCGCCTCGGCGCGCCAACCTCCGCATTTCATCATCCATCGCTGCTCCCGTCTGACCTCCCCATCACGACCACAGCAGACATATCCATCGCCGCAGCGCATTTGTCCACCATCGATATCCCCTTGAATTCGATACCCCCCAGTATTACAGCGAATATCCAATACCACAGACATGGGCCTCAAGCGCAAGCGCTCCACAGACTCTTCCCCCATTTCCACATCCTCCAGCCTCGCATCGCTATCGTCCGATTCGCATCCGCAGACCCCCTTCCCCTCCGCATATCCCTCCGCCATGGACGCCGATTCCTGCTCCAAAACACCCTTTAACTTCAACGTCGAGTGGGGAGCTCGGAAATCGGCTTGGGAGGCCGCCGACCTGGGCTGTCGGACGAGGAAACGCTGGCGCGACAATCGGCCTGATGAGCGAGTTGTACACGGTATGTTCGCATGATTCCCGTATATGCATCCTTTTTTTTTCGGCGAGGCGTCAGAATCTGTTTCTTGCAGCTGACAAGCGCGTAGAAACGACGCTGCAGAAACTCTTCGCCGCGCAGCGCAACCAACGCCAACACCACAGCCCCGAACCCATACTCCCTCCCTCACAAGCCCCCGTCCCCACCACGCCTGCACCAGTCCAAAGATCCACCCTCCATTCCTTCTGGAACATCGGCGCTCCGCCCGTCCATCCTCCCTCTCTCATGCTGCCCCAACACCGCCACGCCCAAGTCGCACCCTCGTCATGGGACGCCCCTCGCTGCGCCGAGTGCGACACCTCTCTGCTCCCCAGCGAGGGTCTTGATGGTGCCGCGGACGTCGACATGATGGATCTGGGCGGCATTGGCAGCGGCGGGGATGGGGCCCTGGCGCAGTTTGCATGCGGTGAGTGCGGAAAGAATGTGTGTAGCATGTGTGCTGTTGTGGGAGAGACGAGGTGTTGCTTGCAGTGTGCGACGTCGGGGAGGAGAGGAGGGAGGGCGTGCTAGAGTCTTTGATTGGCTTTGATTCATGTCCGTCTGGCGGCGATTGGACTTGGTGTTTTATTGGTATTGCAGGATGAGTTCTAGGGGCTGTCTCTGTTGGCATGGCCTAAAACTGTTTTGGATGGTTGCTGTGGATAATACCCTGGCGCGCATTGTGTATCGCTATTGGAATGGAGTTGGAGCGTGAAATCCATTTCTATGCAAATATTGGTACATGTGTATACAGGGTCGAACATCTTGCGCATCTATCCACAATCGCCGTCTTTCTCCCTTCTCTCGCATATTACTCCATCACTCCGATCATCCATACACATGCGCACTCTTCCACCCTCACTCCTAATAGCACCACCGCCCACTAATGTCCCTCCACAACACTCGCCTCCAAGCCCTTCATCGCGGCCTCAATCTCCCGCACCTTGCCCCCAACCCTCCTCTCCACCTCCCTCGCCACCTCCCCATCCCCCTCATCCCGCACAACCTGCTCGTAATACTTGATCAGCTCGTCCACCGCCTCGCGCGCCGCCCGCCGGTCCTCGGCCGCGTACGTCGTATTCTTCTCCGTCTCCTCGGCCGCCATCTCGAACTCGTCGCGCGCGGTGCCGTACAGGTCCGTGATGGTTTCGATGATGGCGTTTATGCGGTCGGTGGTTTCTTGGGAGAGGGGAGGTGTTGATGACGCGGAAGAGGAGGAGGAGTGGTCTGCGAGGAGGAGAGGGGCCGACGGGCGAGTGAAGCGCCGTGTTGACGTGAAGGAGTAGGGCGTGCGGAAGCGGGTCCAGTGCGTTGTGCTTGGGGACGGGTACTTGGAGGAGGAGGTTTGGTACGGTGGCGGGGAGGGTGTTCTGGTCTGGAGGGTGGAGAGCGGACGGATCGTGGTAGGTGCGGCTATGCTGGTGTTTGTGCTGCCCGTTCGCAGGGTGTGGTGCGTGGTGCGGAGGAGGGCGAAAGCCGCTGGCTGGGCGCGCGAGGCCATCGTGGCAGGATGTAGGTTCTTGGGATTGAGCAGAGTTCAGGGGATCGATTTATCGAAGATCTTCCGAGAGCTTGAAATGGATGGGAAGGGTAATTGGGCGGCAAGTACGTAGAGGAGCAGGATTGAAAGCGAGTGAGACTGACTCCGAGTTGGAGATGCTGATGAAGGCGGGCAGCGGCGGCAGTATCTAAGTAGATATTTGAAGGTCCGGTTCAAGCTAATAACGTCACTAGAGGTACTTCCATGTCCGTTAGAATACAATACTACTGTGTACATTCACTTGCACAGTATCAGCCAATCTGAATGTTTACCAACGGTTGAGGATGCACTTATCTTGGTATGGTCGCTTCATTCTGAGACCCCTATTTTGTACATGGAGGGCTGCCGCTAATCGACCCTTCATCGCTCACAGGGCGAAACTGGGATTTGGCCGCAAAAAGGCTGGCCATTCCCACCCCACTTTAGGAGCCCTAGAACATGAAATGCTTTTCATCGTGTACGAGCCCAACAATTGGAAGGATTTCAATGTATTACAAATTTAATCTACTATATAAATGGTATTTTTTTCCAAATTGGCAATTCACTACGGCGAGAGTAGTCTAGTGGTCATGATGTCTGCTTTACATTTACTCAAATGTTGAGCGCAGAAGGTCGGGAGTTCGATCCTCCCCTCTCGTAGCATCTATAATCTTTTTGCACCTTGCAACCCTTCAAGTCTGCCTGAACGAATCCCTCTTTTCTCCCTTTTTTCTTTTTTAACTTTTGAATCATGGGGCATGCAATCTTGCGTGCATACGTAGACTAGGAAAGCCTGCTGCAGCGTACATTGCCACTTCACCAAGACCTTTGTACACTTGGATGGGGTATCTATCGGTCATAACATTCTCCCCTCCTGCCATAATAGGGTTGCTGCGTAAAAATGTGTCTGTAACTCCCCGGAAACGCTCCAAGAACCAAAGTTAATTCCTATCTGGATACCAAGCAAGAGAACCAAACGCAAAGAATGCAATTGAAAAACCCGCAAAGGAGCGAGGAATCTGCCAAATGCCCTCACTGACGTGGGCGCGGCGGCTGCTGGTGCTTCACCGTCCAACCGTGCACGCTCCGTCGCATACCTAAGGTCTTCCTCTGTACTCCAGTAGTACTTTGGACTTGGGCAACAGTAGTGGTATGCAAGGTCGATGCTGCACGGAATCCAGCTGTTAGCAGGTTACCGGTCTTGCGGTGGTATGTTATCGGGCTGGTAGGCTCCTCGGCAGCCTCTTCGAATTCCACTTGTCCCAGTGCGAGTTCGTCATCTGGCTTCACCGGCGAGCTGGAGTGGAGGATGTAGCGCGTGCTTGGATCCTCTTCCCCCGATTCAATGGCCGGCTTCTTAGGCTTGCTCATCATAGGGGCATTGCGAGGTCGGTGGTTGGACATGGTTGGAGGTTGGTAGGTGCGGTTCGATCGTTGTGGAACGTTGGAGATGTCGTCCAGAGGCCTGTGTCTTGAGCCAGAAGACTGAGAGCGCAGTAGCGACGGCACAGGCATTACTAGCGGCCCGGGTGTCTGAAGGGATGTGGGAGGCGTCGTCACTGAAACAGCCGAAGTGTCTGAGGCTGCTGGCTCTGGTCTCTTGAAGAAACTGGTAATTGCGCCCTGCCCAGCAGCACGTGGCTTTTGTGGTCTGCCGCGTGTTGCCTTGGACTCTTCCACGTCCACTCTCTGGAAATCCCTATACGCTGCATTTCCAGCCGACACCGTGGATGCGCTTACAAGCGGTTCGACGGCTTTGGCCTCCTGCAGGATTTTGTGCTGGGTCCTGGCAGTGGTAAAGCCAGCGTGACCACTCTGTAAAGTGGTTGTCGCCACCGAGAAACTTGAGGCGGATTGCATTGTCGTAGCCGCCGTAAACCCATCAGACAAATGCACAAGCTTGCGTCGTTTGACCCCAGAAGGCTGATGTTCAAACGACAGACTTGGTATCCCTTCGGCCTCAATGTAATCCCTGGTAGGTGGATACTTATCGTCTTCAACGCTCTCAAGGAGAGCGCGAGCGGCCTCGACCTGGCTGCTTGAAGGGCACGGTCTTCGAAGAATGCGCGCTAAGTCAGCGATGGCCGAGCAGCCAATTGATGGCCCCGTCTGGCTGAATAACTTCTGGACATCCGGCGATGAAAGGAATGAAGAAAGCGTTGTCTCATCTTGGCCGGCCTGTTTGACGGGGCAGCTCAAGTAAAGCAGGGCTTTGGCTCGCGTCATTCCCACATAGAGCAGGCGTCGCTCCTCATTGTGATCTTCTGCTCTTGAATGGGGGATCGAGCCCTCGTACACAGCGGGTATAAAGACAACGGGCCATTCGAGGCCTTTTGCGGCATGGATGGTGGAAATGGTGACCTGGTTCGGTTCTTCGCCATCCGGCCTCTCTACCTCGGTGGAAAGCGCTACGTTTGAGAGGAACTTCGACAAGAGATCGGCCGCAGTGTCTTCTCGTTGTTCGACACCGTCCACGACCGGTAAGGCGTCATCAGATATGGTTTCCCCATTAGCAACGGCGGCCGCCATTTGCGTCGCTTGGATGCCTAGCTCTTCAATATTTGCCCACCGATCTTTCCAGTTCTCAGGATAGGTTTTCTTCAAGTATGCTTCGAACGATATCTTCTGTAATACATGGGTGATCAAGTCCCATAGGTTACAATATCCGCCATCTTCTGGGAGAAGCTTCGCACGTGATGTCAGGATCAGGTTCACGAAGACGTCAATGCCTTTCTGCGCCTGTGAGGAGATCTTTGTCGCTGGTCGTTTTCCTCCTTTGGCAGCATTGTGGAGCAACTTCCACAAGGATGTCTTCTTCTGCTCAGCCTCTTCCAAAAGAGATTTCACTGTGACCTCCCCGATTTTCCGGGACGGCACATTGAGGACTCGAGCGAGAGCATCATTGTGGTGAGGTTGGTCGATGGCACGTAGATAGTCTAGGATAATCTTGACTTCAGCTCTGTCGAAAAACCGTCGGCCCCCAACCATTCGATAGGGTATACCTGCTTTTCCAAGCTTGCTTTCGATGGATAGCGACAGTGAGGCTGATCGAAGAAGAATTGCATAGTCATGGAAATCCAGCAGTCCGGCAGCAAGCGTTCGAGAGCGCTGAATCTCTTCCACGATCCAGTCAGATTCCACATTCGAATCGGCAAGGTGTCGTAACGTAGGTTGTTCTCCTACGCAGTGCGTCGCTTGCAAGGACTTGCTAGGTCGACTCTCGTCTTGTTCGATCACCGCCATTGCTGAGCTCAGAATGCATCCGGATGAGCGATAGTTGTTCTCAAGGTTGATGACAAGGGAATCAGGGTAGTCCTTTTGCATGCGGTGGAGATTCTTAATCTCCGCTGACCGAAAGCCGTAGATGCTCTGATCAGGATCTCCCACAATGGTGATTCGCTTCCTCTTTTGAGCCAGGAGCGTCATCAGCTCGTACTGGACATTGTTTGTATCTTGGTACTCATCGATCAAGACAGCTTCAATGCTGGAGACACAAGCAGGATGCTTGCGCAGAAGCTCCACGCAGCGTAGCAGAAGATCATCGTAGTCTAACAGATTCGAGGCCTTCAACGTATCCTCATAGTCACTGTATACGCACGTGAATTCGTGCTGTTCGGCTTTCTTAGTGGTCCTAGCGAATTCGTCCACGGTGGTCCCTTTTGCTTTGAGACTAGAGATTCTTGATCGTGCAGCGCTGGGGTCCAGGGTGTAATCACCTCGTTGTATGATTCGTTTGATTATGGCGGTACTATCCGAGGTGTCCGCGATTCCAAAGTTCTTGTCAATCCCGATCTCCTGTCCATATCTTACAAGAAAACGTCGAGCGACTGAATGGAATGTTCCTAGTATTAACTTGGCTTCAACACCTTCTCCCACCATCCCGCGTATCCGTTCCTTCATCTCTCTCGCGGCCTTAATCGTGAAGGTGCATACCACGATATTCCAAGGCTTGAGACCCTCATGATTGATGAGGTACGCGACGCGTGCAGTTAGTGTTTTGGTCTTTCCGGAACCTGGAGGAGCAAGGACTTGCACCACAGAGGCGGGCGAGGTTACGGCACTTTTCTGAGCATCGTTCAATCCATCCAACAGTGAGTCCATCTGGAAAAGTCCTTGGGTTGTGGTGCGCTCGATATATTCGCGCGGTCACAGTCGCGGATGGCCGGCCTTGGTTCGGAAAACGCGAATGCACGTGATGGAGACAAGTTAACCGTTTTGGGCCTACTTCCCAAGTCATTTCTTAAGCTTCAAGATCAACCTTGGACACTTGGAACCTTCAACTGCTCATTGCATCCTATCTAGCCTATCAGAAGTCGTTTCTCTAATACTGTAAACACAAAAGTACATCTAGAGTCCAGCAAATAATGGATGCTAACAGCCATGGATGGCCAACACGTCCGCTCCATGTACTCGGCACCAGACAGCTGCACTGTAGCTAGCCGAGCACTTCCATCTCATCTTTCGTCCTAGGGGATGTCCATATCAAAAGAGGCTGTCGAAAGTCTCAAAACCTCCTTCCTTATATGCGCAATAATATCACCAGAGATATCTAAACGGTAACAACTGAAATATGGACTCCTCGTTAGATGTTGAAGCTTCAGAACATGGACATGCCCATGATGACCGGACGCAACACGCCAGATGCCTCACTTCATCGCATCACAGCAGTCATACTAGCGAATCGTTTTCGATATTCCACTCGGAATAAACTGGAATACGTCAACCGAGAATGAGGATATGGCCTAGCAACCCAAACATAGCAGGTTGGCGCTATCGGCTTCCGAATGATGAACACCGAAGCGATCATGCACTCGGTACGTGTGGATCCTTCAGACTAGACACTCTACGCCTATGATGATCTCGTATGTGGCAGAGATTCGCCACGCACTGGACGCAAATGCCAAGATACGACCGCTTCGTATGCGGTGATTGGATCTTAGACGTGCTTCCGGTAGGCGTACGTTTCAGGCTTTGAGTAACCGGACCTCCCCGGACTATTGTTAGTACTGCGAATACGAGCTCATCTAGGCGCAAAACAAGCGCGGGTGTATACTACTACGTCTCGAGCCATGTTCTTCGTGGTGTTCCAACTCAACAGGAGCGTTGGCAAACACGAGGCAAGTCATGAGATACGCCGACTTGTGGTTTCAGATTCAGCTTTGTCAGGATTAGATCCACCACTCTACGAGGATCTCATAAATGCCGTCTACCGGTCACCAATGTAATTCTTCCTGTGACAGTCCTCCCTTAGGTGACTTGAAGAAGTCGACTCCTGTCATCATCAGTTCATTATGTTGCGAACCATTATCACTGCATTGGCTATCTCCTCCACTGCCGTTAACGCAACTGCAATTCACGCCCACCAAACGGTCGTGAACGGTCCATGTACAGGAGCCAACGGTGTCAAGGGTGTGTGCGTCTCTACGGGCTCCTGTGCCAGCGACGGAGGGACGTATATCACGGGCGCCTGTCCCGGCACCCCTGACAACATCAAGTGCTGCACCAAGCCTTCCTGTCAACGGGGTAGTCAGAGCGGAGCCTGTCGTTGGACCGACGAGTGTGCCGGGACGGTCCTGACAGGCCTTTGCCCTGGGCCATCAACGTTCAGATGTTGCCTAAGTGGGGAAGCTCCCCCATCCGGACCTAATCTTGGGGAGAAGGTTTTGCGGAAAGCTAAAGAGGCTGAAGGCATACCATGTAAGTCACTTGTACACTAGCTACCGATGCCCTACTTACAATACGACAGACCAATGGGGTGGAGGTAATTGCAAAGGCCCTACCGGAGGAGGTTTCGACTGCTCAGGTCTGGTTTCATGGGCTCTCTGCCAGGTCACTGGTCGAGATTTGTTCGCCGAAGGCCTCAGAGTGACACGGGAGATGTACTGCGCCAGTGAAGCGAAGCTGAAATACAAGTAAGGATGCATTGTATACGGAACATGATCGGCTCTAATGTTGGCATGCAGAAAAGTATCATGGGCGCAGCGTCGTGCTGGCGATGCTGTCTTCTTTGGAGGCTCCCCGAGTGACGAGAATCGGTGCAACTGCAACACGGACAGACAGGGCATTCACCATGTTGGTCTGATGATGGACTCAGGTTGGACTATGTGGAACGCCTTGAAGACTGGAACAAAGATCCGAAAGGATAACTTCAGAAACTGGGATGAAGCACCGTGTCCGTATGTGATCAGATTCTAACTAAGCTCGGATGATTGCCTATCGTGGCGAATGCCGCATTATCGAGTTGACACTTGACAGCTCAGAACAACATTCACCTCGCATGTATTTCTGCCTGTCTGGTGCATGTTGACCTTTTCTTTACACTTGGGAGCTGGGAGTATAGGTGATGTTTCATATTTCATATGACCACTAACGTGTTTCCCATGCGAGCTGGCACCCCCAAGCGAGCTGGCACCCCAACCAAACTTTTTGAACCTGACAATTTCTAACCACAATGCCTCAACAACGCAATACGCAAAAGTGCTATAACAAGGCTGACTTATAGCTTGCTCTATTAGCAATTAAGAATAATGAGATTGAAAGCGAAAAACGTGCTGCCGCCATCTATAATGTTCCTCGAAGCACTATTCAAGCCCGACGCGCTGGAGCACTCTCACGACGCAACCGCGAGCCCAATTCAAAGAGGTTGACCAAGCTAGAAGAGGAGTCTATTGTCGCATACATACTTGATCTAGATCTAAGAGGAATTAGGGCCACGAGGACTATGGTTCAAGATATGGCCAATGATCTGCTTACAGAGCGAGGCCAACCACCTGTAGGCCACCACTGGGTTGACAACTTCAACAAGCATACACCTGGGATCAAGCTTTGACAGAGCCATCCGTACGATTGACAGCGAGCTCTAAACGAAGATCCACGCATTATAGGCCCTTGGTTCTCACTTGTCCAATCTATTAAAGAGAAATACGGCATCCAGGATGAAGATACCTACAACTTCGATGAGACCGGCTTCATGATGGGTCAGATCAAGGCTCAGATGGTTTTCACAGGCTCTGAGAAGCGGAGCGCTCCAAAGAGAATCCAGCCAGGCAACCACGAATGGGTTACTGTAATCCAGGACATCAGCGCAGCAGGCTAGGCAATCCCATCATTTGTTATCTTCGCTGGCAAGGTGCTTATCTCTTCCTGGTACCACGATGTACCTCGGGACTGGGTCCTTGAGGTTAATCCTAATGGCTGGACATCAAACGAGCTTGCGATTGCATGGCTAAAGCACTTCAATACACATACGAAGGCTCGTAGTGTAGGCTTATACAGGCTACTGATTGTCGATGGCCACGAGAGCCATCAGTCATTCGAGTTTCACAAATTCTGCAAGGAGGAGAAGATTATTGTTCTCTGTATGCCATCTCATTCGTCGCACATCCTGCAACCGCTTGATTTAGTATGTTTCTCGCTGCTAAAGTGGGTATATGGAGATGAGATTTCAGTCTTGGCATGGTACAGCACCAAGTATATTAAGAAGGAGAGCTTCCTGCCAGCCTTTATAAAGGCCTTTAATAAGGCCTTTTCTAGAGATCACATCTGTGCAAGTTTCCGAGCTGCTGGACTAGTCCCATACAACCCTGAGAGTATGTTATCAAAGCTTGATGTGGTCCTTCGTACGCCTACACCTCCAGCATCACAGGACGCCATATAGGAATCTAAAACACCATGCAATGCCCACGAGATAGAAGCTCAATCTACACTTATTTACGATCGGATTCAAAGGCATAAAAGCTCTTCACCTGCTTCTATCCTTGAAGCTATCAATCAGTTTAGAAAAGGTGCTGAAAAAATAGCACATAAAATGGTGTTGATGCACAAGGAAATGGCAGGGCTTCGAGAGGTAGCTGAGGCTGCAACAGAGAGAAAAGGGTGTAAAAGAAAGTATATCTGAACAGAGAATACACTTACTGTTGGCGAGGTACTTGATTTGATTGCTCCTGAGATAGTTGGTGAGGAGGGAGAGGATAAGAAGCCTGCAAAGAGGGTTTCAGGAGAGAGGTGCTGTAGACGTTGCGGCAAGACTGGCCACAATGTACACACCTGCAACATAGAGATTGAGGATGGAAATAATAGCGATATGTCTGAATAATACTTTAGTATCCTGCAATTTACTCTATCTTGTTGTAGTGTTGAGTTATAGGCTTGCAAAGACATGTAACTTGGTTGGGGTGCCAGCTCGCTTGGGGGTGCCAGCTCGCATGGGAAACACGTTATATTAGATGCTATTGGAAGGATTTTGGCTAAACCTCTTTAGTCCGCATACACATTCCAGCATGCCTTTACCTGCCAGCGTTCTACATTACCCCACCAAAAATAGTTCGGTTCCTTGTCTGTCAATGCATGTATACTGGCAGAGCGTTCCTTACCAACGCCAATTCGATGAACGAAAATGGAAAGCCATCCGGATCGCGAGCCCCATAAGCATGAGCGACATCATCCAGACTCGAATATTCGCAGAAGGGAGCCAATTGCGAGGCAAGATTACACAGCATCTATTAACCGTGGTTATATGAGATGCGAGGGCGCAAATTACGCACTGGAGCGCAATACGGCCAATTGAACACAGCTTTGCACTCAAGGGGTAAGTCTATAAAGTCCTCGCGCAATCTCTGGAGGTATCTCCAACAAATTCTTTTCACAAGAGCACGCCACCAGATCAGTGGGCTCCTTCCCGAAAACATTCACAATGAAGACGACAATTCTCCTCTCAATTTTCACCGCTGTAGCGGTCGCCTTGCCCGCCCTTTCAACGAAGGAACCAAGTCTCAGCAATAGCATCATCGCTCGCGCACCCAAGGAGGCTCAGGCACGGATCAGCAATGTCAAACTATCCGGCAATGGCTGCAGCTTCCCCGACCCAGAGAACACATTACCCATATTGACGAACGACCCGTCGAAGGATTATCACAATTTCACGCTGGCTTTCTATAAGAATACGATGGTCGCTAAGTCCACCCCGGAAAAGTCCACCAAAGTCGAGTGTCGTGCTGCCTTGGATCTTCACCTCCATGAAGACTGGAAGGTCACCATCAACAAACGGTGGGTGGCGAGGGGAACTACGGATGGCCTGAACGGAAACCTCATCAACGCTGTTAGTATTGGGGATAAGAAGGTGAGGCACAGAGTGTGGGCCTGGTGTTACGTTGCTAACATTTTTAAGTCCCTAGTACGCGTTCGACTGTCACCTGGAGGACCAAAGAAGGGAGATTTCGGCATGAGTGCCGGGGGGAATGAAGGCGTAACGGGTTACGGAGGAACGTCTCCCCTCGCTGTAACAATCGATGTCAGCCTCGAAATTTTTGCGAGCCAGTCTGGGGCTCTGAACCTTGAGGCTGTGGATAATTTCTTTGAATACTCAAAGAAGGATTAAGCAAGAGTTTGTGGAATGGATTTGTCGTGTACTTACATAGCAACTGGGAATTCTCGGAATAAGACGCACGGAGTCTAGCAATATAGGAATACTCCTTTTACGGCAAGCGTTGTTTCTGGGCGTACGTCTTCCCGATTTCTCAACGCTTAGAACAGATATCATCATCCGTTTAGCAAAATGAATAGGAGTTCAACTTAAGAACACTGGCCTTCTCTCATGTCAAAGAACGTAGTCACTTCTATTTTGGTTGAACTCTAGCCCTAAACGATATAGAGCACGGAGGTATAATGATAACCAAAGTCTCTGCGCGCTTTTCGGTGGATATGAGAAAGTGAGCGTAATTGTACTCTTCTGACTTAGTGTACTTGTAAGATAGAACGCGAGGGATATCAAAGTATCATTACTGTGCTATGCAACAACAACGAACAATCTTACATACACATGTCCGCGCTACCTACCACTTTTCCTACCTGGGAGACTTGACCAGTCGTCTGCATGCGGAAAACCGCAAACAGTAGGTCATTACGACTTCAGCTGCAGCTACCAGGGTTGCCGTGCACCCCCGCAGTCTCAGCCTCAGCTGCCCAAAATCAGTTTCCCAGCCTCGTTCCTACATTCGCATTTTCACTTCACCAAGACTCTGATTCAAGCTGCGTGAAGTTTCGCAGGACATGAATCCACACTCTTCGATTCGCAGACCCCGAGTTGTAACCCGACCCAGCCCACCAACACTATACTTCTTCGAGGTGTGGGAAGATAAATTGGTGAGTCTACCCAGGTACTTGGGAACACCGTTGCATTGTTCTCACGGTACATAATAAGGGTAATCTGTGCGCGCGCGATGGTCAGTTGCCGTATGATCGTGTAGAAGATTGGCTCAAGTTAGAGGTATAACCCGCCGGTCATTGGGGAGGTTATTATTTTGTGTTTAGTCCAACATGCGAAGGGCACATACAAGACCGATGCAAACGATTCCATTGATCTGGCTCAGAGTATGATACTCAGGTTGATGTACGGGAGACGAATCCCAGTGTAACTCGTTCGCCAGCTGAACCCACTCAGAGCCTGCGATTTTGACCAGCATCCATTTGCAATAGGATGTGGACTGCCAACCTTCAACCAAATCCAAGAAGCATTCCATCTCAATGAAAACTCCGTGGAAGCCATCATCAATAACAATGGCGCATTCGGAAGGTTCTATGAACGTAGCCCCGGGTCGTCAGCAACGGACCTTTTCTGTCTGTCCACCTCATTGTCCCTATAGCAGGCAAACTACTGACCGACCTAAAGCCCTTGTTTTCAAAGTTGGCAACAGTATAAACATCGGTTATGACGCTATGTCCATGACGTACAACATGAAAAGACGAACGACAAGGGCATTCCTTCACGGCTTTTTAGACCATGATTCACAGAGCCTCATAGAGTATCTCAAGACCTGTAAAGATAAGCTACGTTTCGAGAGTCCTTTCTTGTTGCCATGCCGAATTTATCGTAAGCATAGAGCGAAAAGCGAAGCTTATCGAGTTTCCATCGACGACAACCTTCAAAGGTGGGGCCTCACAAAACATGTCAACGACACATCCCGCTAAGCGGTTGCAGAGCCGAAGTTGAGATAGGGTATGCCATCCCTGGAGTGTTGGATGGGACTGCAGACCCCATCTCTCTTCTGAGAAGCGGGAACATAGAGTTCGAGAGAATAAATCGTCGGCTCACTTCCTGTTCCACAGAACTGTGCACAGTCCTCCACACCGGGGCCTTCGGTAAAGAGCTAGGAATATTCCTCCGCAATACTGCGCAGGAGCTGGGATCAAAGCTATATTCTCCTGACAATGATGGGCTGTCGCACAACCAAACCCTGGTCCAAGAGATTGAGTTCACGACAAATCTGTACAGTAGCCTTCTGTCGCAAGCATCGAACTTGAGGACGAGGGTGGAGAATCACATCCAACTTGTCAGTGAAAAGGGATAAGAGCAGCTCCCGGATGCTGACAGGAATCAGGGACACAGTCTTGTTGCACAGGAGGAGAATCGCATCAGTCGATTTGTTGCCGAAGAAAGTGCACGGATTGCTGCAGCTACAAAAGGCGACAGTGCCGCAATGAAGGCCATTTCGCTGGTGACCATGATATTTCTCCCGCCTACATTCGTTGCAGTACGATCGGTTCCCCTCATGAACACAAAGTTCCGTGCTTACAACAACAGACTTTCTTCAGTATGAGTATGTTCAATTGGGAACCACAAGGACAGGATCCAGGACTCGTGTCCAAGTATTTGTGGATTTATTGGGCTGTCACGATTCCCTTGACGGTGATAGTGGTAGTGTGCTGGCGTTTATGGATGATCAAGGAGAACAGAGGATTCAACACGCTTCCCAAGAGACAGGAAGACGAGAAGTCGGATAGGGTTTCTGTGGCTGACGCTAACCACATCACCCCTACAGCTATACTCATGGCGGAGTACTCGGAGGCTCAAAAACAGCAGGTCAGGCCATATTGGAGACGACGGGCTTAACAAGGCACAAATGTAAGTTCTTGAGCTTTATTACAGCATAGATAATGTGAGTTAATACTTCAGCGTCGCTTCAATGTTGCTGTTGGTTCAGGAGTTGCCGTGGAAAATATCCGGTAGGTGTTTCCGAGGACGGTTTCGTGTTCAACGTTTTCCACGGGGGACTGGAGTGAAATCGGCGATTCCGGGCTGCCCACCTTGCGCAAAAAGATTGCAAACAGCGTTTTTCACACAGGCAGATTTGCGGTGTATAAATGCAGGTTGTCCTTTCTTCCTTTCAACAGGCAGACATACCACGTCCCAATCATGGTTTTACGGAACGTGAAACAATCAGGAAAGTTCAGAAATGTCTGGCAGACGTACAGCAATTGATAAGCGATATTGCCACACAGACCGATGTTGCTGACGAAAAGCTCAAGAGAGATGTCACAGAATTGACCGAACCTATAAAGAGTCAGAAGAGGGCAGCGGCCGAGGATCCAGAGAGCAATAGAAAGAGAAGGAAACCATCCAATGTCCATACGGTGGACACTAATGACGAAGTTGACCGTTTGAGGACATCTCTGCAACCAGTAATTTGGCCCTTGAAGCTCGTAAGAGACGGCTTCTACGATTCCTTTGTCAATGCACCCCTCCAGTGCCTCGCCGCTCTTATCAAACCAGACCGGCTCCTTGGAGAGCTGCATAAAGCTATCCAATGTTTGTGGGAGCACAGTCGAGCGCCTTGACGCCTAACCTGGAACTGAAGTCTTGCAAGAGTGAACACGCGCACTCTTCTTCATTTTTCAGCCCTTGTACATGTTACCGATAGAAACTAAGTAATGAAAAGGTGCCGGAGGAATCGCATTTGGAAGAAATCTTCGCACAGGCGTAAAGAAATGCAGAGGTGTGAACGCAGGTTCACTCACTGACGAAGAAAGGGGTTGCTTGCGCCGTGAGACACCTTGGACAGTTCGTAGGCTAGCTATGGATAACGGGGATGCGTGGAGATGTTTGCCACGACATTGTGATTCCTGAACGGCAACCCACCGCGCTTCCATGACCAATAACATCTTCGCCTCATGAACGTAGCGCACTCACTGTCGCGGCCAGTGATCCCAACGTGGACACGGTTCTGGTTCCCAACGAACTTGATTCAAGTAGCTAGTATGCAAGCAGTAGCAAGTTCATCGAGTCGGCAACACATCAGTGCCGACCTAACACTTCACACCTTCCTTTCCAGCAGACTTGCAGTTTTGCCGAGAAAGCCGTTCAGATCCTTTATCTTCCATAGAAGCCCAGTGGACTGTCCAAAGTTCATCGAGACATTCTCCAGTAACATGTTAAGGGGTAATTCTGGCCCTTCATTCTCCCGGCCTTCCGCCCGAGCCTTCTCTTTCCCGCTTTGTATGGCGGCTTGGATATCATATAGCGAAGAGCTGAGCCCATGTCGAGTCTCAATGTCCTTCTTTTCATTCAGAAAGCCTTCTGTAATGTCATCGGTTTCGAGCGCTATCTGCTCACGATCACGCTGAAGCTGAAAGTACTCCTTTCTTAGGCGCTTGTTCTCACTACTGAATTGTTTGAGTTTCTTGACGTTATCAATGCTAGTGTCATTGGCATCCTGGAGCTCGAGCAGATCGTCCTCTAGCTGGTCTCTATAAGCCAGAATGACGTTTCTGTGGTGTCGGATCAATTTGGCACGCGACCCATCATTGACATTTGTCAATTGCTCGGTCATCTTATTGATGCGATGTGTTGTCCACTCTTCCATCAGATTACGCGTCGTATCAACTACAGTGAGAGCATTCACGGCAAAGCCCTTCAGACGCATGACCTGTATGATTTGAGAAGGCCCCGTCTTCCGCCGCTTTTTCGCAGGTTTTTCGGCTGGCAATTTGGTCATAGTCTTCTTCCCGGGGGCACGAGCGCGAAATGGAGGTGTGCGACGCTGCATCGGAGGGATCTCATCGCTTTCCTGCTGCCCATCGTCGAACTCCTCAGGTGAGGGGGATTTGCCGCCACTTTCTTCAGGGCTGCGGCGAGCCTGATCACGTTCCCGGCGAGCCGTATGCGCGCCGTGGTCCTCATGGTCTGGATTCGCCTCTGATCCGCGTCGGCTTTCGGCGACGTCGATACTTTCGCGTTGTATACGACGTGGCTTATCCAAGGCTGGCGTAGACTGCACTATGTCTTCTTCTTCATCGTCCTCGTGTGTCGCCATTACACGGAGCCGCCCTCCCTTGGGAGATGTTGTCGATTCCGGCCCTCTTTGGCCGGTACTGATGGTTGGGGTCTGCTGAAGGAAGGCTTGCGTTGTGGACGCTGATTGAAACCCTCTCGCGCTGCTTTGTTCCGGGGATAACTCATCAACATCATCTTCAATGAATGTCTCGCCTGCCGTCGACTTATTATGCGAAGCCGACTGTCGAATATCAGAATCAGGTTGAGATAGCCCTCGCTCCTTCCTGTTTCCTTCCGGGGCTTGCCCAGTCTGTCCAACCTTCTGATCCAGCCGTTGTTTGCGAATAATAGGTCCGACAGGGGTGACCGGTACGGGTTTCGAGAGACCGCGTGCTTGATTGTCTATATTTGAAGGTGTATCACGGATCTTGGGTGTGCTTGAATCATTTCTTACAGGTTTCGTGAAAAGGGACGCCGGCGCCTCGTGATTGACAACATCCAGAAGTGACAACTCATCTTGCATGTCATCATCTACCTCGCGGACTGGCGAGACGGTTTTCGCAATTCGTATGGCTATTTCGGTCGGGCTTGGGTTCCCAAGGTGGTGTTCGGGGCTGAGTTCGTCCACATCATTGGCGTCTGTTCCCGCTGCCTCATCCGAGCCCCGCTTTCTCTTCCCCAGCTGCGGAGTGACGATTCCTTGCCGCGCTGTTTGAGGCCCCCTTTTGACGGAACTACTCTTAACAGACGCGCTGCGATGTCGCTGAGCGGATCCCGGGCGGCCAGGTGGAGTATTGGCGACAGGTGTGCGTGTCCGCGGGAGCGGAGGCGGAAGCGAAACCTGTTTAGCGGGCCGCGACAGGGCCCCAAGGTTGAAACTGAAGTTTGTCTGGACATTCGCGACGCTATTCCATTACTGATCAGCTGCTGTGAGAAGGGGACGGGTCTATTCGAAGGGAGGGGCGTACCCAGCGCCACGCATACGCTGTTGCCGATGTTCAGCGCGATCTGCATAGTATGTATCAGCATAGTTCAGAGAAGCAAGAAGGGGGATTCCTCACCCAGAGGTGCCATTTCGCTATATTGATGAGCCGGACATTGGGATTTGGTCTAGGGTGGGAGGGTGCTATAGCTACTACGATCATGCGGAGACGCGTTGTTTGCAATGCGGTTGAGGATGACGCGCCTGCCAAGGGTTGACTATACCCAATTCGTGAGATCGCAAGTTAAAACGGAGAATCAATCATTCATTCCCCTCCAGATGCGATAATTAGACCAGAATCAACCTCAACTTTATTGTAGAGAGCCATAACACACCTCACGCGGCCGTTTAACTTCCACGGTGACACATTGAACACACAATGGGATGGTTATGGGGTAGCAGCGAGAGCTCCGAAACCAAGGACAAGCTCGATCCCTCTCTCCGCGACTTTCTCGAATCCGAAGCACCTACAGGACCCAAGCCTGCCCTGCCCTCCCGGCCGAAACCGAAGTCCGAGGAGGTCGCTAAAACCTCACCAAAAGAGAAATCCGTTGACTCTGAGCGACCCGTCGTGCCACCCGAATCGCAGTTTCAGGACGGAAGATATGCCCATCTATGGAAGAGTTATACTCCCCAGCAAACCCTGCTGGATCAGAGCAAAGGGGAACAGGAAAAGTTGAAGGATATTGTCGACGCCTATAATGACAGAAGGGCGGAAATTGGCCGCGTTGCGATGGAAAACTGTGCGTTGGAGTATATGGAACAGTTCCAATGTATGAAAAATCCCAGCTTCAAGCAGGCGATAACAGTCTGCCGGGAGGAGACCAGGAAGTTCAATCGGTGCTACGACTTGCAAGCTAAATTCTTGAAAGCTTTGGGCTTTCTGAGCATGGAGAAGAGAAGCGCTGAGGAGGACGAGAAGATACAAATGCACGCTGACAAGCTTTATCAGCAACTGATGGAGCAAGAAGCACTGATCGCCAAGGCAAAAGAAGAGGGACAGCCTATACCCCAGTTTGAGAGCGTCCTATCAAAACGAAACATTGCACAAGCCATGGGTGGAAAGCCTCTAGGCTCTCCGCAACAGGGGTTAACGAACAGCCAAGACATGGACGAGGACAATGAAGTATGGAGCCAGATAAAACCAGAAAGACGGGCGGAGTACGAACAGAAGCTGGCAGAACTTCCGGAAGAAGACCGAGAGTTCGAACGCAAGGCGCTCCTCGCCGAGTTGCGTGCGCAGACCGGGATGGCGAAGAAGGTGGAGGCGGCTTTCGTAGAAGAGCGCATAAACCGGCTAAAGCGTAGAGAGGCCGGTCAATCCACTGTTGGGGATGTCATAAAACGTCTCTGGGGTTGGGACTGAAGGGATCAAGACGGCTGTAGGATGCGAGTTGTAATTCTATGTAAGACTATCTGAGACCTCTTACTCTGGAAATCATGGTAATGTTATGGGTTGTGTCTATCCATGGGTCTAAGTCTCAGTTTTGGGCCCTCGACCGATAAGCGGCAGTCCAAGATTTGCGCAATGTCCGTCTCCTCTATACTGAATCGAGGAGTGCTGAATTCCTCGGGAGTCAGTTCCGCCTTCGGCTACCAGACGCGAGAAACCCGTATTGAGCGCACGAGTGTGGACTGTCTTCTACCTGGGCACCGGACTCTCCGGACATTTCGAGCATTCACCGCTGCATAGCCTGACACCTCGTTGCACTTGGCAAGGACGTAATCATCTCCGCAACCGTTACCTAACGGACTCGAAAGCCGTCTGTCCGTTTGTGATCATCGGTCCCATCAGCGAGACCACACGGTCTGCTAACAGTACCTCGCTTGGGCAGGATTCACCGTCAGTGAAGCGCGACCGATCCTTATTCGGTGATACGGTGTCTTCAATGTTACCAGGAAATGCACATTGTACGGAAGGGATTATGTGAATTTCACAATGGATCATGTCCTCGTTCCTTTAAACCTCCACATGTTCCCACTTCTACCTCATTGAACAACCAAACAGTGAGTGAGCTATTGGAGCCGTTGTTCACAACCTCGGTATACCAACATGGCATTTCTGAAGCGTCTCAATACGCACTTCCGCTCCAAATCTTCTGCTACAGACAGTGGTTTCGCTCAGACTCGTGTCGCAGAGACGTCACTTTCGGACTTCTCAGCAACTTCAATCTTCGGTAAAGATTCAGCTGTCATCGACGGTGACCGTGATCCTGTTCGTTATGAAGATGCCCAAGTCGCTGCCGCGCCGACAGGCAACGACTGGGAATTTAACCCACCACTGAATCGCGCGAACGCGAAGGCTCGAGTCGATGCGATGCGGAAGGCCCTGTTGCCCCAGCCCGCCGAACAGATGAAGGGAATCATGACTGTTGGCACTCATGAACCTTGTGTTAGTCTTGCGAAGAACCACCTAATTACCACCCCGATTCAGGAGGAGGATGCGCATGTCCAGAAAGATCTCTCAGTTCTGCAAACAGATATCCTGTGGGCCTCCGTTATTCCAATCAAGATCCATGGCGGGTCAACAGCTTGTCATCATTGCGGTTCCGATTTCTCGTTTCCTAAAGAGTTCGGATGGAGGCTTCACTCCTGTGGCCACTATTACCACGTCTCCTGCTTTAGAGACTTTGTCCTTGCAGCTGCAGTGAAGGAACAGAAAGCCGTCCAGCAGCCTTGCTTGTTGTGCGAAAACCTCCACCGTCAGTTCGCAGCATTTAACCCAGGTGACATACGTGCTAGGACTCAGCGTCTCGAGGCCCATCTCCTTTACTACAAAGTGGACTGCTACGGTGCGGGTGCGGCTACCGAGCAAGTAGAAGCGTTCCAGGGCGATGTTCCGAATGCTAACGATGGAAATAGCTATCCTGGCCGATCGGGCTTTAAACTGCACGCCCGTCTCTCTACGCTTTGTGCTGATGTGGAAGATAGGAAGCAACGCCATAGGAGCGCAGCCCAGGTCCAGAAGCAAGCGTGGCGCAAGAGTATCCCTGCTGGTGCTGATATGGACACACTGGAGCACGCCTGGAAGCTGAACTCGAATCATCCCATATTTGAAGGCTTATCGAAACTGGATAAGGACCGATTCTTCCAGCGGTTGAAGGAGCTGGACGAGAAGCTTGAAGAGACGAGGACCGATAGAAATGAGACGAGCCTCCGAAAAGACAATCTCACAAACGAGTTGGACTCTGCCAACCCGTTGAGAGGGTGATGTTTGAGCTGCTATCATCGTAGACCGCTTAATAGCAAGCGCAAAAGCATATATCGTCCTTTGATTGCTCTCAGACAGGAACTCTTTTGGAGGGCATACAAAAGCTCACGACACTGGTAGGCCAGAGATCCTGCATGCACGCAAGCATGTAACATGGTTTTCCAAGTATTCAGAGTATTACTCGTCTTCAGGGATATGCTTCCCATACGTTTCAATACATTTCACTTCTATACTGACTGTCCTATTGATGTCTAGATCTACAACGGATCAGTCTTCTCAAGACTGTGATTACACTCATGAACCACGCTATATATAAGCTCCACGTTTCCCCTTTACACATTCACCCATTTTCGAGGACGCATCGTGGGAGAGCTGCACAATGTCTGCAATGTAAGGTAGATAAGCCCTTCCTCCCTCCCACCGGGTCGCACACTACTCGCATTCACAAGATACAATGTTTTGTAAATCTGTCTCACTTTCACCGACCTACATTGGACAACACTGGCCGCCGAATAGGCAATAGCTTCAAGGTCGTTTCACGAGTTATATTGTGTTTCAACATGATCTCGTCGCTCAGCCTTATAGTCTTCGTCTCTCAACGTAATCCCCTGAATTACAACGCAACCCATCTTCAACCACGAGACCTGATCTCGTTATAGCGAAGTGCCCAGCATTTGAGAGTCTTAGCGGCAGTGAACAGTCATGGCATTTCAAACCAACAGCCGGACCGTCCGTCTTCCTCCACCAGCCGAAGACTTTATCTATGATAACTTCCAATACCGTCCAGATGCCCAAGGAGCTCGGCCTTGTCGTCTATGTCAGCAAGTCACCCACCGCGGTAGTGAATATACGCCGAATTTCTGCGCCAGAGTCTGCGGCCACTGGTTCCACCAGTCCTGCCTCATTGAGTACCTTTGGATAGATTACCTGCCCATATGCTTCCGTGACTGCTACATCTGTCGCTTAAACCACTATACGGCACGATGGAAGGGGCCGGTCCTTTGTCCATTGAAGAGCACGTTTCCAAAGTCGGAATTGCCTGATATCCGGGAGGTACTCACGAGGCGAGACATCAAGGCGAGGGTCGGGAGGGTCCTGAAGAGGGATATGTGGAAGCCCTGGTTTCCGGAGCTCATGGAATTCTGCACCGAGCCGCAGGAAGTTGATGGCGGGCTTGGAGTCTTCCCGACCGTCGATTTGGAGGGGCAAGAGATAGCAGCGACACAGTTTCTGGAGAGGCGTACGAAGGTCAGGGAGTATATGCGAGGGCAGAAGATGTCCATAGCCAAGCGCTAAAGCTTGAAGATGCAGGACAATATACGAAGTGACTTATAGATGTTGGCTCAAGGAGACGTCGAGCCCAAATGTAAAGACTGACAGCCGAAACTCTTCGAACATGAAATGGATACCTAACTTGATAGCACGGCGAGTGTGAGACCTAACGATAAAGGATGACAAGCCATTGATCACTTACATCTCGGAGTCTTACAATCATTACTCCTATCATGGCACTCTCATAGAGTCATAGCGACTAAATGATATCGCGAACATGCAGTTAAGAATGGCATTTGAATATGTTCTCAGGTATAGACAAGCAGGTGCACATTAACCGTGGTACTTGACATAATTTAGTATGCAACAAGACTCATGAATTCAGATGTCAATTATCCACGTCAGTGAACGGAACTAGTCAGATCATTGTCATCGACATCTGACCGGTGTGCTCGACCCCAGTTTCCGCATTCGCTACAGATGTGGCCCCTCTTGATTTGATGCCCATGGCACTTTCGCCGGCTTGTATAATGGCCCATCTCCTTCACAATTCACGAATCCGTCCACTCATCTACCTCTTCATCAGGATGCTCTCGACGCCAATCATCCCACACCTTCTTGCACCACCATCGATGCGCCCAGCTGCGCGGATACTTGGATTTGACTCCCCTGCCTCCTCGGTCCCATACATGGCTCGATATGGGACAGAAGGTATCCGGGTGCATGTTCCGGCAGTCGCCAGTCTTCATCGTAGCACCCCTCACGTCAGTGAATTTGCATTCCCGTCTGGGACAACGATTCCCGGCCATGATCGTCTCCTGCTGTACGATTGTCGACGTAGATAAATTTGTACAGTTTCGAGTTGGGAATCTGGAATCTCGGTGTTCTTTCCTTGGGTGGTTAGAGGTTGGAGTGGGACAAAGACCTGCATTTATACCAAAAGCCGCGTCGCCAAAGCCATCCTTTTCTCCATGTGAGACAAACCTAAATCATATGAAATCTTTTGAGGCAAGACCTAGGTCCGGCATTATGTGTGACTGCTGAGACAATATGTACTGAGAGCTGTGTGGCAAACGTCTTCACTTCACTGCTTTGAAACATGCTCTTCAAATCTTTTCCTAGAACACATAATCATAACATAAAATCCAAGCTGTTCTCGTCAGAAAACACTTCTGGTTTCGCGGCGTATATGAGACGAAGAGATAAGCAGTGACGTTGCCGCGATCCATATCGACTCGGCTGCATCATCTTGGCTCACGCGCACAAGGAGTACTGCATTTGCACACAGCGTGTTCGTCACAGTGTGTCAATTATGCGGCATTTTGGAAAGTGGGCCATGTGTTCTTTGCAAAGGTTTTAACCAGAAGTATTGACGCATGGAGGCCGTAGATATAGCGAATTCCGTCCATCATAGACCGCATTTGAAGTCCATGGGCAAGCTTGCAGATGAAATTTTCATGCGACGCGAGACTACAACTGCGGGTCACTTTTTAAACTGTGGGTATGGAAGTCTACAAAGCATGATATAAGGCCTTGAAGAGAATTGCAACGTTGTTAGGGGTTTTGCGATCATGTTGTTCGGGCCTTCTGTCTTCTGATGGTGACTAACTTCTTATTGGCTCCTCGGACAATATCACCACACCTTTCCAAGGTTGGCCTTTACTCAACCGTGCCACCCACTCCAACCTTTCACAACCTCACAATAGCGACGACAGAAGCCTTCTGCTTACAATGCTATTGACTGCCTGCCAAGAGGGTACGTGCACGTTATTGCCTACTTCTAGAGCTCCTCTCCACCTGCAAACTTTCATCTCCTCGGATTTTGATCGTGTACGACTTTTGACGCAAAGTCGCTCTTCTGATTTCCAAGACGCGATCTTCACCGCATTATCCATACCAGCAGCGAAAATGCACCCAGATCACCAGATCATCTTTAAGGAAACAGTCAAGTTTTCTGGCGTTTCCGATACTCCAGGGATACTGTCCTCCATTACGCCAGATCCAGAGCACTCCATGGAACCGAGCTACGGGACTACCGAGACTCAGGGACAGCTGAAGCAACAGGCTATCGATCCCACCACAACGCCACCCAAGACACCTCCCAAGCGGCGTTTAGAGCTCGACTCTCGTGAAGTGTATGACGGGACGCCTCTGCACCTTAATCCCGGTGTTGATTCGACTCGCCCAGTCAAGCGGCGGCGCCGCGCCGGTGATGACCTCACCATCGCGATGAACGAGAGTATTTACCAACCCAAGGACGGACGACGACCTGTCCGAATCCCGGGCAGCAGGAAGGATGCCACTCCGCCAATCACCGCTCGCAGGACGGCTGCCCCAGAAGGTCTCAAGAAGATTCAACAGAAGTCGTCCAGCACCCTGTCACTTTCAAACACTGCCATCCAAACCCCGTCTGAATCTCCTTCCTCGCCTATCGAACCCGCCCCCCCATCAAAGTGGCATCGCTCCACCGAGGGCAAAAAGGCCAGCAAGACGCCATCCCGGAAGATTGTTGCGACACCAGCACCCATCCAAGAAGCTCCACTCATCATCCCATCCGTAAGTGCCAAAGCAACAGTGGCAAAGCCTCCGACGAAAGTGCGTCCTGCAGAGCAGCCAAAGCCTCAGGTAGAAGTTGATGACCGTTTTATGCCAAACGAGGAGAACGGCTTCCATTTGAGGTACGGCAGCAAGGATGGCCGACTCTCAGCTAAGGAATTGGAGTCCCTCCTGAACCCTCCTCGCTTGGCAGAGCCAGAGCTGTTTAGCTGCTACATGTCGGCTCTCAGCTTCAAAAGATTGGGCCAGTTGCCAGTACCCGGTCTTGCGAATACTCTCATCAAGAAGATGGAAAGGGGTGAGAAAGACTACCAACGTTGGGTTCAGGGTGGAATGGGTGGCCCCGAGGAGTGGTGGGACGAGAACCACGTTTAGGTATGCCCAGAACGAAGGATGAGGAAGCAGCTACAGAAGAATTCCGGCTTTTAGGGAAGGGGCGGCGGCGCGGAGAAGTGATCATAGCACTTTCTCAGGTGGAGGAACAACGGGAGCTCTCTTCTGAAGCGCAGTGGCATCTCAGCGGGTTTGGCAGGCATGTACACTAGCAAACATAATTTCTGAGGCTTAAATTCGGCTTGGATGATTCAATATCGTGGAAAAGAGACCATACCGATGACAGTGAATACGGATGATGACTAAGCACTGGTGAGGAGTGAATCACGTGATTATTGATATCCCTGAAAATTGACCATGAAAAAACTCATGGAGCTGTGAAGCTCGCGGCCGCCGATATACGTAGAGAAACCGTGGGATTACTGCAAACCCATGATATTCCTCACAATGTACATACCTTTTCTTCAATTATTCACTCTAGTGTCCTCAGCTGGCCTCGCGAAACTTTCCACGCAAAGCTTGATCAGGCTTGACTTATGTTTTGGCCTCCACTTGAGATCAGAATCGATAAACACCATGCTCTGCCCCTGAGTCAATGCCGCATATCTCCCAATTCGCACCTCAGCAGCAAACGTGCGTGCGCTGATCTGCAGAGTAAAGACTCCTCTGAGGCGGCTCAACCCGTGGCTGCATTCTGAGGGGTGTAAGCTCTAACAGGTTTTAGCCACCGCTGTACTGTGGATGGTTCTCCGGCGACGGAGGGATGGGGTCCTGTGACTGGGTTGGGAAGGCGGCATTTGAAGATTTCGTGCTGGCAGTGGCGGCGGGGCGAGATCGTAGTTGGGCCGTAAGGAAACACCGTGATGAGGATAACCTTGAAACTTCAGGATATGGCAAGCAACTCTTAGGATACTGATGCTTCTAAAGAGGGCCTACAATGAAATGTCTTCTATTTAGCATTTCAGCTGGGTATCCAGTCGACTTCGGATGTTACCACTGCACGGGAACATATGTCGTCATCTTGACCTTCACATTCTTCTTCCGGATATAAAAACCAATCTTCCACATAGTTCAAGAAAGGATAAAGTTACATCTAGAAATAGTGCCGTTCAATGCAGCGTCACGGACTTCTGGATCGTAGTGATCCGCCACCAGAAGCCCTTGGTCACTTGTAAGGTATATACAAATTCACAGTGAATAGATAGGATGATTTGACAGCGTTTGGTAAACCAACATCCACTCCATAGTAACCAGAGAAGGGCCCGGTCACGCTACGTCGTAGTCTGACGGACGTATGATGATCAACAAAGCCCGAGTCCGCCTGTTGAAAGGAGCGGCAAGCCAACGAGCACCCCTCACAAACTCTTAAGAACCCCTCCGGCCCAGAAGCCTTGACACACATTCCGGCATCAGACGGACTCGTAACATTGCGATACGCTATGAGGAAGTAGCCTTTCAAGGTGGCACACACCTCCGATTACATACTGACAGGCGGAGATGTCGTTGACTGGACAACCTTATCTGCCTTACGGATAGTATGAAGTCGTCACTAATGGTCATGGATTTATTGCTTGTACTGGAGTAATTCAACGCTATATTCTGCCTCGATTTGGGTATTGTCCAGAGTCATGACCGCCACCTTCAGACGCTTGATCACTCCAAGGGTGTAGTTATAGCAATACATAAACCGGTCTACAGCAGCCACCGGTCCGGAAGCCGACGCACCTCTGCGTGAGGTGTCCCTCACCACGGGGGTCAATATGGATGACGCTCCAAAGAACCAAACGCAGAGGTTTTCTGTAGTTGCGGTTTCCACCAAATTCGACGCTTGAACTCACTCGTGTATCTCGCCGTCCACATATGCAGTCAAGCGCCAATCGCAAGCTGTCATGCTGCCATATCCTTCCTGCTTCAAAGGTGCAGGAGTGTCGTACGAAAATCAGTTACGGCTCTACGGTCTCCGTCACGGAGACGACAGTATCAATGCCGCATGGTAATAACTGAAGTGCGGTGCGTAACCACTGTGACTTGGCCGAAGAACAGAGGAATAGCAGTGCCGGATCAAAAGTTGAGATGGTACGACGTGCGGTCCGTACCTGGATTCTATGATAAAAGCAGAACCTAATCTGGTCGTTGCTAACAGGCCGATATTATCATGGGCTACTACGGTCAGACTTCGCCAGAGGAGGACGATGGTGAGGGAATCGACATGCACGTCCTATATCCAATGCTTGGATAGTCGAAATTCCTGAGCCAGTGAAGACGTGCTTGGTGTCGATCTGGAAAGCCGCTGAGTTAGTATTGGTGGTCCTGTGTATACTAATCACCAAGGGGGCAGGTCTGCATTGTCGACTGCAAGAAGATCTCATCGTAGGTGCCTCAAGACCGCCTATACAAGCTCACCTCTCTAAATCATGCTCTAGCCCTGTCACGGAGACGGATATAAGAAAAGTTGTAGCTGCCACATTAGCAAACTGCAGGGATATAGTGGCGATGATGTTCAGAAATGACATCCCGCGTATACCTGCAGAAAGATATTACAGTGCCTTCTCGCCATTACGCCGCACTAACAGTTGGAGTCGCATAACCAGAGGTATCTCGACGAGGTCGGTTGAGATATTCGGCTGGCAATCTGCCATACGCAAAAGCGCGAGATGATTACAACGCCGCATTCTTTCCGCAGGCTAGTCATTTCGGTTGTCAATGGCATTCTCTTATGCCTTCTTCGAATTCATTCGTCCGTATAAATACGACAAACGATATTGAGCCAGTATTAGGATACCTTCTGTTCCGAATCGTTCAGAGAAGGTAGAACTGACTTCCCCTTATTCATTGTGAGATGGGAAGCTCAATCGCTCGAAATACTCCCACTCGGTGTGCATGATAGAGGCCGAGTCTAGTTTGAAGTCCTATCTCCGGCATGCTCTCCATCTAACGGGAATGTAGGCGAAGTCCTTGGGAGCGGTGGCAGTGCAAAAATAGTTGGATGGTGGCTAATAGCTGTCAGCAGCGAAAGGTCTGGCACCACTGGAGTGATATGCCAAGAAAGGAACACCCGACACTTTCCGTAGACAGCTAGTGCCGCTCGAAACGGCTTAGCCTCCTGGCGGTTAACTTCAGCTCCAGGGTTGTCACAGCCCCAGACAACCGCGTCAACTCTCCTCCACGCCTTCGCACTACTTTTTCCCAATTACAAAACTATCCGCAGCACAGCATCAATTCCCTATTCTCAGGACACGCAAGTTGGCTCCCTTCCTCTGTGAAATTTTCCTCCTCCAGCTGCCACTCGGAGCGCTCGTCGCGGTAAATAGTCCGCCCCGTTGTTGTCTCAGGAGCTCCTGAGGGAATCCAACCACCATACGAGCACTGTTTCAGCACAATGAGCGTACGTTGCGCCCTTCGTTGCCCCCCATGGACTCCCTTGTAACCCTTTTCATACTCTTCGTATGCCTCTTGCTGACTTGTCATGGCTCAGTACGGCGGCTACAACCAGGTGGGCTACGGCTCCAACCCCTACGACCAGCGCGATGGCGGTGCTGGAGGCAATCGGTACAACAACTATTCCCAGGGCAATTATAATCAGGGTGGCTACTCGCAACAAGGCCCTTTCGATGATCGTATGTGCATCGTGCCCCTTTATGGACGCGACTGGATGTTAACAACGTGTAGCGGGTTCCGTCGAGATGCAACCTTATGGGCAGCCAGCTGGCGCCGACCCGAATGCTATCCTTAATGAATGCCGGGAAGTGGATCGCGCCCTCGACCAGATTGATGGCCAGCTCGACACATTGGAGCGCATGTTCAAGCAAGTTCTGGCGCGGCCAGACTTGTCCACCAACGAGATCACAAACCTCAGCACCCAGGTTATGACGGGCTACCGCGCTCTTGTCACACGAGTAAAGAACATCAAGTCGAAACCCGAATCTGGGAACCCTCGCAATGCGCCGCAAGTTGGAAAGGTGGACAGGCGTTTGAAGGCAACAATCAACAAGTATCAGACCCTCGAAGCAGAATTCCGCCGAGACTCGCAGGCCGCAGCAGAGCGCCAATACCGCATTGTCAGGCCTGATGCCACGGAGGAGGAAGTGCGGCAAGCCGTCGAGGACCCTAATGCCCCCATCTTCCAACAAGCCGTAAGCCTCCGTTTGTTCTTGTGCGCCCCTCTGCTAACTCACGTTTTATAGCTCCTGAACTCTGACCGCCGTGGTCAAGCCTCGTCGACCCTCAGGAACGTTAAGGAGCGCCACGAGGCCATTCAGAAAATTGAGCGACAGATGGTTGAGCTTGCACAACTGTTCCAGGACTTGGACCAGATTGTCGTGCAGCAGGAGCCTTTGGTCGAAAACATTGAGCAAAAGGGCGAAGAAATTCACGACAATGTCGTCCAGGCCAACACTGAGATTAGCGGAGCTATCGAAAAGGCACGATCCCGCAACCGAAAGAAATGGTGGTGCCTCCTGATTGGTAAGCATCCCAGCAGTATGTTCCCGAAGACGTCGACTAACACAACCAGTTCTTCTCATCATCATCATTGCTGTCATAGTTGCTGTGGTCGTCACCAAGCCCTGGCAACAGAACAAATGAAGTGGTGCGAGCACTCATGTTCGTTGCCATGTCTGGGGCCGCGGGCACCCAATATTGAGAAGCGGTCCAATAACCTATCCTTTTGAGAACTTCCACTCCACTATAGACATGTTGCCTCATTTTCATTCCGCGCGGAGCTCAATATCCACCTCTGTTCTCGTAACCAGTAATCTTTCACAGGCCGGCCCAGTTATAAACTTGTATAATAGAGTTACTGGTGGATTTGTAGCTCAGCCACTTTCCCATCACCATCCCTATCGTCTCCTGGCCTGTCTCCAGCTGTTGTTTCCCTTATCAAAAATCGGCGTCTCACCCAAGTCATCTCCCTCATCTCGTTTGGTTTGATTCTGTTTTGCCGACCTCGTTGGATTCAAGGTCGAGGGCTCTCTCGAGCCGATATAGGTTGCTGTTGTTTTTGTCCGCGAATATATACTCCGTAGAGTTGTTGTTTTATCTACTTGAATTGTTTGGTAGAGTGTCGTATGGTGTGATGTTTTGACATGAGTCATGTTTGCACGGCTGATAACAAGGTCGCCTACCCTTCTCCTAGCGTACGCCACTCTCCTCACCGCCATATACGAGACGTTCTTCATTGATTCAGCTCAGCAACGCGGTGCTGTAATCGGGCCCCGACGGGTCGCTTATATAATCGAATTTTCCTGCGGAAAATGCCCCCTGCGCAGCAGGGGGCCTACAGGCTCAACGATAATTATAAGCTCAACAATACTATATAACAAAACCTATAGATTCCTGTTTGCTTCGTAATTCAATCGCAGTCAATCTCAGGGTTGCGCACCAGATCTCCTTCCTCATTCAGAATCCACGCATATAGCTCAGGTGGAGGAGGACTGCTGCCCATCTCCTTCATCCGCTGCTCCTCCATAAGTTGGCGCTGCCTCTTCTCCCAGTGATTATCTGACTGCCAGCGAGATACATCCTGTTGAATTGGAAGGCCTCCTGCTTCCAGGCGTAGTAGCCGTTTTTCAGCTGCCTTGCGTAGTTTTGGGAGTAGTCTCTTAAGGCAATTCATCTGCTTCCGAGTCTGACGCTCCTGCTTCTCACGGAGCAGGTGCAGGGCAAGTTCA